ACATCCTGACAAATTGTGTTAGACACTATAATAGTAGTGTTCATTTCGTTGACTAAAACTATGACGAAATATGTTTGTCAACAACCTTTTTTTCCATGACTAAAACGAGACGGCACCGACGTCAGTAAACAATAACTGTAAATCAACATGCAATATCGTTGACGAAAAAGGAGGAGACGAAATATTATCAAAGATAACGTTACATCTGATAGTCAGTTTTTCTCCCAGCAGTTCCATTTCCAGTGCTGCGGCTGGGCAGCAGCTGTGTGTCTGTGCTGCGCGCGGTGGTACATTTGAATTACACCGGGCCAGCGGCACACTGTGAACTGTCAGGAAGACTCGGATCTAACTCATGGTCTAACTAACCTTACTTAACAGAAAATAAAATGGCAACAACAGGGCTTGGGAGCAGTGGTCGCGTTAACCGAATACCTCCCCCCCCCCCCGTCAGTGCGAGTGAGTGACGAGTTGTGTACAGACTCGACGGGTAATAATGGATTATGACGGAAATGTTACGATCCTGTCCGTCAAAATGACTGATAACGAAAACGTCTAATGCCACCACTGCTTGGGAGAAAGAAACGATGTGATATTTGGGCCCATTTTCGCTACAATGAGGCGGAGAAAAAAAGCAAATGCATTGTTTTATCAGAAGGGAAGCAATGTGGCCATAACACAGCTGGTAAAAACACCACAAACCTGACCAGATACTCTCTGCAAAGCTGCTTTCTTAATCATTCAACCTGTGTTTTTCATCAAATAAGGACACGATATAATCTTATTGTGAAATAAGTTTGACTAAAATTACAAATTATTGGTTTTGGCTAGACTAGACTAGTTTGACTGAAATGTTCTATATAATCTGATGACTAAAAAAGACAACAGTTTTCATTGACAAAAAGTAGACTAAAATAATTAGTTTTCTTTGACTAAAATAAGACTAAAATGCTCAGACTTTTAGTCGACTAAAACTTGACTAAATAAAAACAGGATGAAGGTGACTAAATATGACTAAAACTAAAAAGGAAATGTAACACAGGACTAAGACTACGACTAAATAAAAAAATAGCTGACGAAATTAACACTATATAATAGTATAAAGTATTTTAAAGATGCTCATTGTTCTCAACTCTAGTGCACCCACAGTCATCACAAAAGAAAGAAGGATATGTCTACACTTGTTTTGGAGGGACAGTTATATGAATGCAGTGGAGCCTTTCTTTAGAGGAGTATAAACGTTTTTTTGTATCTAGAATTTAGAAGTGAGGGTTTTTTTTGTAGTGTGAGTTGTGGAGCTTTGGTCTCTGTATACACGATGCTTCTCCCATCTGCTCAGTCTTGTGTGACTCAGCATAACTTACATAACCCAAACATCTCTTTGAATGAGAACAGTAGGCAAACCTAACACTTAAAAATAATAGTTATCCTTTTTCTTGATGCTAGTTTTTATGAGCAGGCCATCAAAAACTAATCCTCCCTTTCAGATTGGAGGACTTTGGTCTCCAGGACTGGCACTGGGCTTTGGATGATATCGATGAGGATTGTTCCTCTATTCATTTCTGATGGTGATATGGTAACACTTTGTGCAGTGTGCTGTGCTGTGCTGTGTGATGATTTCAGTGGCAGCGTAACACCCATTCCACGGGGCATCTTCAATTTACACAGCGGCAGCTCCAATTTGCTATCATTTGAAACGAGAATCAAATTTGAATACTGATAAAAGAAATCAGAGTGTCAAGAGCCTCCGCTACGTGAGACCCATAATGACGTCTGGCGCTGTTCTCCAGTCACATCATTCTGTTAACGGCCTTCTTTAAACATGTCTCCCCCTTCGTGACCTCAGCCCTCGCAGGTCAAACGGCTTCAAATTGAAACGAGAGGACCCCCAGAGTACACAGTGGTACAACTGACGACTTCTCCCCCCTCCTTTACCCAGACGTTTCCCTGTAAAAGACTCAATCCCTGAATGTGTGTTTACAACCAAAAGGTGTCTTTTTGCACTTAGCTGTTGAGACACAGTCCTGGTTGTCAGTGTGGTGCTGGTGGAGGGCTATGTCCACATGTTGGGCCCAGTGCATGCTGTCAGGGTCACTCATAGCTTGAATCACCTTCGCACTGGGTGTTTTTTTTAATTAAATGTATTTTTTCACTTTTATGGTTCTTTTCATAACTCATTTTAGGGAAGAACATCAGGGGCATTACTGATTTTATTTAATCACCATATATCTCTGGCATGCTTTTTGATGTGAAATAAGGTCTTCTCTTTTTATTTTAATGTTACATTGTTTGCAATAAAAGGACTTAGGGTAATTCAAAAGGGTATAATATAGTTTAATCTTTCAGCACTGATGTACTTATTCATTTGCCACATCGCAGATATATATATTAACATATATTTGGTATGTATTAGTAAGTGTCTTCATGATGTAGTTTGTCCACCAGAGAGCACTGATGCCTTTGTTTTTCAACATGTCAAATGTCTCTCAGTATATATCACTGCCCCATTCTTTAAAAAAACAAATTCACGGGATGGTTTTAATTAAAACAATTTATGTAAAACCGCGTTAGTGAGGTAAACTTTTATCAAAACCTAGACAAATTAGATGTAAAATTATTGACTTTCTTGAATGAATGTAATTGTGATAGTCATTAGCTACGCCAAGTATATTCAATATATCTTACCAACATTTCAAAACTAAGTGCAGGATTCTTCACTTGGTGTTATTTATATCCTGTGAGGACATGTTGTCATCCTCTGATCAGTGTTTGCTGTGTCTAATGTCACATCTGTTTCTCTCTCTTCCTCCAGTTAACCACGCTTGAGATTGCAGCGCATCGTGGATGTGGTGGTGGGGGGTGTCCTCCTAAATCAAAGACTACACAAAGCTCCGTTTGCAGATCAGCACACTGAACCCATCACATCTCCACAAGCCACCCGCCGTGCTTCAGCCTGTGACAGTCAGCATTCCCTTTTTTTACCCGTGGAACTTCTTTTCGGGGCATTTCCAGCGGGTAATCAAACTCACCTGAGCACCCGCGATCTCTACACCGTGATGGATATATTGTAAGAGTATTAGCTCCTCCCGGGCCCTCCACTAGACCTATGAAGTGTCTCTGAGGGCTGAAGTGGCTCGTTCAGCTCCCACAGAACACAAAAGAGCTCTTATGAGCCGACAAGGGGACACACTTACCTCACAAGGACACTTTCTGACTGAAGGACCCGACAGAAAAAACTCCTCACCGCCTTTGGGGATTCTTGTGGCCAAAAATAACGTGTGTATAATGAACAATATGAAGGGTATAAAGGGGGAACACTACACTCGTTCTGTAATGGCTGAAGACTTGATCTCACTTATCCAAACTCTTTTATTGATTGTAGCTTCCCACAACTCTGCTTCACACGGGTCACAAATTGAATAAGGTACTTAAGCAAAGCAGCTGTGAGGGGAAGGAGTGTCAGCAAATAATTCCTTGAGTGCCTCTTATTCAGATTTCTGACTCGCTCTGGATCACCACTTGCTCGTTACAGATGGCATTAGATTAGACATGAGATCCTCACAACCCCCGTAATCTTTCAAACCTGCACTGTCAGTTATGAGGGTTAATGTTTACTGAATTCAAGGGGTGCACCGTTAACGCTTTTCTGATCCGAGCTCGACTCATTGTTTGTTGTTTGAATGTACTTTACCAGAGACGACACGCAGGCATTGTATTACTTTATCCAAATATACTTGACTGAAGCCTGCTCTCATCACCAACTCCTCTGAGTGAACCTGCATGTGTTTGCCTTTTCAGGCCTCCACCTCTTAGGATTTAGGGGAATCCATACGGGGGCCGACAGGTGCAAACAGGCTATAACGACCCAAAATATCTCCCATCAGGAGCAATGCACTGAAGTTACCAATACGCTGCAAATATAAAAACACAAATGTGCCGAAACACATGCAAATGAAGAAACATCTTCACCAACTTGATGATAAATGCCCATACACATGTCAAAACACCACGGAAACGAGGACAGTAAAAAGTGACGCACACAGCTGGGACGGGAGCGCTTGTTGACGTTCGGGGATAATAAAGTTGGCCAACTGTCACTGGAAACTTACCTAAAATGTTTTATTTGCTTATTTTAACAATTTTGTAAGCTAGCAAGCTAACGTAGCTAACCTACTCATTTCTGGTATACTGACAAAACAATCGTGGAACAGGCAACAGTTGGCCAACTAGCTGTGTGCGTCACTTTAAGTGTATCCGCTTCTGTTGTGTTTTGAGCTTCTTGCAGCATTTTTTATTTGCAGTGTTTCGTTTACACAGCGCTAAACATGTATTGTCATGTTGGTGAAGATGTTTATTTGCACGTGTTTTTTTTAAATATTTGATTCGTTTCTGAAGCTGCTGCATGTTTCTCCTAATGGAAGTGTTTTGGGACATTGATGGGTGTTTGCAACTATCAGCCTCCGTAAATCTACCCATAAGAAGCAGAAACAATGAAGGTTATGCAATCATATCCCATGAGTCAAATACTGAGCAGCACTATTCCATTCAAAGTTTTTCTAAAAGTGTTTTGTCCTGATATTTTTGTATTAAAAGTAACCAAACTCGAGTTTGGGCACATTGTTGTGTATGTGGCTTATATAGCAGGTGGAGAGTAACTATTTGTGTGCGTGTGTGTGTGTGTGTGTGTGCGTGTGTGTGTGTGTGTGTGTGTGCCGAGTGCTCTCCTTTAACCAAGAAGCATGTTTTATACATATGAATATACACAGTCTATATTTTACATGCCATACAGTGCACATTATATTATTTATACAGCCTTGTCCACTTTGTATTTAAGGGCTCTACATCCAGATTGCATGTTTGCTACCAAACTGCTCTATAATAATAACTTCTTCAACAATAAAGACATGGATGTGCCTTTTGGTTTTGGATTATTTTTCTGTTTTTAAAATAAATAATTTTGTAAAGGTGTGTGATAACTTTGGGTTTTTAAAGTGTGAGACAAATTACCACAATGTAATGTTTTATTAAAATAGTTCAGATAAGGAAAGCTTTGCAGATTACAGTATTTCTCATATTGCATAGAAAAATGTTCTTTATCTAACAACACTACATTATGTCACATACAGTAGGAAAAAGCATTGTTTTTTTTGTCACTAAAATGTTATAAAAAAGATATGAGGTAAAAAAAAAAGCACATTTGATGGGTAACTTTAAAAAAAGCTGCCTACATAACCGTCTTTACATGTGAGGTTTGTTTTTCAGTCGTGTCTGCAGTAACGGAGATCTCTGCTACACAGATCTGGGACCAGCTGGTTTACAGGACAGTCCGGCTCAGGGTCCCCCTCCAGCTTTAGTCCTCCTTCTTGGAGCTGCTGCTGCGCTGCCTCTGGTAGTAGAGCACGGTGAGCAGCACCCACATGTTGAGCAGCGTCATGACGACGAACCGCACCAGAACTGTGACAGAGACACGTTTTTTTATTAGATTTCAAATACTTAAGCAAAGAATATAAGTAGACACACTTGACATCATGATATCGTTTTGTCATAATGAATTGATTATGTGCACGTTACAGGTGGTAAAGGGTTTACAATGGTCACCATATTTCATTTAAAGTTGACCTACAAAAAAAAACGAGAGGTTCCACCTTCTCTGCAAAAATGAATACTTCTTCAAATGCAAGCAGAAAAAAACAACTTATTTTGCCCTGCAAACACATTGGAAACTCATCTATGTTTATTACGCTACTACTAATGTTTACATTTGGCCTATATATTGGTTTGAAGTGCCTTTTCCCTTTCACAGTATTTTAGTTGACTTACCCTTTAATTCTGACAAGATGGGAATAACAATACTGATTAAGTACTTCAGTTTTATGTAAATATTTAGCCATTGGATGGATGGAACAAGACCAATAGGCAGAGGTCCAAAAAAAGGACACGAGATGCAAAGAAGGCAAATAGACACAAAACGAAAAGGGCACAGAAATGACCACAAAGAGATGCAAAATAGCCATAAAGATGGCCACAAAAAGACCAGAAAACTAACAAATGACCACAGACACCAAACACAACTCTACAAAGACGCAAAACGAGCATTAAAAGGTCAAATCAAATCACATACAAAGAGAAACAAATCACATGTTTTTTCTCATAGCAAAGCACCAGATCACAAAATAAATCCTTGGTTCATGTAAAACTATGCTGATGGTTATTTAGGAAACATCTTTTTAAAGGGTTGCCTCTGAAATGTTTCTAGAGATCTGTGGGGACCCTGCACACCCCACAGTCATTTGCCATTCAGTTTGACTCACCCTGCATGTCTCCAGTTGTCACTGTGGTGGTGTAAATCCGTGCTGAAACAAAGAGGAAGCCGCGTTAATCACATCCTCATTAATCAAAGAGAGCGTCTAATATTTCATTAATGAAGTGTGGAATTGCTAATTTATGAAATTAGGAGCAGTACATATTCATGCACTAACACATTACATTAACAGTCCTGTAGGGAGAAGAACATCTCATAAATTGGTTAAACACTTCTGAATGTGTTAGAAATGCTAACATGAGGGTTAGACAAATAACAGGAGGATATTGCCGTTTTTGAAAACTGGATCCTAGTGTACTCTGGGTAATATAAGACTTAATTAACCTAAACTAAATTGCTTGTTATAAGGCTTGTTATTATGATCCAAGTGTATCTAGAAATCCCCATGAAACTTGCCAATTTTATAATTGACTTAAAAGAGGACTTATTATGCTAATGTTCAGGTTAATATCTGTAGTAGTGCCTCTACTACTGTGACATGTTCACATGCTTTAATGTTCAAAAAGGTATTTATTTTTCTCATACTGCCTGTATATGTAATATGTAAACAAGGCAATGTCTTAAGTTTGTGCCAATTTGCAAACATTTCCAGAACAGATCTGATCATAAGATAAAGCCAGATTCAAAATTAAGTAATTTTGTAGACAGAGTGAAATGTTTTCCCAGAGTGAATTTTGGATATGTTTTTATCTCCACATAAATCTGAAAATACAGTCAACAGCCATTACTAGAAAATCCCCTTCTGCCATGTTTTTGGAACTACAATGTTCCATAAATAAGACTTTGAATTCTATATGGAGCAAACACTGCAATAACCTTTAGAATATAGATAGGAATGAAACTGAAAGTGCTACATACAGGGTGTCCACGGAGTCTTAAAAAGTATTAAAAGTTGATAAATCAATTTAGCGAAAATGAAGGCTATTAAAAAGTATTAAAAAGCATTTTCCAAGGTATTACATTTTGTAGCTTGTTTTCAATAAGTATATAAATTGTCCAAAGAGGTAGTATTCTACAGTTTGCCTGAATGTAATCATTGCGTAGGTGTGTAGTGTGATTCTGTGTAGTTTATTTATGGCATCCCGTTGGATTTGACGTCATCTGAACAGGACATCGCACGCTCACTGCTTGATAGCGCGCAAAGGTCCGTTTACGCCGGTTGTTAAACAACATCGTTATGGGGAGATGCAAGTCTGCGTCCAAATGGTTGGAAGATAAGGAGGAAGGACAATCAATACTGTATATAGTAAATGTGAACTGAAGTGTGTCGCCAATGTAACCGGTTAAAACTCGAAGTGGCGATGAGGTCTTAAAATGTATGGAAAGGGTCTTAAAAAAGGTCTTAAAAGGTATTACATTTGACTTCAGGATTCCTGCATATACCCTGTACATATGTGGAGATTTTAAGGCATTACCTATCGCTTACCAGGGGTTTTTCTAGAAAAATATAGTATGAGGGCGCTGATCTTGTATATAACATATATCAATTATCTCGAGAACATGTTGCCAGTATACAAGATGGACGTTGGAGCTCCGTAAAAACAAAGCTGTCTCTGCCGTCTGACGGTCTATTTGACACAATTTTCATATTTTGGAGTAATTATACAGTTTTAGACGAACAGAAATATTGTTTTCTGGCATCACACAGGGAAAATCAGTATTTTTGTATGCGGGCACACGCGAAAGTAAGAGGGCGCAGCGCCCCTCACCCTGTTTAGACAAATCCTGCTAACTTTTGTGGATTTTTGCGGGAATCTACAGAAGTAAATTGACAGTGTAGTTACAAACGACTACATTTGTACTTTGGATGTTTTCTTTCCACCTGCCTGACAAAAAACACATTCTGTACGGAAAATAGCCACAAGTCTCAACCAGTAAAGTGAAAAAGTGATAAACATTTTTCTCTGATTCTAATTGATCAAATGAGGATGTTGGAGCATTTAATAGCCATAGAGCCACAATATTGAGGCAACGGTGGAGAACAAAACGGAGCTAAAAGAGGAGTGAGTTTGGACTTGAATTCAAAGTGGTTACCCCTGTTCTTCTGTTGGGAACTGGGAGGTCTTCTTTGTTTTCATGTCCAATGTGTGATACTCACCAATACATGTGAAGGTAGCCATTGCCCAGGAGAGGGCGCTAACCTGTCCTGCGTCCTTAGACTTCCACATGCACTGCAGCTGGGCAAATTTACTGGCTGCACTGATGAATATGCACAGGCTCTGTGGAGAGAGTGGAGGTCAGACTCAATAAACATTCAGTATATGGTTTATAAAGTTTCAAAACACTTTGCGTAGCCTGCAAACACTTTTATTTTCAGATAGAAAGCAGTTGAAGGATCACCGCTCTCCCAGACAAACTAACCAACAAAGCTATTTGGCATTCATAAAGCCTGTGTGTCTTCCTTTGGCACACCAGGTGAAATGAGGTCTGGATAACTTCCTGTCCAAATCTCCACCTCATTGATCCTGACTGATGACCTCTCTTTGCTTACTTTGTGACTTATGATTGACGTTAGAATGATTCATTACCATGGCCGAATCTATGATCCACTTCTCCAGAGTGAGGAGCCTCCAACCCCCGACAAACCTGAACACATTATGTTAAGGCAATAACACGTGACGCACTGTAAAAGGCATCACTGGGTCATTGGTTTTCGTTTACAGAGGGAACACAATTGTATTTGAGGTGATGAAAGGATACAGCAAGGTGTAGAGGAGGCTCTGCTTCAGGTTGCCGTTGTAGTGCAGGATGAGGAGCAGGAGGATGGCATCTGAGGTCACGGGGAGATGGAACAGGCACATGATCAGTGGACTGCAGGCTTTCATTTCCTTTGAAGGCGTACCAATATCAGTTCTCACTGTGTCATTAACTCAACCAGAAACTACATTCTCTGCTTCAAAATCGTTCTTATATTTTCTACCTCAGACCGTGTTTAAGAAATGAACGTAGTCACGGACCATTTTGAAGGCGTGCCTTTTGTTACTGTTGACCCGCTGATAGACATTCTTCCAACTTGTTTTTCTTTCTTTTTTGGTACCAAAAGTGACACGAGACGTTTGGTCAGTTTGACCAAACGCTGAACAAGGTTTTTAGGCAACATAACTTGCATGAATTGAAAACACTATTTAAAATGATAAGTTCTAAGAAGAAACGGGAGACTTACCCAAACCATACATTAACGCCCTAAACCCTGAACTTTATTTTCTATACAACTCTAAATGGGACCATAATTCAAAGTCATGATGTATTCAAGAAGACTTTAACCTAGCAATTGAGACTAAAAACTCATTAGGAACATTTTCAATGAGGTAAGAAATCTGGTGAGAACTAGGTTCATTTTCTGGTAGACTTCTATACAATCTGATTTATGTACAACCAGTGGAGTTGCCCGCTCCTGTCTATTAGAGATAATGCATGTTTACGGCACTTCCACATTGGCTTCACTTTTTTTTTTAGGCCTGGAGGTTGCTGTCTTATAATAATAATAATAAAGCTTTATTCATATAGCACTTTTCATACAACACGTGCAGCTCAAAGTGCTTTACAAAATGACACATCACAAGTTAAAAACAAACAAGAAATTCCCCTCAGATTATTTGTTAAGAACTTTAAAAAGGTACATGCAGCAAAATATAACATTTTATCAGGTCAATAGACACAAGGAGGTAAAATGTATGATAATAAAAATAAATAATGGTTTCTCTCTGACAGATAAGACAGGGGTTCCCAAAGTGGGGGTCCCGAGATGATTACAAAATAAAAATTGTAATTGTAAAAATGTTTATCCATTTAAAAAAATATATATTATTAATAATAACGTGTGCATAGACATTTTTCAGGGGCGGACTAGCCATCTGTATAATTTGCCCGCAGCGAGGCTCCCCCCGTTGACAATTCACTAGCGCAGTGTTTCAAACTTTTTCATACCAAGGACCACTTTACCAATAAAAAAACACTCACGGACCACCTGACTCCACAAATATCCAAAAACAATAGGCCTGCTTACCACTCCAACAGTACATAACAGCCTAATAATGATCTGCATGGTCTGCCTACAAAACAAAAATAAAAAAACATTTATGCAGCCCCAACAACAGCCTCTGATCATCAACAGACTTCATGCAATGCTTCATCGGATGCATATATTACAGTGTTAATTTCGTCAACGAAAACTATGACGAAAAATGTTCGTCAACGACCTTTTTTACATGACTAAGACGAGACGATAACGAGCTAAAAATAGATTCTTGATAACGAAAATTTGACGAAATGTATATTTAGTTTTCGTTGACGAGACGAGACGGGACTAAGGTGTTAATGGTGGACTAGCGGACATTCAAAATGCAGCATATTTTCCCCCAATTGCCCGTCTTGTCTGTCAAAATGCATCTTACATTTCTAACTTGCAATATCATTATTTCCGCTCTCTTCACTCCAGAAGAGCGATCTCCCTGTCTCTCTGTGTGCGGGGGGCGGGGCCTAACAGACACGCTGCAGCGGCACACAGAGATCTGCCGGGGACGGAGCGTTCGGAAGTATAGAGACACTACAAGGCTCGATGTGGACAAAGCTCGTTTGCCATGTTTTCGCGTTGACACGAGTAGAGTAGTCTGTCCAAACAGCCGGCCAAAAGGCGTCATATTCAGTCGGAGAAATGCACAATTTTCGACTTCCTTAACTCGTAGCTCTGTTGCCCCAATTACGAGTAACGTTATCACATCAGGTGTGCAGAGGTGGGAGAAGTACTCAGATCTTGTCGCTAAGTAAAAAAATACCATAGTGTAGGAAGAGTTCCTCAAGTCAAAGTATGATCATCAAAATATATTTAAAGTAGCGACAGTACAAGTAGTGATTGTGCAGATTGTTCCATTTCAGAATAATATATATGATATGTTTTATAATGATTGATCATTAAAGTGTTCTCAAAGCTGGTAAAGGTGCAGCTAGTTTGAATGATATATTATATATCTGTATACTGCAGGGTAGCTTGTGAATTTACTAAAGTCTGAGTTAACACTTGATTATATTTCACATCATTCATCCACATCTGTAAAGTAACTAAAGGTATTAAATACATGTAGTGGAGTAGAAGTACACCATTTAACTATGAACTGTAGTGGAGTAGAAGTACACAGTAGCAACACATTTAAATACTCCAGTAAAGTACAAGTACCTCAACATTTTACTCAAGTACAGTACAATATTTTAACATAATTATATATATTTAATTTATTTCACATTTTAAATAAAGCAATTAATTCGGTTAACAATTTGTTAGTTTTTTCCTTTAAAAAATAACAAAAAGTAAAGAATACCGTTAAAGTACCGGATCGATAAGCAGTATTGATAAGACTAGCAGTACCGTAGAAAACCTTAATGATACCCATCCCTAGATATTACACTAGTAAAGTGTTAAGAGAGTGAAATGTTGCTTTACGAATTTCAACACTTGATGCTGTCACCTTGATTACAATTTCAGATACCTGTATTTGCCTAACTGAATTGGTTTAAAGAGAGAAAACATTTTGACTAAAAGTTGACTAAAATGTAATTTTTCATCGACTAAAAGTAGACTAAAACGTTTTGAGTTTTCGTCGACTAAAACTAGACTAAAACTATGAAGGATAGAAATGACTAAAATGTGACTAAAACTAATTACCATTTTCGTCTAAAGACTAAGACTAAATCAAAAACAGCTGCCAAAATTAACACTGATATATTAGATAATAATCTCTATCTCACTCCTAACACATATACTGTAAATCTACTTTCAGCATGGATAAATGTTCATCAAATACATCCATTGTTTGTTCTATATGCTTCTAGCAATCCTAAAAAACACATATTTTTTCTAGAACAGATTACAAATCGCCTGAAAAGGGAACAAACAAGTGGCAACATGTTTGACGAAGGTGTTGCGCTGGGCTATATCATGCAATCGAAAGTGAAACTTAAGCTCGCTCCATTGCGGAGATATTCCCGTGAGAGTGCGGAAAACTTCAATTAATTCACTAGCGAACCTTGTGAACCAAGAGAATGACCCAATTGTCAGAGAAATGGTCTGCTTTCCTGTAACCATACCTCTTACTGTATTTTAACCTGACAGGGACAATGGAGGTGGGTATATGAGGAAAAAAGCCAAGTAAGGATTCTTACTTGGCTGACATTTAAATTCATACAGCTCACCTTGTGCAATGAGGATTGGATATTCCAGGTATGTTGGCGGTGGGTAGTCATAGTACATCTGGTACGTTACAAAAACAATATACCTGGAAAGAATAGGGGGTCAGGTTATTGCATTGTGTTATAATGTTAGCTACTGAATAATATGTTTAACATTCAAGAGCAGACAAGGCAAAAGCTGGGTGTGTGGCAGAAGAAGCCTGATGCAATGGAGGGGGATTGAACAAACTAGTTGTGGTCCTAAGCACAAGTAATTCCTGAGTCTCAACAGCTGAATGCCCGCTCACCAAGCTTACATGCAGCTGGATGCAAGTTTACAGGCTGCTGGTGTGTTCAGTCTTTATGTGCAGGCCTGAGGAAATAATGCAAGGTTGCCATAATTATAAATATGTTTATTGAAAAAGCAATCGTTTTCATACACAGAGGCAACTCAAGGTGCTTTAAAGGTCCCCAAATATACTCTTTTCTTTTCAACGATATATTATAGGTCTCAGATATATAGAAAACATGTCTCTGAAGTGTTTGGCTTGAAATACCAACCAGATCATTGTAGCATCCCATAAACCCCTCTGTTTCAGTCTTGTTCCAAAAGTGCTGATTCTGTGTCTGTAGCTTTAACCAGTTAAGCCCCAAGCCTGTTTTTGAGGTCTCAGGCTCGAAAATGACATTCCCAGAACAAATGGCTATATCTTCACTTCTAAAAGGGGTAAATTAATAATCTTTTTTCTCAAAGCAATGATAAACCTGTGAGTTGGATGTAGAAAAGTCAGAATCAATACAGATTTATTTTTATTTTAAAGTAAATTCAGATTGAACATCGTAAAAAAAAAATTAAATTATAGTTTCCGTCCAAAAAATAAACCATTACTTATAGTGAAAACCACCCTTGAATGATGGGATAGTAGACTAAAAGCTTTAGGAATCCAAACTATAACATATAATAAGTACCCTGTATCAAGATTGATGCAAAACAAGTGACGTTTGACCTTTTTAGAGAGGTTTAGAAGAAACAAAAACACTTCTGGGGTCATTTGGGTGGATTTTCCATATCTCTGGAACCCATCGGTTGATTTTGGTGATTGACACCTCTTTTTAACTGTTAGAGCCAATAGAATTGAGAGGGAAGTTCCAAAAATCCATCTAAACATTACCCATTGGTGAATAGAGTGATGCGTAGCCAGAATGCCCAAAACCGGAAGCTGTCATACACTCTTGTAGCTATCATAGCAGCTATATGAAAACTCCGTTATTGACATAAATATGATGATGGATTATCAGTAATCATTTCAAAGTGACACGGACACATTGGATTAACCTTCAGCAGCGTTTTTATCGTTTTAATGCCATTGAACACAACTTTTGATCAGAAAAACAGCAAAGGTAAGACGTTTTTTGCAGTTTTGGCTCCGTAAAGCTAAGTTGTTGTCTGGTTTCGCATTCGCTGCCCTGAGTTTTGGTCGCAGTGATGATACTTATACCTCTGGAATCTGTGGAATCTCAGCTTTCATGTAATATCTTGTTTGTGCAGATCCGATAAGTAATAAGGTATTTCTACCGTGAGTTCTGTGCTATGTGCGTTAGTATTTTTTAGCTTAGGGCTAATTCAGAGGCTTGATATTACCCTTGTGTTTCGTTTACCTAAAAATGGTTAATATTGCCTGATAGCTGAGTTTCTTACCGTTAAGTGGGTATGACACATTCATAGTTTGTTAAATGTTAAGAAGCCCTTCTTGCAAGATGTTGCGTTTTGCCCCGTGTCGTTATGACATCACAAAGTGGCCAAAATCTGATCAGCTCATTTTTTAGACAGGTTTTTATATAAATGGATCAGGAAAAAAAGTGAGCGGATCTTTTTTCCTGAAACTTTCTGAATCTCTTAATACAGTACATGTTTATGTATAAAAGTGTATTTTGTATAATAGGTGACCTTTAAAGGTAGGGTAGGTAATTCACTTCAGAAACACTTTTTGTTATATTCCATAGAATGCTCTTAACATCCCGATAGCAATGAATACATTAAATTCTTTGACAATAAATACATAAACAAATTTCATCTGTGGAAGCCGTGGCGCTGTAAAAAGCACGACCAATTATTTTAGCCGGCCCGGCTAAAATAACTGGATGGCCTACCTGCCTGTCAGCCTTCCAGCTCGTGCACAAACTTACAAAGATATGGTGGTTAAAATGTATGCCAAATGTACCATTATGAAAGAAGGATTAAGTATCGTTTTATATCAAATGTAAGGACATATTAACCTTTTCCTAAAATCAAATTAATAATGATTTATGAACATTTTAAATGGAGTTTGGAGCACAGGTTTAAAGGCGGGGTTCTTTACACGAGAGAAGTAGCCGGTAACAGGAAGACAGCATCACATCCGTCAGCATTAATAATAATAAGTAATGCACTGCTTATCTCAACACTTTAGATACAATTGATTTAACTTTGCATATAAATTGCACATTTTAAAGGTCAATAACTGCACTTAGTGAAAACTCACATACCCGAGCAGTTGGAGGAGTAGACTGTTGAAGCTGACTCCTGCCGAGGACTTGGCCCGCATCAGAGCAAAGATCTGCGGGAACTTGAGCACCATGCACAGCAGCAGGGTGCTGAAGTTAGCCGCGTGCAGCAGCGTGTCGGACTGCATTGTTAAACACTAAATGTGACCTAAAACTTGTAAGATTTCCGACGATATGGCTAAAAGTGGCAGCCAGATGCTGCTGTGTTGTCACCAGTGTCAAGGTATATGCATCTAGGAAAGACTTCCGTTTTGTCCTTTCAAAATAAGAGCTACTCCAGCTCCATACTACTAAAGGTGACATTTATAAATATCAAAATATTAATTAATGTATTTCCAGTCCCCAGTTATATTACCAAAAATATATAAAATAATTATGAATAATAATACTAGTTGTTGTTATTACTATTATTATTATCATTATATCATTTTTAAATTAAAAGAAAAAGTAAGATTGTTAATTCCCCCCAATTTACAAACACTCATTCCCATAGAAGCATGTGCATTATTTACCAGATTACATTTGTTACTCTCATTTAGAGCAAAGTAATGGCAAGATATATCATGGTATACTATAACTATTATTCCAATCTTCATTGTCGTTAGTGTTTTATTTTTTTTGCACTAATATAAATAATGACTTTAAAGTTTTAAAGTTTTAAAGTTGAAGACCATCTTTTCCCACACTGTTCTTATAAAAGATAGTTATGCTCTTATTTTGAAGGCAAACTTGTTTTATTTCCTTTATTATGCTGTGAAGTTTCCAGTCAGCTGGCACCTTGTTTCACTTCCGCATACATCCACTGAAATCTGATTGGCTGTTAAGTACTGACACGTTAGACCAAAGTATTTGAAGTCTTCATTTCGGAACATGCAAAGTTTCCATCTTCCTGTATTCAGGTTGAATGAGTCTGTGTTTCAACTTGAGACAAAAACACATTTAGAACCTCATAGTGAAAGTTACACATAGTGCAACATGTTGGTAACTTTCACTATGAGGTCCTACTACTGTAAGTCAAAGTAAGCACTAATACTCAATACTATCTGTAAACTCTTCTGTAATCTGCTGTATGGATTAACAGGATCTATTTACAACAACAAAATGTCAGGACACCCAAACATTAACATGCAAAAGCTTTATTGCAATGACACATTGAAACCAATCCAGATCAAACAAGCTTTTCAAATTCAACAACATTTTTCTCCAAATCTATAAAGGTCAGTGATTTATAACAATATACATAAAGGCATTTTAAAGCAGCTACAACACATAAGGTGCAGAGTCAGTGAAAGCTATATCCTTATGAAAAGCACACAAAATAAATGAATATGCGTCCAGTATGGAACAATGGCTTAAAGGTCCTGGCAAACATATTACAATGTAACAGCTTTTTAAGGCATTTTAAATTGAAAATGAAAGAAAAGCACAACAAAATATATTATGGGCTTATAGCATCTGCAAAAAATACTCCCATTTTAGGTTTCTAAACTCTTGGCTAGAATTTGTTTTTCCATATTCTTTTTTTGTCACTGCAGCACTGTTTGAGTGCACAGAGAAGGAGGTAATGAGGTGGTGATACAACCCTTTACTCATCCAAATTTGATCAGGTGTCTGGTTCAATTATCAAGTGTCGGATCAAACACCCGATCAAGCTCCAATGACATGAATCAAATATCCCTTTTCACCTCACCGCTGAGCAAAGGCCTTCAACATAAACTTCTATCCTCTGTCTTATGGAACATTTTGCTAAACCGATGAATAAATGAATATACTTCTGTATGATCATTGGATGATATAACTGGTAAATTAGCAGATGTAGGACGGCAAAATCATCTCACTAGTCCTAGCTTCCACCTGATACTTCAAAGTCTGTATCTTACTAAGGTTTGTGCTACACCATGTCAACCCATCTTAGCCCTACATCATGACAGTGCGGTCTGGCTCTGATGGGCACAGGTCCTGCTGACAGGAGTCTGGTCTTCAGAGCTCTAGCAGGGCAGCATCTCTGGGTCCAGCTTGCGGCGGTGGTTGCTTCCAGACCAGAGCAGCAGCCGGTCCAGTTGGACCAGATTGCTGCCCAGAGGAGTGGACAGCCTGCTGCCAAACATCTGGTTGGTGGTGTTGGGGACGCGATCAGAGAAGAGGGGCACGTTGCTGGGTAAGGGCTCCTCTGGCTTCAGCCGCCCCTGCAAACACACAGAGATCACATGGTTGTTGGCAGCATTCGGCTGTGATATGGCTCCAAAGTAAGGGATATAAATAGGCGCATTCACACCGCAGTACTTTTCCCACAAATTCCGGTGTGAACGCGATCTGTACTTAGTTCATGAGAACTAAAGAGTTCTCATGAACTAAGTACAGATCGCGTTCACACCGGAATAAGTTCCTGGGGAAGGATTAGGCAAATGAAGCCGCTGACGTCACTTCTTCTTCTTCTGCTTTGGGTTTACTGGCAGGCCGCAAACAACTTCACGGCGTATACTGCCACCCGGAGTCCCCGGCCGGAAGTCCCCGGAGTTGGGGACTGGCTTCAGTAGAAGCTGCTGGGACTCCCAGCAGCTTCTACTGAAGCCTTCCGAGTAAATCGCCAGAACGCCGACACCTCCTCATCTCCACCGCTCCCATGTTTTCTTTTGTGTTGCCATAAGTTAGTCTCTCTGCGTTTGTGCGCTGGGATAATGCTAATGCTAATAATGCTAATGCGATGATAATAAAATGGCGGCTTCACAAAACCTTTTGGGAGTTTTACGGGGCGTGGTTTGCAATCCGCCCAGCCAATCAGAAATAGGAACCTTTTTCTCCCACGAAAGTACCTGCTCTCTAGCAGGGACTGAAAAGGTGGTAAAAAAGGTTCTCATGAACTAATTTTAGTTCCGGCTCTTTTTGGTGTGAACGCGACATTTCAGAACTATATCGGAACTAAAATGGGAAAAGTACTGTGGTGTGAACGCGGCTAATGTATCAGGGACATGAATCCTGAAATAAGTTATCAAATAGGAGGGTTTTCAATACTGCATAAACATTTGTATTTTACTGAGTATTAAGACATGTTTATAGATGCACGCCTCATTTTTTATTCAGGTTGATGCACTATTTTAAATAATTAAAGGGAAAAAATCCTGACAAATAGGCGCTTTCACACCGCAGTACTTTTCCCACAAAGGTTCATCAGAACTTAGTTCATCAGAACTCTTTAGTTCTGATGAACTAAGTACAGATCGCGTTCACACCGGAATTAGTCCCTGAGGGAGGATTAGGCAAATGAAGCCGCTGACGTCTCTTCTTCTTCTGCTTTGGGTTTACTAGCAGGCCGCAAACCACTTCACGGTGGTGTATACTGCCACTCGAAGTCCCCGGAGTTGGGGACTGGCTTCAGTAGAAGCTGCTGGGACTCCCAGCAGCTTCTACTGAAGCCTTCGGAGTAAATCGCCAGAACGCCGACACCTCCTCATCTCCACCGCTCCCATGTTTTCTTTTGTGTTGCCATAAGTTAGTCTCTCTGCGTTTGTGCGCTGGGCTAATGCTAATGCTAATGCGAGGATAATAAAATGGCGGCTTCAAAACTTTTTGGGAGTTTTACGGGGCGTGGTTTGCAATCCGCCCAGCCAATCAGAAATAGGAACCTTTTATCTCAAACGAAAGTCCCTGCTCTCTAGCAGGGACGGAAAAGGAGGTCAAAAGGTTCTCATGAACTAATTTTAGTTCCGGATTTTTTTGGTGTGAACGCAACATTTCGGAACTAAAGTGGGAAAAGTACTGCCATGGAATTGCCCATTGCTGTTAGATAACAACAAAAATGAGCAATATTTCTCGTGTTTGCCATGCACAAACATCATGGAAACATTACTGCGTATTCATTTGAATATATTCAGAGTTTCAGCACCTGAAAAGGTGTTTAGATGCATTTATTTCACAGGAATCTCATCAACATTGAAATTCACACACATATTTAATCTTACCATCTGATCATAGTCCTTGAGGAAATTCCAGTTCTTCTCCCTGTGGAAAACAATGCATTTGTTCATCTCCATAGTGTTAATGAAATGATAACTAAATGGATTTTATAATCATTTATTTAATATCATTTATTGGAATAAAATCACACTGTACATTTTACATTTATATATTCAGTTTAATATTTAATAGTCCATCTGTCACATACTTATGTATATAATACCTTGCTTTATATCTTGTTATTGTTAATTTGTCAATTCAACATGTATATTTTCTACTTTCTTGTTTATTTCTTGTCTTTACATTTGTATTGTACAATGCCATGTCTTTTTATGCTGCTGCAACACAAACATTTCCCAAATTGGGATCAATAAAGTACTATCTTATCTTATCTCCAGAGCCATACATTGTTGTGCATTTGTTTTGTCACCGCCCCTTCTGATTAGTGTTTTGGATAGACATAGAACATTGCTTATAACCAGGGGTGCACATAACTGGTACGCAGGTACGCATGCGCGGCAACAATCTGAAATGCGTCCCGTCACTTGTGTCACAAAGCGCATTTGCGTACCGACGTACTTGTGAAGCTTTTCCAGAAGGCGGTTAGATCACCGGACGACAGAGTCGGTCTCCGTGTGCACAGACAGGGCTGCTGTTAACGTCGGTCTGTACAGCAGCCCTGCGCTAAAACAGCTGATCACAACGTTCACACGCTCCGCGGTCACGAAGCTCTGTACTTCCCCCCCCCCCCCCGTTGACAATCGCGAAGCGCTGTACTCCACCCCTCCCCCCCCCCTTGACAATCGGCAGAAGTTGGAGTACCAAGCACTGACTCCAGGTACTCATCTGAGTACCACACTGAGAAAGTTGTGTGCACCCCTGCTTATAACAATACTGAACAATGTTTAACCTCTACATTTGAATGTAATAGTGAACCTTTGAGTGACAAATCGTATATTTGTCGTTGGTAACTGTCACATATAAGTTATATGATATAACACAAGTCAGGGAGGCGTGTGGTGTAGTGGGTTGTCCATAGGTGTTCGGATCAGGGGGTCACAGGTGCAAAACTGCAGTCAGCATGTCGTTGTGTCCCTGGGCAAGACACTTCACCCCAAATTGCTCCTGTGGGGATTGCCCACAGTATTGAGTATGTAAGTCGCTTTGGATAAAGCGTCTAACAACATGTAATGTTCTCAATACTCAGTAGCTTATCATTCATTCATCTATTTCCTCAACCTGCTGTTGAGCTTCATTATGATCTTGGCTTGGCTTTTGCTGACCAGTCAGCCATACTGACACTGAAGCTAAACCAGTCTCACCAGTCCTACCAGCTAAACCAGCCTTTTGTAGTCCAATCAACATCAGACTAAAAAAGTGAGCCTCCCCCCCGGACTTATTTTGCCCCTAATATTTCCCCACTCACCATTCCCGCACTCCTCTCCTCTCCCCCCACACCAGCTCCTTCCACACCTGGTCCTGCTTCACGGGGTCTCTCCTCTCTGGGTTCCTCTCCCCGGGCCCCGCGGCTCCTGTCCCGAGGCGGCCCCGGTCCCGGTCCGCTGGAGGCTCGGTGGTTTTCGGCCTGGCTCGCTCCGGTAACCGGTATCCCGCAGAGGAGACGCGCCTCACATTGTTCATGTCCATCTCGCCTGGAAGCTAGATTAAAGTGTTGGTTTGTGCTCAGTGAGTGTGAAAAGAAATCACTGCCAGCCGATTTGTTTACGTTTCCATGGAAACCGTGTTCTGGCGCCAGCTGAGGGCAAGTGACAATACTTTCACAATAAGATGTTTACAGGCCACCATAAACAAGGCTATTGCAGGCTGCCTAACTACAGGTAATTACAGCAGGTGAGAATCTGCACCGTTTTTGGGTTGCCCATGCATTATGTGTTAACATTTGGAAAGGCTTTGGGATTATATTATATTGTGCAAAACAACACATGCAATTAATATTTAAAGTACCCATCCCTCATTTTCATTGTGATAAAAACAGATTTGAACCTTCTTATCTTATTAGGGATATTTTTAATTCATAAAAGCTTCTTTTCTTAAATACACCCTATTATTAAGTGTTTTTACATTTTTTGTTTTTGTGAGTTGCCTACATTTTTAACCCAAAACGAATCCATATCAGTAAATAACATGCGCTCAAAGGTGTTTGGTTTGTTAACAAATCATTCTTATTTTTTTTTTTTTTTTTTTATTATTTAAACTGTTTGTTTTGTAGTCCTTCTATGTTCATTACATTTTGATGGCTGATAGTTTGTGTATTTTTGAATAAACAGTTACTTTTTTAATGTATCTTGTGTCACATTGTCAATTCATGAAAATAATTGGGATCAAAAAGATATTGATGTTGGCCTTATTGTGTGTTGAGGATCATCAAAAAGTATGGGGTTAGGGTAAATATCCCCTAGCCCCAAAATATCCCGAAAATAAGCATCAGTTTCCAGCAAAGGGGAAGATCTTATTCAGAGGCAGCTTCATGCAGTGAAGGCCTTCAGGTATGGGGGAACCCACTGAGTAAACTAGTTAAATAAGCAGTCAAAGGTAAATGTTCTGTGCACCACAAACTTCTGTCCCTGTGATATGACCATCTGCTGGATAGGAATATAGATTATGTGTGTGGATTTATCCCCAAGGATAAGGCTGGATGTTTACTTAAAAAAGTAACCTAATGTACACTTCTGTTCCACTTTACTTGCAAGTGTCATTGTCATCGTCAAACAAGGAAATCAATGTATCATTAAAGTGAGTGTTCTGATCAGATCCAGTGAAACATGCATTCCTAGAGAAGCAATTGTGAATTCTCAAATTAAAATGAGAAATGTACTTGTTTAAAAATAAATAAAACGTTTCCTTTTTTATTGTCACACAAAGGCCTACATATGTCAGGATGTTAAAAAAAAAAGAGTTATACCATGCTCTTCGTCATTTGTTTATCATATAATTTATTCCTGAGATTTATAAAGAGAGTAATGTTATTTTATATCTATTATATCTGTTATTACCATAGACTGTATATATAAAGGTTATTACACATATTTTGAAGACCGGAAATCACGCTATACGCTTTTATTTTGAAACCTGAATGCAACAACAGGATGTGCCTCAGCTTTGCAGGACACACTGGGCATTTGACGGAAATGAATTCCGGTACTCACTTTCTGATGATTTTTCCCATGAGCGAATTGAAACGAGCAGCAAGGTCAAGGTAATGTTAATCTCTTTTGTTATCAGTACGCTTAACGTCACATTTGTTTCTATTTCTAGTAGTAAAGGGCATTTTAAGCTGGTAGAATGCCTGACACAGTATTGATGCTAGACAGCATTACCTCTGCGCAGCTAACGTGAGTGGACAGGAGACAGAATATCACTTTATCTCAATGGGCAACTTGTTCCACAACGCACGAGCATTAAAGACGTAGCCGCTAAGTGCTAATATGTAGCTCACATGCACTAAAACAAATACCACGAAAGTGTAGCTGTCCAAGTACGAGCAGGGTGTTGAACATATGCTAGCCAGCTAACACCTTCCTCTCAGCTAATGACAGGATAAATCAAATGTATTAAAAGCCAAACTTGAGGGGAAATAGGCTAAATAAGTGTTGGGACATTTGGTAAGCTTCAGGTGCTGCTCACTTGTGAGACCAGCAAGTAGTCACTGCTTAGTAAGTAAGTTAGCTTAACTAATAATTTAGTATGGCTACCTGTATCATACGCTGTATCATAGGTGGATACCTAAAACACCCTGGTTAAAGGTTTTAATAAGCAGTTAGATGAACCTAATATACTTTAAGATTCTATTTGTGTAACTATTAGCTAATAAGAGTGTTGTTGGCAGTGCATTAGTGGGATGCACACAGGTGTTTTCAATATTGTGTTTGATTAGACCGCCCCTCAGGTGGGCTGGAGGCTGGAGCTATGCTGTGAACTGTAGGATGTCACTAAGTACAAGTTCAAATGGCAGGGGGGCTTCATTAGGCCAAGTGGAAACACCTGTGTTGATAGTCCATTTGTGTCTAGGGGCTCTGTGGTTATGATATTCAATAGACATTATTCAACGTCATACCAGGTAGTTTCACAGGTGTAACTGATGACATAGAAACTGAATGCATTCCATTTTAGAGAGCTGGTTCCAGGGTTCTGTTATTGTGCATGCTGGCTCAGTGACAAGTCCAATGTCTGCTTTAAAAAAGGCTTATTTTACAAACGTTATCCTCTCCAAACAAAAACAAAATCACAATTTCTCATGTATTTGACCTAAGTAGCCACATCGTTTTTTTTTAAACTATTATTCTGAGAGAATGCTGGTTCACTAGCCAAATTCTTCCAAAAACGTTGTTGTAATGATTGCTGGTTTAACGTGGCATTTAAATGATTTACACACACTCACACAGTTGGATGGTTAAGCAGTCAAATAGCGATGGGTGCCACATTGCTCTAAACTATCAGTCAAATATGTGACAGTAGTACGGTTGCTTTGTTAGCTGCAAGGATGGGAACAGGGTGATATCATGGGTCAGACAAACAAAGAGAGGCTTATGGGTAAAGTGGGCCATTGTTCCAATTCACACTGCAATGTCCTAATTTCTAGACAGTTAGTGACCTCAGAGACGCATCACAAAAAATCTATAAGTTGGTGCTGAATAAATGAGTCAAAATAGCACCTCTTTTCACCCTCTGTCTGAAACCAGAGCCCAGTCTGATCTTATTGGTTAGCTGGCTGGCTCTGTTGTGACTGGTCGACCGCTTAGAGATGTCCCACCCGCCTATCATGTTCAATGTGTTGGAGCGCTAGACAATAGAAGCTTGAGTGTTACATAGTGATGTCACAATGTTATTGAAGTAAACAAATGAGATGGAGGTGTTTCAGGCAAAAGCATAAACTATGTGGTTTAGAGATATGGAGACCGCATTTCAGAAAATTAGCCTAGTACTACTCTTCCAACACCCTTCTACCAGGGTGTCCGCGGGGTCTTAAAAAGTATTAAAAGTTGATAAATCAATTTAGCGAAAATGAAGGCTATTCAAAAGTATTAAACGGCATTTTCCAAGGTATTACATTTTGTAGCTTGTTTTCAATAAGTATATAAATTGTCCAAAGAGGTTGTATTCTACAGTCTGCCTGAATGTAATCATTGCGTAGGTGTGTAGTGTGATTCTGTGTAGTTTATTTATGGCATCCCGTTGGATTTGACGTCATCTGAACAGGACATCGCACGCTCACTGCTTGATAGCGCGCGAAGGTCCGTTTATGCCGGTTGTTAAACATCGTTATGGGGAAATGCAAGTTTGCGTCCAAATGGTTGGAAGATAAGGAGGAAGGACAATCAATACTGTATATAGTAAATGTGAGGTAAAGTGTGTCGCCAATGTAACCGGTTACAACTCAAAGTGGCGATGAGGTCTTAAAATGTATGGAAAGGGTCTTAAAAAAAGGTCTTCAATTTGACTTCAGGATTCCTGCATATACCCTGTCTACAGTCCTTTATTTAATAAGGTGAAATGGAAAACACCTAGTCAGTGCATGTGCTTCTGCATGAGGTGTTCAATAAATCCTTTACGCTTGAAGCTGTCGGTTCAAGGATGGGCTTTTATTTTCTTACTTATAAACTTTTCACTGCCACGTGCAAGACCCAAAGGACCACTGGATTGGCCCAGCATTTAGTTTAAAGTCATGAGACACAGTCTGTATTGGTTTATTTGGCATTCATGAGATGTTCTGCTGTTATGATCTATATCTCTTATTGCTAAAGCCAGTCCTCACAAAGCAATTGTACTTGGAAAATAAATGGTATAGTCCACAAGGGAATCCTTACCTTTGTATTCCATTACACATTAAAGCTGAGTGATTTCTCATTTTCACAATGGGATTTAACTGCATACAAATCATTTATTCTAAAATATTTCCCATATGGCTAAAATAAATAATGTATTAGGATATAATGATAACTAGGTTTGAATTCATTTTTCATGATATAATAATGAACTTGTGTAGACATTTCACCAACAGATTTGTCTTTTACAAAATTAAAATAAATTACTTTTTGAAAGGTCACAGTGAGCTTCAGCTACACCTCTCCTTTGGAGCTGACACAGATTCAGTGAGTTGGGCCAATGGGTGCTTTCACATGATGAACGCTTGCTGTCAAGAGGGATGGGACACTGGCCTTTACGGTGAAGGACATCCACCCTAATCACGAGCACCACTTTGCTGCTCTTTCATGCTGTGTTTGTTTGCCCTGTCACCCCACAGACACATTCTCTGCATCGTGGGTCTTACGGTTGACTAATCAGATGAAGTGGTGGTGCGGTCAGCAGAGCACACGACTGGAAAGTGAGAGGGACATTCCAGACGGGGAGAGTCAGAAGTGAGAACTAGCTGCTAATAGCCCCTGGACCTGGGAGTGAGGGGAACAACAGGGCACATTCAGAGGGTGGGAGTGTTATTGGAGGTGGAGGAGAGGACTGGTATTTTGAGAAGCAGCTTGGTTAGATGTTCTAGTGGATCCAGTCTGTGTCTCTTGATTTGAGTTTGGCTGCACTGGAAAGCTCTCATGGAGATCAACCAAAAAGAGGATAAAGGAGAAGATGGCTGTGAGTGTTGGTTGGTTTAGAAGCTTTGAGGCTCAGTGTTTCCTTGCCAGGCTTAGGTGTGTGCTTGTGTGTTCATGCGTGCTGTAGTTCAACCTCCATACGTTTTCTATCCTTTCCCCAGCCCTTTACAGTGTAAGTGTTTCTAAGATTAGGCTAGTACATAAGCATATCTTCATTTGACTATATATTTATTTTGTCTTTAGGCAAACAACAATCCTCACTATATCATCAATCACTTTTGTCAGTATACTTTTTTTTTTAAGATTCAGACTTTCTGTGTTTATAATTCTTTTAAAGCCTCATGCATTTACCATACCACACATGATCACATTTGACCTTGTCCCTCTCCGTTGTGTAAAGAACACACATATTGCTCATATTACAATATCATTGGCAGTACTACTTTTCCAGTAGCGTGGGTTATAGTTATTTTTAAATGTATTTATATTCTGCAATATACTTCAGGAAGATGAAAAGACTGTCACACTAAATAACAATATTAAGCCTAATAGTGCTGTGCTATTTTACTGCCTGGGTGTTTTTGTCTGACTAGCATATTCCTCTTGAGATTTAATCAGTCCCAATTTTCTGATTAATTAAAAAAGGGAACATTTAAAATCTGACGGTTTTAGTGAGATGGTGGCAGATCAACTAAAGTCTTCAATGAAGTCATGTCTCTTAAAACCAGGTCTCACTGCTGCGGTAAAGTGAGAGCTCCTGGAGTCCTCAGAATAAGTCTCCTAATTGTGTTCTTGCCCCAGGCCCTGAGGGGGAGATGACAAAGGAGGATGTTTCAGAGCCTGTTGAGGGAGACGCTCTGCGGGACTGGGCCTCCTCCCATCAGCGGCCCATTATCCATCAGGTGGCCTCTGCACCCATGCCCAGTGACTGCGGTGAGCATCCACACACATGCACACATTCAGTTAGGGCTGCAACAGACCGTTCACAGTTTCATTCATAACATTGAAATTCAAATTCTAAATGCACATTAAAGCTTTTATCTCTGCATGTCTATTCATTTTGTGTACAAATTGTTATTCCTACATGGTTGCAAATAAATATTAGACTACACTAATATTATGACTATTTGTAGAGTTGGATAGCTGCGTAGGATTGTTTTTCTTCCTAAAGGTTTTATTGTCATATGCTCAAAGCTACAGTGTAGAAATGGAAATGAAATTCTTCTGACCTGAGGCCTGTACTACGAAGCCGGATTTTCCTAACCTGGATATGTTTGAGTTAGCCGGTTGGCCCAATCCAAAACATACGCGCTCTCGCCAAACTGTACTACGACGCTGGTTATCAAGTGGATCGCTCAAGCCAGTCGTGTCCTATCTAGTTAGGTGCGCGTTCACATGAAAGGGGTGGCATTTGGAGCATTCGACCAATCTCAAACATGGACAAGCGTACTGACAGCGTAGCGCGTCATACTTCCTGAATGAAAAGTGAACTTTAATATTAGTCAAATATGAAGAAGTTAAACTTTAAACATCCATGACTTAAACACTTTATCCAGGATAAAAGCCACATAGCTGCACCTGCAAGGTGAATACTGCTGGTAAAAGAAAAAGCGTTTGAATGCGTACATTAACAGGTTTATGAAATCACTGCCCCGTATAAGACACGAGTGGATCTGACTTTAATTACATTTGACTCGAGTGTTTCGTCAACTTAATGTGTTGCTTAAAATAATACTTCTGCATACAGTATGTGACACTGTGAGTGTTGCACGGCCAGATACAGCTCAAGAAGCTGACTCAGATAAGGAAATATATGATACATTATGATGTGATATGATATGAATGATAATGGGACACATCGCCGTCTGCACTCACAGTGCCGCGGACTGTACTTAATGTTACTCTGATACGGTTACTTATGTTGTGGCAGATATTTAAGTAAGCTTTCTTAACGCTAATGTTATAATAGTCAGATTGCTCTGAAGATGGGAGGGGATATTCTATTAATTTTCACGTTCACACAGTCAGTTGATTTTTGCCGGCCGTCTTTCCTGCAACGGCAGTTTTTCTGTATTTCCTCTATCCTGTAATATGACTTGATAGCTTTAAACTCCGCACACGGAGCTCTGATTGGTCAGCAGGTGGTGCTTTCACTGAGTTGATCTCTTAGGCCCCGGCTCCACGGGAACGCATACGGCAAAACACATCGGAGTAACGCAAACGCAACCGCAAAAAAGCTTCCGCCCACACGCAATATACACCGGATTGTGTCTTGCTACACGAGACGACTCCGTTTACATCCAACCGCTGGAAAAGCTGCAGTACATATGCCGAGCCTGTACGTGGCGCTGTAACTTCCTCCACAAAAGCAGCGAAGAAGAATGGTTGTCATGGCTGCACTTCTGTTTATTCTCCGCGGTGGGGGCCGACGGAACCGGGCAGAGTCTTTCGCCGGTCAACGTGTGTTAAAGTTTAAATCTTCCGGACAAAATTATAAAAGTGCCGGTCAAAGGTCTTCATTGTTATTTATTGAGCTTTAAAACAAATGAATAACGACGATATAATGATATATAATCATCAAATACACGGAGCCTGTCTCTTTTTCCTCTCTTCTGACAGCGTCAGTGTCTGTCTCATGCAGCAGCTGATCCAGTAATGATGACTCGACAGTAAAAATAAACATATTTATAACTAGTTTAGGTAGTTTGAGAGGTAATTAAAATAGCTAAGGGTGATGATCTGACTTGAAGTGTGTGTTTTGCTCCCGCTGCATCACAGCGGGAGGAGCTGCGTGTCTCCGTCCTGTCAGATTAGACTTCACTCGCGTTTATGTCCATATCGAGATAAAGATAAATAATCTGAATTCAGTGTGCAGTGTACTTTTGCGGGGGTGAGCAGCAGAGGCGGGGAGAGGCGGGGCTATTGCGTCGTCATTATCAGAAACGGATGACCGTATAGGCGACCACACGGCCCCGTTGGACCCCCCAGAGCGCTCCGTTCCCAGATCTATCCACCTTTGGACCCGTTGTCGTTTGCAGGGTCCGTTTCTACGTTTCCGTTACGGCGTCGTCTAGCTTAAAGGGCTATACGCATGAGAAATATGTGGATTCAACCCGTTTTCGTTCCCGTGGAGCCTAGGCCTTAGCCTGCAACCTAACCTCCTCCCGAGGAGGTTAGCCGCTCAGCATAAGTTACCATGGAGATCTAGCCCGCTAAAAAGAGAACCAGCGTCGTAGGACCGGAAAGCCCGAGTTTTCCCTAAAGTCAGCCGGCTAAGCGAAAATCCGGCTTCGTAGGAAACAGGCCTCTGAGCTCCTCCAACAATGCAACATATATCGTCAAATACAAAATAAATCAATCAAATAAAAAACAGTAGTCCAAAAAGTCAATACATACATACAACTCATGATAACGATTCCAATAACTCCGAAGTGTGGTAAAGTCCTAAAGTCAAGTTTGAATTAGAAAAGATAGATGTAATCATTTTCATAATTGCATTTCTAAACAAACACTTTCCCTGTTTGCCTTCCTTTTGAGTGGAGTTTAGGTTCAAACCCTCACTGCAATGAACACCTCGATGACTGCCAATTGGAAAACATTTCACTGTGTATTATAATCATGCAGATAAAGAAAATGATCAGCTGATGACATATTAAAAACTATCAATGAGTCACAATTGTTGATCTTCATCAATGCCCCACTAGGTGGGACTAATCAACATTTAAGTAGAAATAATCAATGATGATGATGATGGTAATTCCCCTGCAGACAGCACCTAATTAAGTCCTGAGACTGCACTCAATAACTATGCTGGCCACTGACTCCAGTGAAGGGTGACGGGGATTCATTTCTGGCTGATCATTCTTTATATTGTGAAAGTTAAACACAAAGCAATGACACATTTCTTACAGATTGATTCTGTAAACTATTACATTTTCAAATAGTAAATACGTTTGCTATTCTCAGTTTCACTTGTTGTATTCTCATGCTGCTCAGTGGGCTTGACAGAGAGCATACAGCTTCACATATGATTTATATAATCCAAAACAGGTAAAGGGGATATCCGTTTAAATGTGCCAACATAAATGTAATGTAGACCAGAATATCACAAATGATAATGTAGTCTTAAATTGAATGCAGTCGGTAAAGCAAAGGCAGAAGGTTTGAACCAGGTTACATGATAAGCTTTGGCATTCACTGTGAAAGGCCAAGCCCATTTGTTTTCATCTTCCGTCGTGCTCGGTAATGCTTCATTTGCTTCACGGCAGGCCATCCGCTGTCACATCTGATTGCATTCTCTGCAGCACAGCAAGGGCATTTCCCAAGATTACTAATTTGATTGAATCGATTGAATGGTGTGCTGCAGAAAGTTAATGTATGTCTGTGCTGCAGAGTCTCACAAGGCTCTGTTCACATGCACACACAGGTGAGAAAGGATCAAAAAGCTTTAGATTCCCAGGTCCAAAGTTCACTTGAATTACATTTGAGTTAATCTGTTGTTTTCTGTTATCTCACCACCTGCAGAGTTCTCCTTCTTTGACCCGAGTGAGCCGCAGTGCAGAGAGGTTCTCCTGGATCCCAGCACCACCATACCAGAGCTGTTCGCTGTCCTCAGGCAGTGGGTGCCCCAGGTCCAGAAGAACATTGACCTCATCGGCAATGAGGTGACGCCATCCAGCATTTTTCACTGTCTATGTGCTTCTATACAAACTACTACTCATAACTACTCATTGAATCAGTCACATGTCAATCAAAAGCAATGCTAAATACAACATTTGATAACTGAAAGCACCAGAATACTTCAAAACAAAATGAACTTTTGCCAACCAACCCCCTGAAGCACCTCCACGCAGAGTTACACAAAATAGCTGCAATGCAGTAAATTGGGCAGGGAAGCAGTTGTCTCAAGGGTAAAACTGAAGATAATTTCCTCCCTGTCTCACTTAATAACTGCTACCCTTGAGAAATACATGCCTCGTTTCCATGTCAGCCCAACAATTCTCGTCCACATTTAAGGATGAGCAGAGTTAAAAGAGAAACAGCTTGCTTGTCATTCATCAGATCAGTGTCCTGGAGTTTAATTTCATAGACTATTATGTAATACTTGTGCACACTAGCAGTCCCACTGACACACTGCACTTCTTGTCTTTGCACAGATCCTAAAGAGAGGCTGCGGTGTGAATGATCGAGACGGTCTGACGGATATGAGCCTCCTGCACTACTGCTGCAAGGCCGGGGCCCAGGGCATCGGTTAGTACTGACCAGAGATGGGGTCGTTACTAAAAGAAAGTAATATATTATATATTACATATTACTTTAAAAAAAAAGTAATATATTACACTACTTCGTTACTCTCTACATAAAGTAACTCGTTACTTTACTCGTTACTTTACTCGTTACTTTACTCGTTACTTTACTCGTTACTTTACTCGTTACTTTACTCGTTACTTTACTCGTTACTTTACTCGCAGGGCCGGCCCGCCCCTCCCTACAGGCAGATCACGCAGACTGCTAAAGTTTCAAATGTTCTCTTTAGTTCAGTTTCCATTGTCGCATAAGACTGATCCAGATAGCTCTGACCATGGCTGTCCTCTGTCTCCTGCTATCTGTATTTTGCGCAGTATATCTCTGAAAGATGCGATGGTGATTCCACTGTGCAAATGGGCAACATTACCTCTACTATGAAGGATGCTACAAGCCTGTCCATCTCTGCTTTGGTTACCGGTCCTCCAAATTCTAATTTGTGCTGCTTCGGAGTCGGCGGCGGCGCACTCACAACATCCTCACTCTGGGTTCGGGGGTCCTTAGCTATTAGCTTCACCTTAGCATGTGTTCTTTGCAGGTGTTTGTTGAGGTTTGACGTGGTGTTTACAGCAGTGGATAACAGCTTCTGGCCTGGACACAGTTTGCACCTCACCGTCACATTCCTGTCTATTCTTCGGACGAACTCAAAATAATGGGCATACCCCTCGAAAGTTATCGCTGACTCTGCCATGTTTATGCAGCACTGCACGTGGAGATGTGGACGCGCAAGTCGCGCAGATTACGTACATATAAACCTGCGGCGGAAACCCCTCTTGTCTGTCAGTGTGATTATGACTGATTTTATAAAAGTAACGAAGTAACGCGTGTCGGGGCAATGTTAGTAACTGTAGTGTGATTACTGAATTATAAAAGTAACGCGTTACACTACTCCGTTACCGACAAAAGTAATATTATTACAGTAACGCGTTACACCCAACTCTGGTACTGACACTCTCAGCTGGGCTGTTAAAGTGTATAAACAACACAATCTTGTATCCCTAACTCAAGGTTCACAACAAAACTATTTAGTATGTGCCGATTAGAGGTTGCGCTAGAGTTTTTCGCTGCCCGTCATTTTGACGGATAGGATCTAAAAATGTCCGTCAAAATCCATTATTACCCGTCGGTCTGTACACAACTCTGACGGGGGGCGGGGGAAGAGCACGCTCGTTAACTGTCAATGGGGGGGACATTTCAATGATTTGTACGGCAAAGTTAGGTTTGGAAACAATATCATTTCCTTTTTGGCGGGCATGCATAACACCGGAGCCTCGTTGCGGGGAAGCTTTGGCGCTGTTCTGAGTTTGTTCTCATCCGTCAAAATGACGGACTGCTTTCAGATTTTTCCGTCATTGTTCAAAATAATCCATCATAGACGGAAAATATTCGGTTAACGCGACCTCTGGTGCCGATACATGGAATGCCAAATACAGTATGCGGAAAGTGCCATGAAATCCTACTGCATCCAGTCACATTTCGCAGTATGCAAGCCAACATGCTTTTCTGGCTATTCTGGCCCAAAACTTTGCTTGGAAGATATATGTAAGATGTTTAAGGTGCCATGTTAGGACAAACGAGTATGTCCAGACTGCATGTCTTCTGTAAACAGGACATACTCTGCAGGGCAGCTGCAGTATCTACTAAAAGTACAAATCAAAAGTATGCAGTTTAAAACATACCCACAGTCTCTAGAGTTCCATGGGCCCAGTTATTGGCATTAACAGCAGTAACGAGTGAACGTACGTCATTTTCTTTACCTGGTATGGATCTCCACTTGTGATCAGATCTCACTTCCCTTCTCTATATGGTAATAAAAACGTACGTTATTTTTGTGTGTGTGTCCAAAATACAAATTGTACTAAAAAGAATGAATTGTTATTGGTGTGATGGGCTTTAATTTCAGTTACTCTCACATAAATCATACATTATTACAGACACGTTGTTTACTAATTAAAAAGCACACAGTCTTTGTCTGGCTGGCTCTTTAATGAGTCATTCCACATATCTGTAACAATGTATGATTTATTTGAGAGTAACAACTGAAATGTACGCAAACTTTCAGAACAATCATCAACTGCTCTTGAGTTCCACTCATAGACCGCAAACGGAGTGGATTCTAGTGTCAGGTCTCTACCAGGCCGTACAGTACCTGTACTCCTCCTGTGTTCCTCAGGTGATGCAGAGACAGCGGCTGGGTTTGCACGCCAGCTTCTTTCCTTGGGTGCTGACCCTAACCTTCGCTCGCGCTGGACTAACATGAGGGCTCTGCACTACGCTGCCTACTTTGACGTCCCCCAGCTGATCTGGGTGGTGCTGCAGGCCTCCCAGCCTGGAGGTAAGAGCAGAGCTGCAGCCATGGAGAGAGGGTGGAGGTCAACGCAGCAGTCGGTACAGGGAAAGCATTTCTATTTACATAACCAACTAAAGTGTCAATTAGGCCTCATCACTTTACTGTGGCAAACATACAGTGTTGCCAGTTTATTAGGTGATCCACTGTACTTGGGCCAAAGAGGGCCTTTTTCATTAGAGATCTTAGAATTGAAAGGGGGAGACGGAGGGGAGGATATTGCCTGAATGTTCGGTCGGCTCGGGATCGAACCGGCTTACTAGGCAGTGGTTACAGCAAATCGGCCGCCAGCTCTAACCACTGAGCTATCAGACGGCCTAACTGTACCTACATTTAATACAATCCAAAATAACCTAGGCAGCCTAAATGTATTAACCTTTGCACTTTCAGTTTTAGTTGGAAAGGTGTCATGTATTCTATGGTGGATCTATTTCTGCTGCTGTTGCATTAAATGGTTAGGTCTTTCTAAATGTGATAAAGCAGTGTGGATAGACCGGGACAGTGGCAGCAGGAGTTTACTATACATTGATTACATTTATTTTAACTTGCACTCATTTCACAGTATGGAGGCCAATTTATAAAACACACTATTCAGCAGATGAACCTTTGTTTACCTTGCTGGAGCTCAGATGGTAAAAAGAATAATGTGAAAAGCGTTGTGCGCTGCAGTCTGTCTTAAAGAAGGTCCTGACCGAAAGCCTGCTTCAGTAAATGAATATAGCAAAGAGAAGAGCGTGTGGATGCTTTTTCTGTCATTACAGTATGAAAGAAATAACGGCACAGCATACACATCTGTTTCAGTTTGTGGACGCACAGACCCAATGCTTAAAGTTATGTTATTTTTCAGTAGCCAATATCCATATATATATAAAATGTTCTGGTGGATTGCTCAGGTACTTTTGTTATATATTACATTTTGCGTACTGTGGTGGTCAATCCAGTTTATATATTTATTTGACGTAGTTTACATAAAAAAAAGAAGATCTAATGCTGTCTCATATCCAGGCTAGGTGAGTCTCAGTGAGCCTGTAAGCATTACTGTGGCTGCGATATGGCACATGATGATAAGCACCTCTGGACACACAGCTGGTCGAGCTGTTCTGTGTTTGTATTTACATGTAGTGTGCGGACAAGGACACTGTCTAAAAACAGTCCTGTATTATACCGAAGTGACAAAATAATATTGTCATGAATAATTAGTATATATTTAATCAGAATTTTTCCTTTTGTGCAGCTTTGAAAGCAGTAGTGCCAAAGTGCACCCTTTTGATTTACGAGAGCTGTGTCATAAATATAGTGTTGCTAGTGGTTACTGAATAGGAACTGATTACGTTGTGAATGAGTATTGTAGTTAAATATTATAATAGAGAAACATTACACTGAGGGGTCACAGCATGTATACACACCCAGAGAGACCAGAATACAAAAGGCCCGTTCACTCCAGTTATGGAGCACCTTTGGCCCTGAACGGCTGCCAGATGCTGTACTGCGGCAGGGACTCAACAATGGATCTGGGGCCTGTTCCACGGGTTAGGGTTAGCACGTTTGCTGTTTGAGTTCTCTGGATTCACCTATGCCTATTCTCAGTTATCTGTTCAAACACAAAGTGAGGTGTAGTGGATGTGAATGGAGCAGACATTTGATATTCAAGAATGGTTCATCATAACGTGTAAATAAATGCTCTTGATTGTCTTTCCTTTTTTGCAGAGGTAGATGCCACCTGTAGTGACTTCGACTTTGGCACCGCACTGCACATCGCTGCGTCCAACCTGTGCACGTCGGCTCTCAAATGTCTCCTGGAGCTGGGAGCCAACCCTGCTTTCAGAGTAAGTACACAACACATTTGACATTTACACCTGTTTGACAAAATCCCCATAGATATCAGAAACGTAGAAACAACAACAGAGCACAGGCAGTATGAGACAAATAAAGAGCTTTCTGAACATTAAAGCATGGAAACATGTCACAGTAGAGACACTACATGCATATATGAACCTCAAAATGAGCAGAATAGGACCTCTTACAGTAAATAAATACATTTGTCCCTAATTAAATCACCTGATGTAATGCTGTCTAATACAACAAAACCACAAAAGAAAGGACCATGTTATTGAACTTTTCATTCATTCTCAACAAACAGTTTTTGATCTCAGATGTCATTGGTACTTCCTTGGAAATAGAAACTCCCACAGCTCCCCCAACATCACCTTTTCAAAACCTTCCCTGTTATTGAATCCTTGCTCCTTTTAAAGAATTGCATCAATTTGATGGAAACACCTTTGCAAAATAAGTCCTTAATCTCTGTCAAAAGATATAACAGATTGCAATATTTTAGTTAAACTGTTGGGCCTTACTTTTATTCCATTTCAGATAAGCAGTCATTCTTTTTGCTTGGCTCTTTCTGACTCCGCTGGCAGATAACACCAAAAAGGCATTTGTTTGCAGTACACACTTCCCAGACGTTTTTTGAAAACGTCTCTCTGTGCTCAGTCTTTCTGCCTTCAGCCTCTCAATTGAAATCATTTAAAGCCTTGTTGAGGGGCTTGCTAAGAACAGCCCTGATATACTGTTACCTTTTTAATTGAAGGATGCACAGCAGATTCCCAGCAGATGGCAATGTGGCATCAAGGCTATAAAGTCTCTCATAGCTCATCAACTCTATTGAACATTTCTGCCTATACTATAATTGTCTCGTGTCACTGTGCGTTTATCCTTTCATATTAACCACTTTTTTAATATGAATACAAGCTGTTTCTTAGCACAAAAGGTGCCCGTTCACTCTATGCTCTAATCTTCCCACTGGAGGTCACCAAAGCACTACACACCATAATCCAATCATTCCCATGATGATTACGGAGTCTCTATATATTCTTGTGTGAACGCCAAGCTTGGTAAGCAAAAGTTGATTTGACACAGCTTGGTGTTTTTTTTAACCCTTTTTATTCCGAGATGTTCTGGGTTAGAGAAATGGATGTTTGCTCCTTATCTCTGCTGAGCAACTGTTTAAATTCCACTGAGGGGAGATTATTTTCGGGCTTGTCAAGTCTCTGTTTCCAATTCGCCCCAGAGAAATGTTGCATCTCTTTTACAAGTTCTAATATTGTTATTCCTTTTTTCCCTCTAGTAATCCTTTTTATAGTTTGAAAGTAGCAATGTGTTCACTGTCAACAAACCCTTTTCAGTTGGGGTGTAGACCAAGCTTGTGGGTGTATCAAAGTCCTAACACGACTAATGTATGAATTAGATTATTACCCAAAAGAGTACACTGCAAAACAAAGCAAAGCCATTTCAGCTTTATGTTGCCTGGAACATGTTAAATGTGTCTTTCTTAAGTTTAGTAGAAAATGTAGCATGTAGCAATGCACCATATAGCATCAGTATAGACAATGTGCAATGATTTGAGTTGTACTTGAAAGTTCTACCCATCAAATGGCGTCCATTGCATTTAGAAAAAGTTGTTTTTGTCTTGCCGTGGAGAACGAGGCATGATACTAAAGAAACAAATGAACTTTAAAATCCCTTTTCCCTTTGAGTAAAGGGCAGGCTTGGAAGAGTAAATATTAATTTGATATTTCTCTTCTCTGACTCAGTAGACATTTGTGACAACAAAGCTCGCATTTGAGCAATGGGAAGTTTTATAAAGATGGAAAAATGAAGAATGCTGCTGGCCTTTCATGCTTCTCTTGCCACACATCTTATTGCTTAATCGCTATAGCAAGTCATCATACTTCCATTTAGCAGCACGCTGCTGTAGGGGATACCTTACTCGATTGTTCCACTTTCAGTTTTGAAGTGAGCCAATGTTTCAAAACTGTTTGGTATGTGCTGGGTGTTTGGTGTGTAGAGTGAAACCATCCCCATCACTTTTTGTCTGGAAGGTAAAGTTACAAGTGTTGTACAAGTGAACAAAACATTAGCAGTTGAGCTCAGTACAGTTCAGCCTTGAAATAGTCCACATAGTTTAATTGACGCCACTTTTCTTCCAGAACAACCTGCTTTTATCACAACACTTTGCCGGAGATGAGATTAAAGATCCTGTTAAGCCCAGTGTCCTTGTTTCAGAAACGACAACTGAACTTTTAGATAATAGAAGCAAAGAAGAAAGTTTGACTTGTTTGTCCTTGCAGCCTGTCATGAGTTTGATAACCTACTTGATATTGATCAGTTATAATACATTTAGTTGGCATGCTGGCAAGTGAAGAAGAAAAGTTGGATGAAATTCACTTCTAATTCATAATTTTTTCATCGATCTTCTGTGCTTCTCCCTTGTGTCTGCCTACAGAATGAGAAAGGGCAGTGCCCAGCAGACGTTGTGCCTGACCCCCTGGACATGCCCCTGGAGATGTCCGATGCAGCGGCCATGGCCAAAGAGCTCCGGACTCTGCTGAGACGGGCTTTACCCAGACCCAGCTCCCCTCTGCCGCTCACACTGCAGGCCCAGTCCCTCCCTGGTCTCTCCGATAAGGCCAGGATCCAGCTCGCCGCCATGGGACTCCGACTAGGAGACCGTGTGGTGATAGCCGGACAGAAGGTGCGTGGTAGGTCACTATCAAAAGGCACAAACAATGACCTATATCTTCATTTATCCTTTGATTGCAAAGATGTGTGGATACAATGGTTGAAATCCTGCCATTATAGAATGCACTGATCTTCTTCCATTAAATCTTGCCTTAATTGATTTATCATAAGAACACCTCCTGTGCTGACAACGCCACCTACCTAATAGCAAAGCATGAATGGCCAGTAAAGCAATAACATCAAAAAGGGAAGTTTCACAATCAGCTTTGTTCCTATAACCACATCAGTGCCATGCGGCTGTGCTGTAGTTTATCCTAAACAAAGACAAAAGCTTTTGTTCAATTTTCTACAATTATTTCAGCCCTCAACTGAGTAAAAATAGTTTCCAGTTGCTAAGCAACACCCTTTTGGCATCCTTCCAAGATCCAGGGTTATGTTTGACAGTTCGTTTTGGCATATCATCAACATTTATCTGAGCAGGTCTTAGTTTATCCAACAAAAGTAGTGATTCTGATAAATGTCTGGTAAAAGTGTTGGCAGTTTTGAAATGCTCATACTTTTCCACTTTGCCTTTGGATCATCCTCTATTGTCCAAACCCACACAATCCATGAGTGTAAATGTCAGAACATAATGAATCAGCTGAAGTGCTCACATGCGAGCATTGTAATTATAAGGATTTACTAACACTCTTGACCAGTCACAGTTCCTTACTGTGTATACTGTTTGTGATTTAAAAATGTCCTTTTAAAGCATGCCGTTTACTCTTCATTACATATTGTAGGCGGGTCTATACGTTTGCATGTGCATAATTACAGAGGAGCCTTTGCTGCAACCTTCGTTTATGTAATCCAGTCGTTGGCTCTGAATTCAGGCAAAGACATTCATCCAACAACCCATTTTTTGCCCAATTCCTTCATTTGCTGCGAATAAATAAGTTGGTGTGGCTTCTCAGCCTAACCCCCCGACATCAGTGTCTTGGTTTAAGCCACGTGTAATCCCTTTGACAAGAAGCAAGCTTTGAAAGCCATGGAATTTCCAGTTTTCTAACTATGTTCATGAAAAAGTTATAACTTTGACAGCTTGCTGCACAGTAACTGTCCTCAAGTTTCCTGAAAATGAAAACCCAAGAAATCTGTACGTTTGCAAAATCGGCCTTATGTGTCCAATCCAATGACTGATGTGTGTCTTCAGTCATCAGGCTGACAGCCAGCCGGCGTTGAGTGTGCTTTGTGACTCAACAAAGCAGGTAAGGACATCCACAGCAGGGACTAAAAAATCACCAGACATCTCTGTTGCAATCGTTGGTGCTTCAACTCCGCCAGTACGTGCTCAGAGGCTCAGTTCAGCAATATCTGTGACATCCTCTCTCTGCTCACTTCCAGATGTCTTTGCACTTAAGTATGACATTTCCTGTCTCTGCCAATAACCCCAAATACCCGAGATTAATGTGACCAAAAGTCAGTAACTTTTATAGGAACTCAGGAAAGACTTACTCCAATCCACAATGGGACAAATGACAGTGCTAGTCTTTGTGTCTGTTTTAGTTTGATGTGATTCTCATCATGGTTCTGCCCATAGAGCCATCAAATATTAGACAGAATATACAGAATGAGACAGGTTTACAAATAATGTCCGTGAAAATATTATAATGTTTCTACACTTGGAACAGGCTCTGTCCGCTCTGCCTTTTTCAACATTCCTTCTTAAACACAGAAAGATGTAGCTTTTCCGTCTGTTAAGGCTTTGTTCTGTACTTCTTGTGTATACTAGTTCATACGCTGAACTCCTTTGTGCCTTTGGTGTAAGCATGTAGCAAGAAACGGTAGTATGATGACTACCAGAGTATTGCTCATGATATTGCTGGAATTGTAGTTGAGCTCCTTAGACTTCATGTCCTCCCTTTTCGGACTGGACTACTGACCCCTGTGAAAGTGATTACAAACAATCGATGTTGTCAAGCATGAGCTTTAGTTGACATCCTCCATGATTTCTATGTCTTAAGTCAAATGTTATTAATGTGTCCAGTTACCCAGTTCTACCCCTCTGGAAAAGTCAACTTAGGCAGCCACTTTAACATTCCTTTTGCCGTGACATCTCTTACATTTCAGTGCCATTACAGCTCACTGAAAAACTATTTAAGTACAATTATAGTGGTTCTGTATAACAAAATGTGGCATCAAATAAATGTAATCTTTCTAAACTTTTTGACAGAGATCGTGACAAATTGATGCCTCTGTACTCTGGCTGAGGATTTTCTTAGATTTGAATGGATTCTCAAAACAGCCTACAACCATGAGAGATTATGTAACGTGGTGAAATGGTTGGTGTAAGCCACCTGTTTATGCTTTTGAGGATGTGTTCACTTTGAAAGAAATTGTAAACAACTGATTAAGTCTGTCTCTGGCTCAGGGATTGTCTGAATTTGCTCCACCTGTCTGTCACAGTAAACACTGGCTTTATGGCTTTTCAGATGTACCATGCAAGTGCTGTATGTGTAGACTGCAGACAAACCAAAGGCTGTAGGTGGAGGATGCACTGGTGAAATACAAATGATAGTGCATGTATATGTGCAGGTGGCCTGTAAATCACCATACGTTTGGCATTAGACAATCTCATAGCAAGACGTATTCCCACGATGCCTTTCAGCGCTTGAGAAAGGTCTCCACATACGAATGTATCATTCTGGTATAGGAAGAAAAACTCCATGGCTTGTTTGTATCCTTTAAACCAAACGCAATCATTTTGTGCAGTGCGACGCTCAGGATACAGGGACAGTGCCCTTGCAAAATATATCAGATGCAATCACTTTAGTGCAGACATTTAGAAGGAAATGCTTCATGTGGAAATAGTTGAGGATCAATATAGAGAACAAAGCATTAAAGCTATAACAAGCTCTTACTAGCGTGAGCAACTTGAGTTTTAAAGCAGTGCACACAAATATGCACAAGTGGGGCTGTATGAGGTTAATTATCCATAGTCAGCGTACTACCAAAAGTAGATTGCGATGGGCACACACCCCCAGTTTGGAAACAGATGGGAGCACCAGCTTAGAGGCTCCGAGGCAAAATGCTGCTGTCGACGGGGCAGCAGCTAAATATATTTCAGCCACATAAAAGAAAGGCACACGTAAACAACTTTGTGTGTTGTGTACAATGTGGGGTTTCAAAATATTACTCCGAATTCACCGATCATACATTTTGTGAAATTGATCACACGGAACCACTGGTCGCATTCTAACAGTTTTTTTTAAAGGCCCTTCAAATCCCGATAATACTTAGTATCTCTGTTTTTTAAAATGTGGCTGTATTCCGCAGTGTATCCTTGCTGTATGGTCATCCAGCATAGATGCAAACTCAGACATGTAAACGTGAAGAAAATATAATAGTTGGACATTTGATCTGAAAGAATGAGCCATTAATAGATGCCACATAATCACAGTGTGCCAAGTTGTCGAGATGGGCTAATCAAAACTCTTATTATCTTCCCTGCTCTTTCTGGCACAGTCTCATGCCTTGATCTCCATTTTCCCTTTTAATTGTTTGTCTCATCTGCTGCTTGAGTCGACATGGTCGCATGATAATGTTATTGGGTTTCTGATAGGGGTTCTGCCCTTAACATAATACCCACCATGGAGATGTCATTCAGCACGCCGCTTGGTGCACCAGCAAGTTCTTTTGCTACATTTCTTGTTTTGGTTTTGATTTGTTTTGCACACTGTGCTAATTTGTTTTGACTTGTTGTGGTGTATAATTATGTGTGCGCAGGTTGGAAGGCTTCGATTCTGTGGCAGCACCGAGTTCTCTGGAGGCCTCTGGGCCGGAGTGGAGCTGGATAAACCGGAGGGGAAGAACGACGGCTCGGTAGCAGGCGTTCTGTATTTCACCTGTCGTATCAAACATGGTAGGTCACGCCACAGCCCAGCACTTAATGATCAACCACATTTAACTTACTTATTGTCTACTTCATAGTATTTATTAATCCAAACAGATTTTCAAAGGTATCATATATAACCCCATTAAATTAGTTTGTCTCTTTTTGTATTTATTGCTCTTTTGTAATTTATTTTCACTCTGTATATTTACCATTTTTAAAAACCTGTGCCAAAATGTTCTCTTTTCTTCACAGGAATCTTTGCTCCCCTCTCCAAGATAAGCAAACCTTTGGAAAGACATAAAGCCAGCACCAAAAGGACGTCTACTCCCTTAAGACCCCCTCGTCGCATCGACGTATCCCGCATCACCTCCAAGATAAACACAGGTAAGAACAGTTTGCAAACAGCTCACAACACTTGACTCTATTAATTAGGTAGGGCGGGATAACACAAGATACATCATACAGAAAGTGCTTTGTGGATCGTTGAGAACTGCTCAATGAGCGTCAGCCCGAGGCTCACAAGATTTTGGATGAAGCGGTTTGCCTGCGGAGTTCAGGCACAAAGCATTGCAATTTAAAAAAGCTTAAAATGATCAAGTCGTATTAAAACTACAAAGGCTGTGAAACTGAACAGCCTGTAGGCACCTTTGGGAAGAGGAATGTGTTCACAGGTGAATAAATGCCAAAGGGGCCACAGTTCCCAGGTAATCTCCCACAGTCCCCTGGAGGCCCACATATAGTATACAAATCAAACTTCACCAACCTCATAGAAACACAAACACTTTGGAGGAAGAATATTATCACGGAGAGCTGCTTCCCTATAACAGAGCCCACATCCTGTTTGATATTCTGATCATCCTCAACCAGCCTTCTCCCTCTGCTTTATAACCTAAACATTTGCCACTTACAGTGAAATATATTATTAGCAAAACGCTGTTTAATTCCTCTTATCTATGGTCTAGTCTCAAGTATGGAGTATCCAGAAAAATGTGTAAAAGTGATATTAAACTAATGACTCAGCTGAGATGGGCTAATAGTGACATCAGATATATTCAGCAAATGTGTTTGTCTGAATTAAATGAACTAACTCAGTGAGATGTATTCGAACATAATGTCCATTGTTCGTCTCTTAGGGTAATGGTAACATTATTACAGTACGTAAATCATTAAACAGCAGAATCTTAAAATAGAATAAACAAAATGTCATTGGAGCCTTTGTGTGAATGTAACTGCTTATGTTTCATCAACAGAAACAATCCAGTTTAGTTAAAATAAATGTGTTGTTTGTTATTGTAAAAAGCCTTTGTTTCTGTATAAATAGCAGTTATTGTTGGAACACAGTAGATGGAAAAACTGATCCAAGTACTGAAGGTTCTCGTGCTGACTTGGCAGGCTTTGAACCTACCAAGGATCGAGTCACTCAACTGTGTCCAGATGAGGCTCAAGCTGATGGTCACTTTGTTCCAAAAAGAGGCTTTCTCAAAGTTCCTAGCTTGTGTGAGCCATGTCACTGCATACCAGCATTTCTTACGTCTGGACTTTCATGTGAAGCTTCCTCGAATACTGTGAAAAGTGGATTCTGAACTCCTTCCAAAGGACAGTGCATACATGAGACTGCTGAGTTCGCCCTAGCTCTCTTAGTCCTAGGATTCCCATATACTCGGCTCCTAAACTAATGTCTTCTCATATTATAGTCCAATCACCTCAGAACGTTATAGAAACTGTCTTGGTAGGCTTTTGTGTCTGTCGGGCCCTCTCCTGTTTACAGCTGTGTTGTGCTGTTGTAATATTGAAAGGTTCTGAAGGCTGATTGATCTGGACGTGACTGGAATGCCGTACCTCAGCGTGGCCTATACGCTGTGATTGATAGTCCAATTAAGCCGGGTTTAATAACTAGGCCATGGACGGGCTGAATAACCTGGCAGCCATTCATCACGAGGTGTGTGCAAGCGTTTTATATGTGGCGAGCAATGCATGTGAGGGCGTGTGCCAGCACCTCCATACTACTCAGGAACCAGAGTAATTTACGGCCTAACACTTTTCAGAGCCTTTGTCAGCCATTTCCAGCCCTCACTCTGAGAGCCACCTGTGTGTTAGCGGCCCCTGGACGGGCATACAGCTTGCTAGTGTGTATCTACAGATTGGATGTGTCATTGTGCACAGGTCTCGTCTGGCTAACCAGCAGAGACCGGCCGCAGAATGCCACGCTGGCCCCTATTAGAGGGTCTCAACTGTGGCTCAGGCCTCAAAGGGCGCTGGAAACATAGACAACGCTCACAAAGCCCCCTCTTCTGATTCATAAAGCCTCAGTGTGGGCTGCAGTCTGTCACTTGAAGCGAATGTCAGTGTGTGGCCGGGATAGATAGAGCCAGGAGGTCCCTGCGAGCTAAAGGTCAAGTGACAAGAAATGTTTGGTATTCTGAGTCGAAATGTAGTCTTTGGAGTTCGAAGGAGACGCACAGCTCTGCCTCTTGAGGGAAGCCATTCCCGGCTCTCTCTAAATGTGAACCGAAATGGCAATCGATAAATACCAGGCTGATTTGAGATTTTTAAAACGCCTTTTCAAAGTGCAGTATAAGGTTTAAACTTAGGTGAGATGTTAATGTGTTAAGAGTAATGTGGGTCAGTTAATGTGGTAGATTAATGTATGAATTAAATCAGCGTAAATATTTTTAGATAGTTGTTGATGTTATTTCCTGTTAGAACAGAGTCCGAAAGGCTTTTGTCAGTTTAATTGTAGCTTTAATTCAAGTAAAAAAACGATATAGAAAGCTTGATGTTCTCAACCTTTTGGTGCTATAAATTAGGTAAGAACATAATTATGTTTACTTGTGCAAGAACTGTTATTTCTCAAACTCTGCTGTTTGAGTGTACCAAGACTCCCTTTGAAGTTTCCCTTTGTGTGGGTGTAACTGCTTGTATCAGCATTTATAAGTGTTTGTATTGTGTCTTTGAGGAAAAGAGCGTCTCAGGCAATTTCTTTGAGTAATTCTTGTTTCTTCGCTACTTGACAATGTCATGCTGTCCTGCATTTGCATGTATTCACTCTCCTTCTTGTGTTATCTTTTCAGTGTAGCCTTGTTTATGTTTCTTCCTGTAACTCTCCACTGTGTCTTTCTAGTTTCCTCATTTGTTATTCTCTTTATTTCTCCAAACTTTATAAACTTGTCTCTCTGGATATAGTATTTACATTCAAAGCAAATCTATGTTCATAATAACTAACACATACAGCAACTGACTATCCAAGTTATTCTGACAGATTCATAAAAGTCCCGTTTCAGATAGTTTCAACTGATAAACAAAAGATAAAAAACAAGTCTTATCAATTGTCATTATCAAACATTATTTAATGTTATGTTACTATGTCATCTTGCTTCTGAGTACTTTACTATTACGATGAATATAGATCTCTGTGATGAAAAGTAGTCACTGTGTCTCTCTTGTTTGTTTATGGGAATTGGGTGGAAAGGTTTATCTCCATCTGGTGAAAATGAAAAAAGTCCACCGTGTCCCAATCAGGGCCCAGAGGGAGACGCCTCAGTGACAAACACAGGTACTGCAGGTCCAGCTGAGTGCGCTTCATTGTACTTTCTATCAGAGAACGGGCTGTGGGCACGACATTGCATTGTTTAAGTTATTTTGCTCATTACTTTCTGGGTTCCAGAAATCACCATTTGTTTGTAGCTGAATCTTCCATTAGGTCCTAAAGCACTTTGGCACAGATGTAATCAATTAGCCTATAAGAGTTGGACACTCATTGAACTTGTGGCCTGTGAAGGTCTGTGAAAGTTAAAAGCTTAACGATGTCCTGACTCTAAATGGCTTCTTAAGAATGAACTTGGGCGTGCCCCTCGTCCATCTCGCCCCCTCATGTTGGGAGGGGATTAGCATGTTAGCATGTAATTGGCCCTCCATAACCGGACAAGCAACTGTATTATATTGAGCCCACTTGTGCTGCCATAGAATGATGTGCTGCAGCTGCTTGCTTTTCTGAAGAAGTGCAGTAGTAATTGTCTGGATCTGAGTGCTGTAGGCACCGTCACATTCACATTATTAAAAAGGAGAAATGAACAACAGGCCGAGATTCATTATTTCAATGGAATTGCAAAAGTTCCTGATGTAACCATGAATGGATGGTGGTGTGTGGCGCAGTGGTTTGTGCGTTGGTGTTCGGATCCGGGGAGCACAGGTTCAAACCCCACTGCAGTCAGCATGTCGTTGTGTCCCTGGGCAAGACACTTCACCCCAAATTACTCCTGTGGGGATTGCCCACAGTATTGAGTATGTAAGTCGCTTTGGATAAAAGCAAGTGACATGTAATGTAATGTAATGGTGGGTTCAGTATTAAGATGGGAGGCACCCAGTGTGTGCCGTGTGACTGTAGAGGGTAGAAAGTATAACAATGTTCACAAGTAGAATACTTTACAGAAATAGGTCTTATCTAACTTTGAAATGTGTATTCAGTCCCTTTTTGGTAGGGTTCTTTCTTTGAAGGGGGCCTATTATGCTTTTCGGTATCTACCCTTACCTGTAGTGAGTTATAAAGGTTTTTGTGCATGTAAATGTTCTGCAAAGGCGCCTCCATTGGACTCCTTTGTTTATTTCCAGGACATACAGTAGTGACATTACAATGTAACATTACGTTCTATTGGCTAGTGCTCCCATTGATTGTACATGATAGGCTAAGGGGCTGGACTTCTCTATGCGGTTGACCAATCACAACAGAGCCTGCCAGCTAACCAATCAGAGCAGACTGAACTCTGGTTTCAGACAGAGGGTGAAAAGAGGTGCTGCAGCACAGGCAGTATGAGGAAAATAAAGAGCTTTTTGAACATTAACCTGTTACGCACCGCCCCCCCGGTACCGGGCGGATAAACGCGTCATTTGCAGGAAACAACGTCTAAGGAATCTTAATATTTAATAAACTATGAATGTTTTATATCCAACGGGAAGAAACTCAGCTAACTGATCTTTTTCATTTTTTTTCCAAAAAACCCCACAATGCTAACACTCAGCCTCTGAATTAGCCACGAGCGAAAAAATGTAACCTATCACTGCACTTAACTCACTCCTAACTCCCTTATTACTTATCCTAGATGCACAGCCAACCCCTCGTTTTGCATCTCCTGGAGACACAGAATCTGGGGGTGCACACCTCAACACCTAAACATTTGCGACGCTATAAACGAAAGCGTACATCATAACATGTGGAGCTAGGTAGCTAGAAACGCTAACATGGCTTACCTTGGTCAAAACTGGTCTTCAATGGCATTAAAACGATAAAAAAACGATGCTGCAGTTAATCCATAGGTTCATCCAATGTGTCTGTGTCCTCTTTGAAATTATTTCTGATAATCCATAAGCAATAAAACTGCTTTTTCGTTTCCAAATGTCAGAGCGAGAGATCGGTCCACTCTGCTGCAAAATTACATGCGCGCAGCCCCCACCTTTTCTCTTCACAACGCGTGTGTGTGGGGACCTCCCCTTTCGATTCTATTGGCTCTAACGGTCAGAAAGAGGTGTCAACCATCAAAATTGAGCAAGGGGGGCCAGAGATATGGAAAAAAAAAACATTTTCACCCAAATCACCTCAGAGGTGGGGTGGTTTTGGCCAAACCTCTCTAAAAAGGTCAAATGTCACTTGTTTTGCATCAATCTTGATACAGGGTACTTATTATATGTTGTACTTTGGATTCCTAAAGCTTTTAGTCTACTAACCCATCATCCAAGGGTAGTTTTCACTATAAGTAAAAAAGAATATTTGGACGGACACTATAATTTACAGTTTTTTACTATGTAAAATCTGAATTTTCTTTAAAATAAAAAACATCTATATTGATTCTGACACTTCTACATCCAACTCACAGATGTAACCTTGCTTTGATAAAAGAAATTATTCATATAACCCTTTTAGAAGTTAAGTTGTAGTCATTTGTTTTGGGCATGTCATTTTCGAGCCTGAAACATGAAAAACAGGCTTGGTGCTTAACAGGTTAAAGCATGGAGACATGTCTTAGTAGAGACACAGAATACAAGTATGAACCTGAAAATGAGCATAATAGGGCCCCTTTAAGTCATTTCTTCTCTGTATGTCTTGTTACTTATTCCTCTGTGTCATGTTCACCACAGGCGTTCTCTCCCGCTCTCTCTCCTCTTCATCCTCTTCCCTGGATTCTCGGCATGGACCAGGGGCCCGCCCTCGTCCCCTGCCAAGGCAGCGTCTTCCTGCCAGGCAGCGGAGGGAGAGAGCTTCTCTCAGTCCGAGGGCCACGCCCTCACCTGCGATCCACTCTTCTCCTGACAACACTGCACTTCCTCCTGCAGGTCTGTCTTATTATATATTACATACTCACTTTAATAAAGATCCCTATTATTCATTTTTTCCTGATCATTATGCAGACACAAATGAATCGTATTCAGGCAGTTATTGATCACAGGAGTGAAACACTTTTTGTGTACCTCTCCCAGGTCTTCGAAGTAGAACCCCCTCGGCTAGTAGCTCAGTGTTTGGGGGCCCCGAGGTGCGCCTGGGGGAGAGGGTGCTGGTGGTCGGTCAGAGAACTGGTGTAGTGCAGTTCTACGGGAAAACCAACTTTGCTCCAGGTAAGTTGTTAAAAATGCTGTTCTCCCTGCAAAGATCTGACAGTTGAAATCTTTGAAAACTTAATATCATGACACTCTTTGAGTAGATGCTTTGCAGCCTTGCTTTTTGGTGTAATCTGGAGGACACTTTAATAACTTGCCTTTTGGACTAAGAGGTTGTTCGGCCTCATTTTCATAAAAAACGACATAACGATCATTTTAATTGTTATGAATTGCATTTATTTTATATATGAATATATGAAAATGCATATTGGGTGTTCTGTGAAGTCTTAATTTGCAAGGTCATGGTATCTCATGGCCAATTTGGTTGTTAAAAATTATGGCAAACGGCGCAAGGTTAAACACATTATTTTATAATTAAATTGAATTGTTATACATCTGACTATTTATCATATTTGAGCTCTGTTTACTAGCATAAAGTAAATGTATGTTTAATGTTAGAATGATAGGGTTCAATAACGTACATGTGAGGTTTCTCTGGAAAGGTTCAGCCCTGTCAGTGTTGTGTATTGTGTTGTGCTTGGAGCTTATGTGAATAAACTCCTTCAAACTATTTTATTTTTTAAAGCATCCAAGTGTCTCTGAAATAATTCATATCCCTTTTGATAAATCATGTCTGTCTTTTACTGTCTTTTTCAGGACAGAGCTTAAGAATTAGGATGACTTTCTACTCTTACTTTCTTTTCCCTTTTCACATCCTGAAATGTCTAATTGGGCAGTGAACTGATGAGCTGGTAGTTTGGACCATATTATTCTGACCATTGCACAGCTCACTTTGCTGCCATTATAAGGTTGAACAAATAGTCTTTATGTATTTAAAGGGTCAATCTTTTTTCTTTTTGTAGCATCTAAATTAGACCCTCCAGAAAAACGCGGGCTAAAATCCTTGATTATGCGATTAAACATGCGGGGTTTTCATGTGATTTTATGCGGTGAAGTTGCGAAATATGCGGAAATATGCGAAAAGTTGCGAAATATGCGGGAGGCGGAAAAAAGGTGATTCTTCTCCCACACCCTGTTACTAGGCTACTACTGAATGAAAGTGAGCCCTTTTAAAGAGTTCCTATGATAAACAAGCATACTAGAAGCAAGCTACATCACAAAGTGTTATTTATGTATTTATATATGGGCTATTTTAATCACTCTCTCTCACACACACACACACACACACACACACTCTTCTCCGCCTCATTCTGTTTTCATTTACTCGTTCGTTATCTGACCAGCTTCAATCTTGTAGGCTACTCACCTCGTTTTTGTAGCCCTCGAAAGGGTTTTGGAGGTTGATGCCTCGGTGAACGCGAGTTGTTTGACTTTCTTGTCCGCAGCAGCAGAAAGCATTTTAGAATGTTTGAATGAATCAAAGTGGGTCGTCACCGTCGATTTTCTCTTATGCTCCAACACACAGTTGCACGGGGTGCAGAATAGTTTCCCCCCACTTTCGTTCAAGACATCGGGGTACTGCTTTGCCCGGTCTTTAGCAGAAATGTTCGTAGGCAAATGAGATGGATTCGATTTTTTCATCTTGGTCAGAGCCGTATAATAGTATAATAGTATATAATAATCTATATGGCGCTGATCTTGTTGTTTTCTCTCTCGTGTGAGTTCCACACATTCACTCTACGGTGTTGTTTACCTGCGCGAGCTGATGACATCACTACTTCACGTTAACTTTTTTTTCCCTCAACTTTGTGTGGAAAAATGCGGGGATTATGCGACCTTTTAATAAATATGCGCCCTTTTAAAAATCTGCGCCATTTTGCTGATTATGCGGTAAATTATGCGATCGCATAATCGCGTTTTTCTGGAGGGTCTACTAAATGTCAAAATGGATCTGTGCAGTAACATTTTGTGGAAGGTATTTATTTAGAGAGATATATTTAACAAAAGTTGAATTCTTCTGTTCCTACATGCATGAGCTGCGTCTCAAACTCCTAAGTCACTGCAGTGGCAAACCTCCAGTTACACAGACGATACTTTGAAAAATAAGATGTGAGAAAGCTGCTGCCGAACAAAAGTCTTTGGAACTCGCTCAGAAAACTGCTCACAATGCTCATTAACATTTAGGCAATGGTTCTGCCCAGGCATCATTCATGTATGAATAAGTGCTAACACATCTCACAGCACTGAGGATCATGTTTGAGGGGATTTCCATCTTAAGTTTCCGTTCATACTTTGAAATCAGTGCTAGCAGTGCCCCGCTATCTCAGCCTCCGAGCATTAAACACTGCCTCTTTATTCCAAAAGCTGCTCTTCCCACTACTAGCCTATTCCCTGATGTAGCACTACATCGATGATGGAACCGCCTTTAGTAGCTATATTTTCAGTCAACAGCTGTTTGCATTATCCAGCACATATAACCGTCTTGCTAATGTTTATACATTTGCTTTTTACAGAAGCAAACATTACATTGATCCTTTCTTTACTCTTGCCTTATATCTTTTTTTAAGAGGCCCTATTATGCTTTTTGTGTGGTCTGCAAAGGCTATACTGCCAACCCCCCCCCCCCCCCCCGCCGCCTGAAATGCCTCCATTGGACTGCTTTGTTGACTTCTTAGCATCACTTAACTTTGAGGCGCATCTTTCCTCTTTGTTTCCTGCGATGATCCGTTAATGTTCCCTTGACAGTTTGTCTAACTTCCACTCTGTCTGTCTGTGCAGGGCTCTGGCTGGGCATTGAGCTGGATAAGCCCAGTGGTAAGAACGATGGGTCGGTGGGGGGGGTGAGGTACTTCAGCTGTCCTTCCAAACATGGCGTCTTTGCTCCTCCTTCTCGCGTCCAAAGGTGAGTGCAGGCTCTCTAAGGTACCTTATATTTTGTACTAATGATAACTTTAGTTTTTGCCAGGGGTCACCAAATCACATTTGTCGGTTCAGAGCAGATTTTGGAGGAATTTGACAATGTAGCACGACAAACCCTGAGGTAGTGTTTCATTGCCCTCATCAATACACCTGAGGACGTTAATGAGCTCCTTTGACAGTGTCATTTGTGCGAGTGTTGACATATTTGATTTTTTGCCCTCTGTGTGGCACACAGTCCTGTGAACTTGTGATTAAAGGGAGTCGGAGTTGTCAAACGGGAGGCCCGGGGCCCTCACCCTGCACAACTCCTCACTTTAATGTGGCACCTAGTTCTGAGCCTGGCACCATTATCCCTGCCTTTTCAATATGCATTATGGTTAATGAATATTTGCTTAGCATTTCTCAATTTTATATTTTCACAACAAGGTATGGAATACATAAGAGATTTCCTTGCAATGTCGCTGCATTGAACTTTATTCACATGGTGTTTTTCTATTGGTTCAACTGTCCCATTGTGGGATATCTACATCACATGCAAGACAAAGCACAGATCCTGGTTTGGTTGCCCTTTAGGTTATAATAACACAGTGGTGAACCGTGTCTATCACAACTGGACCTTCTGTAGACACACACACCGCGCCGTTATAATGTCCGTTAATAATAATGACGGTTCGCCACTGTAATAACAAAATAACAGTATTTGCCTATATGAGGCAATATTTAGCTTACATTTGGTGTCTACTGCTTACTGTTGAGACAATATGTGATCAAAGTGACTGAATTCAAGGATTTGTATATTTCTTGGATTTTAAAAGTTTGTTATAAACGACTTAATTTTTGATTATAATTTTTTTAACCCAATTATTATAAGAGATTAGATTGACCTCTACTTGTAAGATGTTTGGAAAGATGAAGATAAGATGACTGTCAAGTTGAGAGAAAATATGATTTGGTTTAAAAAAAGAACTGCAATAGTCTGGAGTATTTGTGTCATAATATATGAAAGTAGATGTTTGTTTGATTTTGCACATAGGGAGACGTTTTGCAGTTTCCATAGAAATTCCTCAGTCGCACATTGTGAAGAGATAAGCTGGACTTAATGACAGTGTCAGTGCCAGAACGTAGGCTGGATCTGGTGTTGATACAGAATCAATTCCTGCTTCTGTGTATGTGAATATTGGGCTGTCGATTGATTCAAAAAATAACAAGGCTGCTTGGGCAATATTGGAGCGGTATAATAGATATGTAAAACAGCCAATGAAATAACTCTTCAGTTGGCACTTTGCCTATGTTCCTTTCCTATTAATCACACTGAGATGTTAGCCACCATTAGCTGCTGTCAGCTGGACTGGCTGTGTTTGAAATACAGAGGAAGAAAAGCCAACACAAAGCATCTCGCTAAGGAAGACTGAACGGCTTCTGAAACTCTTGTGGGGCCATGAACATTCTTTTTCCAAAAGATATTCCTTTACTTGGCAACATCTTTTAGCATTGCATGAAAGTTTGAGTTGTTTCTTTAGTGCCAAACTTCTTAACATAACCTACATTTAGACGGCGGTGTTCTGATTTCTTCACATGCAGGAGAAGACAGTCAAATCTTCTCTTTTGACTCATAGTTCTTTATTACATCTGCAACTTATGTGATGCACACTTAGGAACCCCTACCACATGGCACCCATGTTGACCTGCTCAATTAGTGCACGCACAGAGGCAAAGGCCTTAATATCTCACAGACAAAGTGTTCAACAGATGGGAGTGCCAAGGTAGCTACTTATGGAGATCGTTTAATCCTCGGGATATGGAGCCCGTCGCCTCGCATGCAGATTCACGAGCCACCACGTTATCCACTGCCAGACATTGTTTTGTATTTGCGTCACACACTCTGCAGGAGGATAAAGGCGGGTCCCCTTCTTATTGGCTGGCACATTAACAATGTATAATGTGTGTCTGAACTGAAAGCTCTAGAGTTTGAGAAGCTGTTGACATCTTCAATACTGATAAACAGTTTGAAAGGGGAGCGAGGTTATTCAGATTTGAGGGATTGCTGGGTGAATGAACACATTCCACCTTTATACCCAGCTATAATTAGTCTCTTCACCTTGCTCTTCTGCATGTGCTTTGTCTCGTGAGAAGGGGAGGGCTCCTCTTCCTATCTCTCATGATAAAAGTTCTTTTTGGAAAGACTTGCCTGTGCCGTCCCCTATACAAGTCCTTCTCCTCACTTCCTTTTGTTCTAATTAACCCCGGGGCAGGTATTGTGCCTCTAATGGAGAACTCACATTCTCTTCATCCAGCAACTTGTTTCTCCTTCTCTTTTTTCCTCTTGTCAGATATCACAACCCAGGAAAACAAGCAGCTTTTCTTATGCCCCCCCACCTATTTCAAAAAAACAAACAAGGAAGCACCTTTTTTTCTTTCATGCCACGCTTTGGCAGTCTCCCTTTGAATGGCTTTCAGAACTCCCACTACTATAATAAAGAGGGGGGGCAGTCAGCTTGTTCATTTTTAAACTCACTTACAGATTTGTGGTGGTAGTCCAAACATTTAGCTCCTCAACCTATGCTAAACTTAACTTGCGCAGTAGCTTGAGAATGCCTAATTGTGACTAAATGACTCTCCCTCTCTCCTCAGGATCCATGGATCTGTTGACTGCCTGTCGGAGCTCTCCTCCTCGCGCCATCCTTTCAGCGGTGAGAGTTCTACCTTTATAGCAAGCGTCTACTGAAATGTATTTGAAATGTCATGGCAATGATTATGCTGCGAGTGCTCGTGAAGCTGCTCTTATGCAGGAATGTGTGTGGGAGTACTTGACTCTTGTGATTGCCTTGCAGGGACGATCCGTCGCACTTTCAGCACATCATCGGCCATCGCTGCCTCCAAGGAGACGAGCCGGAGGAGTCCTGTCACCAGGTGTGGCTCTTTTCTGCACAGCCCTCTCTTTCCACCCTCATCTTCATCGCAGGCAGCGGCAGAATCAATACCGATAAGACGCAGCGGTATTAGTCGGCAAAGGTTCCTCTTTTAAATGGCCAATAGATGATTGTGGTTAGAAGGAGAGAGGCATTGAAGATCAATCATTCAGACATCAAGCTGCCATCCATCTCATACTTACCTTAAGATATCCTATCACACTGCATACCTTTACTCATAAATCTTTTTTGTTGATTTTTTCCTGTGCTGCCAAAATTCATCTTAAAAACCAACAAGAAATCGCTCTAACCCTCACCGCCGGCGCTGGAGTTCACTGAGTGGGGCTGTTCCCGGGAGCGCATCAGGGCCCGCCCCCCCGCTGGGCTCCACCCCCCCGCCTGCCTCCGGGCAGGTCTGCCTCCACGTGGGCATGCAGGTCCTGCTCACCAGCGCCAACGACATGGCCTCCATCCGCTACCTGGGCCCCGCGGACTTCGCCCCAGGGCTCTGGCTGGGCCTGGAGCTGCGCAGCCCCAAGGGGAAGAACGACGGCTCTGTGGGGGGGCGGAGCTACTTCAGCTGTCGGCCCGGGCACGGGGTGCTGGTCCGGCCCAGCCGCGTCACCTACAGGGGCCTCAACGGGGCCCGCCTGGTGGACCAAGACAGCTAGGGACTGTGGGAAGGGGTTGGGAGGACATTTAAAGAAGTTTTGTCTTTCTTTTTATGATCTTCTATTCAATGCAAAAAAGATATGCATTACATATAAATGTCATATTTCTCATTTACATAGTTATTCCTTTATATTCCTTTACATGACTTTACATTACAGGTCACTTAGACGCTTTTATCCAAAGTGACTGACACAGGAGCAGTCTGGGGGAAGTGGACACAACATGCTGACTGCAGTGGGACTCGGACGTTCTCTCCACTGATCCAAGATCAGCGCCTATACCACTGAGCCACAGCCTCTTTCAGAGGAGTTGTAAGTTACAGCAATAAAACTACCTATTAAGAGTTCAATGTAAAAATACTCAATTCAATTTGGACAAAAATATGAGGTAAAGAAAGCACTTTATGAAATGAACTATACATTCTTATTAGAATTAGTCAGGGCAGGATACTAGGGGGGAAGTCTGAATAAGACATACAACACTGCACTACTTTGAATCTGATTGCACTGAGAAAGAATATCAATGACCGATCAGAATGAGATTAGGCGGATGGTATGGATGTGCACACATGAAAAAGTGTTTCTAATACCCAAAGCTAATTTTGATCACATGCAGTAGAGATTTGATCAGATCATTTAGATAATGGTAATTTAGCTTACTCTCCAACAAAGTGTGCATGTGTCTGTGATTATGTGCGCATCTGTGTGTGCATGTGTGTATTCATTCGGAGCACTTTGAAACAAGAGACATGATTGATTTGTCCCGGGTCATCATATGGCCTGCAGAGAACTGCAGATAATTGATGGAAGTTGAGTCAGATCTGGATTTTCTAGTTTACGAATCAATGTGAATGAAACTAGAAAATGATTTAATTAAGACGCGACCTCCACCGACCTCCAGCAGAATACATCTGCTTTAACAGAAGTCATGTCCTCCCACGTACAACAGTTTGTGCCACAGACCTTACAGTAGGGCTGCGGTAGGCAGGAGTCCAAGACCAATTGGGAGAAGAACAATCCATAATAACCTTTCAGCATATTATTATCCTTAGGTCAGATACCAGAAAGCCGGAGAATGTTAAAGGAGGAGTTGCTATTCAAGCATTGGGGACAACTGTATTTGCTACAAATGAACCGGGAAAAAGAAGACGGACGTACCAACAAAGTCTATCAACCTCAATGAATCATATCAATATTGGAAAATCTGTTTCAGAGATGGAGAAAAAATGCATTGCTAAGGTTTAGTTGAGTAAGATTTACCAGAGGTTTACAGCTGGATCATCAGTAACCAGATACATGTTGAACCCTCAAGGACCATCACTTTGCAAAGTAACCAGGACAGTTATTATCATAGACCTGCTGCTTTGAAATGGCACCAGGATAGCAATCAGAGGATTATGTATGAAATGAATGACTGGGTCGGGGGAGAGGGGGAAGCTGCAGGACGAGGGCTTTATTTAAAAATTCTGAAGCTTTTCTTTTTCGTTTCCAGAAGACTGTCTTCTCAGATTTAGCCCTACATAAATGATGGTTATATTGGACTATTGGCAGCATTATCCTACCAACTGCTCCTTTGGCTCTGATTTGTTTTGGTAAGCAGCAGGCTGCTGACATTGTAGAGGAAGTGATGTCATATAATGATAAAAGTCATTGAGTTGGAGATTGAAAGTCCGTCATACTGACTTGGGCTGAATTTCTTTAAAAAGTGAAGTTGGAAAGATCTGAATGTGTTTAAGCCCTGACAGCTTTTTACTACAGTATGATATTTTCCACATGTTGAAGACCCCATTTCAGAGCAGGGGTATAAATGTTTTTGACGGTTGATTAAAGCAGCTCGACACAGGATATACGCAATCATCTTGTTTGAAGGATCGCGCTGGCTGTCTGAGCCTCTCTGCAGAGAGCAAGCCATCGATTGTGCATGTGGAAAACAGGCCCACTGTTCAGCAAAACACTCATGTACCACCCAATTAAAGTGCAGGCCCCAACATGAGGAGCAGAATCTCCAATGGCCCTCTCATTGATCCGTCTGCAGAGCCTGGTGGAGGCAGTGCTGGTCAGAGATCAGACCGATGAAATGCATTTCTGAGATCCTATTGAGATATTTCAACCCCACAGAAAGCTAATTTGCATAAGGGCCTCCCTGTGATCACTGCTGTGGCATTTGTAAGAGTTTCAAATCTCAGCTTCAGAAAAACTCGCATATTTTTGGTGTATCTGCAATCCCGATTGTATTACAGCATGAGTACTTTCAGATTCCACTGGTGTGTATGACCGTGTTTTGGCGCTGTGTTCCTGTGGGTAATGGATTGTTGTTTTTCATAAAATTCCTGATATTTGAATCTGAAGTGTGTGAGGGGGATTTGGTCTGATGCATTTTTCATGTTGTGGAAAATAACAGTATTTGTAAAAAAGAAAATAAAAGACTCTATTCTAATTTGACTTCTTATCTCCGTGACTCTATTTGTTCTCTGGCTCTGGGCCTTTTATCGAGTGCGGTTGTGCTAATGAAAAAGAGATTTTTCTTGACTTCCTTGGACTGTTCATAAAGTGCAGAGGAGTGTTGCCTTCAGGGAATGAAAATGAAACTGCACAAGCACTTTGAAATGGTTACACGTCTGTTAGCTTACCATCTGATTCCACCGGGGCTCGTCTCAGCCAAAGCACAAACAGCCTGCTGCCGAGTGCCATTGTTCGCTTTCCACCAGCCCGGCACACACAGTCAAGCTTCAGTGTGGGTGACACACTCTATTATGCCATGATTGTGGAATAAATAGATGTTTGAATGGTTGCTTTTCAATTGTTTTCTTTGCCTATTATTTTTGTAGTCCAAACAGGAGAAAGGAAACCAAGGGAAGCAGTGATTGTCCAAACGTCTGACCAAGAGATTTATTCAAAGGTGAGATTAAATGAAATGGTAATATCTGGAATAAAATTAACCAAGTTCAAGTAGACCACTTATCATACTATAACTCAGTGGTTTGCCAGCACTTAGAGACAATTTGTTCAACTTCAGATTGTAAAAAGAGCCACTGGAGAATAAAAACCCTTTATATATAATGACTGCAAAGCTTGGTTTGCCAGGGAGAATAAACTGTGTTTGTCCTTAACAGGTTCAAAAGGGGAGGAGGAGGCGGGGGAGCTGCCACAATCATGTCAGATTGCTTATTTAAATTACAACTTTCCAACTTTTAAATAGTATTCACGTCATAATAATTGCGATTGGATAGTTCTTCTGCAGGCTCAGATACATCCCTCTTGGCAGTAATACAGAAGTGTCTGAAAACGAAATAACCATGTGTTGCTGGAGGAGCCCAGAGTCTGTGTCTGCATACTAAGAGCAGTGTTTCCAGTCTGTCGGGCTCCACCAAAGCTGGACCTTGTCACTGGTTCTGTCATTTCCATTGGCCGGCTGTCAACATGCAGGGGGAGACGAGAGTCCTGTTCGGTAACCTCAGGACTGCATCCCTCTTTTTTCTTCTGGATGTCATGTTACCACCGTGCACATCTTGGTGTTATGTGTTTGAATTGGGGGTCAGCACCTCAAAGTCTGGGTTAGGCACCAATGATGGAGTATAAAATATATAGATTTCATTCTAGACACGTCTCCCTGAGGCTTCTGGAGAGTTGCTGTGAAGCTCAATGTGGGCCGCTCCAGCCTTCTCCATCTTGGCAGTGCAAATTCTAAATGAGCCAATAAGTGAAGCGTGGTGGAGCTGAGGCGGGCTAAGGTGATGCAGCAGAGCACATGGCTAGCTTGTTAATATCTGAGACAGTATTAACCTGTTAAAATGGTGCCATGCCCTTAATTAAAGGTGGGGTAGGTAAGTTTGAGAAACCGGCTCGAGATACACTTTTTGTTATATTCCATGGAATGCTCTTAACATCCTGATAGCAATGAATATCTGAAGTGCTTTGACAAAAAATCCATAAAAAAATGTCATCTGTGGAAGCCGTAATACTGTAAAAAGTACGACCAATCATTTTAGCCGGCCCGGCTAAAATAACTGGATGGCCTACCTGTCTGTCAGCCTTCCATCTGTGCACAAACTTATCTCGTGCCCTCATTGGTCATGTGCGCGTTCGTGTGTGTTGGAGGAGGGGCTCTGTAAGGAAGTGGCAGATTTTCTCCGGTTGTGTATTTTCAAATTCTAGCGATCTCGAGCCGGTTTCTCAAACTTACCTACCCTACCTTTAAGTATACATTTAATCCCTAATATAATTCAAAGGGATGATTTGTATAAAAAGTCACACCTGTGCAGTTGTCATGAACAAATAAATTGGCTATCAAGACCAAAACGGATTTATACCAGGCTTTACATTTTGTATTTCCTGCTTAAAGCTGGGCATGTTGACATGAGGGTCTCCCCAGGAAGTGAGCCGCATGTTGAAGCAATCTTAGTGGCCAAACAGTCGCACTACAGCTTCGTTCGTATTTAAGTCATTAGGGTTTAAAGGTTGTAAAATGCGCTAAAAGCCAAATCCAGAGTTATTTCCCCTCTCCTTTCGTTTGACTGAGTCGAGGTGGGTCGTTACAATGCGGACTGGATGCCAGTTAAAGCTAAAAGCAAATGTGAACGCTCTATGGGCCCAGATAAGAGTGCTTTTGCTGCCGACGTCAAGCCATGTTGGCTTCATGCACCACGGAACAACTTTCTTAGGAGTGAACGCTGTATCCAGTTCTCTTTACCTCTTTATAATGCATGGTTGGCTCGCTTTGAGCCATTCTCAAGGGGCCATTCAAAGTACTGCAGGGTTTGGCCCTTCCGTGTTCATTATTTTGCACCCGAGTTTGTCGCTTGGCAACAAGGTGGATTTCATGTCATCTGCTGGAACAAATTTGGAAGTACTGTAAAGTTCTCTTTATAATTAGGTTTTTTTATTAGTTGCTTTGAAATCATTTTCCTGGGTTATGTTTTTTATATATACGTAAGAGCTACTGGCAGCAGGAACAGGACCTGGATAACCGGCTTAGCTCTTCTACCTTTTATGAAGTTCATAATGCTCTAAAGTTGTTTGTGAAATTCAGACATGTTTCTGACTGAGATCATAAGTGGTTGTGTACTGGAACACTTTTCATTGAGAGGTGTTTCTAATGTTTTTGTCCTTCACATTGACATCCTGAGGGGACTATTAGAAACAGCTGGATACATTCAGCTCAATTTAACACCATCTTCCTCAATGCTAAACTTATACAAAAACTGAACATTATAGTCATCTCCGAGGTCGCCTTCATGGCAGAACAGTGGGATTGGATTGCATTAGACAGTATAGTGCTTAAAGCTACCTGTTGTAGTCGGTAGTAGTGACTCATCACGTTGTGAATACCCCATGTATTTGATTCTTAGAGAAAGCAGTGCAGAAGAAAGAGGCTCACATACTGTGTTTCATTATTGTTGCTGATAGTGTGAGGGCTTAAGTAAAAGGCGTGTATATGTTAATGAATGCACTGAAGGCAGCTCGCAGAGAGCTCCACTGGATGAGCAAAGTTGTGAGAAACAATGAAGCCTCTTAGTTCAGACTCTCATGGTGACGTGTTCATTATCACAACTTTGCTGTCTGAAAATCATAGCAGCAAAAATACCATGCTTTCTTTGGATATAACTTCTGGAATAATGGTTAGACTTCTCTGTGTTGCTCGTCTTTCTGTTTGGCTACCCTGAGTCTTGTATTAGAATGGTTTGATATCGGTGGTATACATGATGTGAAGTTGAAACAAAGCTCAGACACATTGCACCACAGTGTGCTGAGTGCTTAGCTGCATCATCAGCACTCTGAGAGCGGAGATCCCTGATGGGAGACAAATGATCTCAGTAAGACTTTAGAGGAAGACTCCAGTGCTTTCTGACATGATGGAGAGCGGCACAGGCACAGCTGGTGCCCGAGGAATACAGTTTGCTATCGCTAGCAAATACATCCTGGCAGCTGCACAAGCCTCTACGTGTAGCGCCGACATGTTTACAATACAGGGATAATCCTGCTGGGGTCTCCATTCACCCTGTCACGGCTTATGTGCAATAATGACCAGCTCACTGTACATAATCCTCCTAACTGCTTACCAAAGTGAGCTGTAATGGCTTGACTCAAATATTGATTTTAAATGAGTATATAACTATCTTATTCCAATGATTAGAAGAAAGAAAACAATACATGTAGTACCTATAACATAATCTCTATAATCTAAACAAGCATGTTAAATAGTCTCTAATTCAAACCACTTCCAATGACCACTGGCCAGGTTTTCCTCTGCTACAGCGAGAAAGATGATCCAGTGTTTCATCTTTCCCTCTCCTCCTCCTCGTCCCCAGCATACTAATCTGCAGTGCAGCAGCTTGAGACTTTCTTTCTGGAGATCAGCAGCTTTCTCCTCGCAGATAAGAACGGAAGCAGTTGCATTAAACTCCACCTCTCTAAAAATCGTCCAGCTCTCTTTAAAAATATTGTCTAATTCTAATAAAAAATAAACTATCCAGCTCTTTTTTAATTAATTAATCTCTCTTCTAAAACAGTATCCACCTGTAAAAAAAGACGATGCCCATCTTTAATTAAAGAACATTGTCCACCTTTGTTAAAAAGGTTCCATACAGCGAGGGAGTGGATATTCCACAGCTAGCAGAGCAGCTAGCTGCTAGCAGCTAGCAGAGCTGCTGTTGTTTACAGTCGTCTGAACAGGTTCCAGTGTGAGGATTTAAGGTAGGAGAGCAATCTCTGGACACATCATTCTGGGATGGAGACACTTGCTGGAACTAAGGTCAGGTCTGAATGTCAGTGGAAAGCAGTCGGCCATCTTTCTAAGCCTGTTTGATCTCCTCATGAATGTCTATAGAGGTGTGCTCGCCTCTTGGCCTTTTGTTCGCACATTCTCTTCTGTACTCTCTCACAGAACGTTGGCTACTGATCGAGCCATTGCACTGCCTCTGTAGATTTGCTTTTATCACATTTGTTTTCTGTCTGTGTTTTTCTTCTTTTTTATTATAGTTTGTTTCTTATCTTTTACCTGTAAGGGGCAATAGAGTCAAACATTGAAAAGGAAAAGGAAGGCTCCTCGGCAGTAAATCAAATCTGCCGTGCAACATGGCAGGGTAGCTTACATACATATAGGAGCCTCAAACTGATTTGAATCTTTATATATACAGTCTATGATTTGAATCTACCACATACAGCTACCTGAAGCCATGAAGGGAGACACGCTGAGAAAATAAATGTACACATCTTTTTATCAGAGATGTCAAATGTACGGTCTGCATGACTGTGAGGCACGTCTCAATATGTAAACACTCTGAGAAACGAAACACAAGCTCCGGTGGTTGATGTTGTGATCGCTTCATTATCAAACCCAGCAGATGCTTTGTCTCCTGTAGGAGCGGCATGAAGTCAATATCAGAGGTTAATGGTCATGTGTAAAATCAGGAGGACTACAATCATCCTGATTAAACAGTCTGGTCTGCCTCAGTCATTTGTAACAAATACAGACCATAACTAATGGCCGCTTGATTCTGATTTCTCTTTGTTGGCTCAAGGAGCTGGAATCTGTCAAACAATATACTTTAGAGACTGTACCGTGTAAATGAGGCCATCTCTGTCAGGGAGACTATTGTTCCCTCTTCAATTATCTGACTGGGTTTTTTTGACGAGTCGGATGGATCTAAATAATGAATGCTAGTGATTTTAAAAGGCATTATGCCACTTTGAATAGCTGGTGTACAGGAGTCACCCCCCTCCTCCATTACCACTATAGCTTTTACCAAAACCACTTTATGTCAACAATTGTTTGTGTTGCCAATAACTTTTAAACAACTGCTGTCAGAATATCAATGATGTTGCATTTTACAGCCCTATTACATCGAAGTTAAAGAAGAAAAACATTACTAATTTTACACTAAACTGTGATTGATGGCTGTGTTTCAAGAATGTAATCAGCAGTCGCACTTCCGTTATAATGAATGTGGCCCAGATTCTAAAGAGTGCAGTACACAGACTAACGGTCATTATATAGTAATTTATTCATTTTGGCGAATGTCATCTGAAGGACAGCTTTTACAAGAGCCATAGTACAATACTTTATAATTACAACATTTACAGGTGCGGATTCAGTTTGTCTTTACATCAAACAATGGAGATGAGCTGCGAAGGAACACAGAATGAATGCACAGAAGACGAAGCAAACAATACTTTTCATTGGCCAAGATTCACCTCGGCTTACAGGAATGCTTTTATCTTTAACCGTCACCAGCGCCATGACGGACACACGGCTGCTCAGCCTCACAGCACACTGACAGGAGGCCAAATACAGTCAAGCTAAAGCATAACAAAACGTGACGCATGTCGTTTAGCGAGACATCAACTCATGGTGCTGTCACATAGATACTGTATGGAACGGTGATTCAACTGAAGGTACACTTTAAACACAGACACCGTGTGTGAAAGTGAGACTCAGGGGTCTCAGCTTTCAGTCACATGTGGAGCAGTAGCAGTTTGTATCCGGACTCATTTGTATTCCACAACAGCCATCCTGTAATAGAAAAGATAAAAATATGCAAATGTCGAGACGTAGAGTGCTTTGAGATGGCAATTTGAAGGTTAAGATTGATTCAGCGATATCCACTTTGTTTCTATATCTGGACACAAAAGGGGAAAACTGTTTTTTTGTAACAAGAAAGAAATTGATAAAAGGTTACTGAAAAAAAGCTATAAGAAAAGACAACGGTCTCAGAGCACTGTATCAACAAAAGCGACTTGTGAACAAAAGCAGAGTGTGTTCCAGGAGTCCAAAGGTGACCTCTTTAATGTGTCTGAATGCGCCTCTTCTTGAATCTGCCGTGTTCTTCTGTCGCTGTGTTTGTGTTTATCCGTCTGCTCCTGAATGAGGTCCTGAATGAGGTCCTGACTCAGCAGTCATTACACAGCGTTTAGGAGATTTAGGGTTGATGTGTTTCTGTTCAATCTTTCCTTTTCTCCTATTTCCATATTACCAAAAAGATATCCCCGTGTTTTAAAGTGAAAACCAGTCGATGTAAAATGAATTTGTTTTGGATTTGAGGAAAGCGTGTTTATGAATAATTTATAGAGCCACTTCCAAATAATAAATAAACAAATGAATAAATAAACAAGCAGGCAAGCAAACACCAACAAACACATTTTTCCCCAGTAGTTTTCTTTTTCGTATAAATGTCTGGTAATCCAGAGTCTGATCCTTGAAAAATAGTCTGATACGAGTTATTGAGCACACTGCTGTTCTCCAAAAGCGTGTGGGTAGGGGTCAGTGTGAGGGGGGGTCAGTGTGAGGGGGGGCACAGGTTGCTGCAGCTGGAGACAACACTGCTTCAGTCAGACGGGTCACTAAAGTTTGTGACTGAAAGTTTGAAGTTTGGCAAAATATAGAGATTTGAACCCTCCTAATAATCCATTCTCATAGCAAAGAGACATCCTCTGATGAACTCATGAGCTCCTGCTCTCTCTCAGATGGAAAGTTCTCCATTTGTGTCTCACTCAGTCATGATCCCTCCAGCGTTGAAAAAATACATTTTTTTAATTCTTAAAACTAGCATTTGCTCTACATTCTGCCTCCCAAAGCTTTTGTTTCTATTTCTCTGCTGTGCTTAGCATCCGTCGGGGATCTGAACACAGCTCCAGGTTCTGAGGCTCCATCCAGATGCTCAGCCACACCTGGAGGGAGGAACCAACATGGTGGGACGGTAGGGGGTGTAAAAGGGTCTCTGTCTGTACAGTGTGGAAAAAGAGTACAGGCATGTGGGCTAAAGCACGGTGGCGTTGTGGCCCTCCATCCTGGGCAGTCGGGGGTCCTGTACTGTCCCCATGGTAACCAGCAGCGGACGGCTGTCTTCGGACAAACCCGAGCGACCCAGGGTCACTGAAGCCCCCCTCTGGTGGGCGGAGGCCATGGAGAGGCCCTGCTGGGGCTGGGGGGCCGCAGGGGGGTTGGGGTGCACGGCCTCCAGCGGCAGGCCCTGCTCCTGGTAGCCGTAGCCGATGTTCCCACAGGGGAACCGCCTCAGTCTGTAGAGGGGGACCGGGGGCAGCGCGGCCGAATCTAAGAGCAGAGGGGACTGGGCAGCGGGAGGGGGGGGCGGGGGCAGCAGAGGCCTGCAGAGACCCTGCTGCTGCTGCTGGTGGTGCAGCATCTGCAGGTGGTGCTGCTGGAGCTGCTGCTGGTGGAGCTGCTGCTGGAGCTGCTGCTGGAGCTGCTGCTGGTGCTGCAGCCCCAGGGCCCCCGCCACCTCAGCCACGGTCCGGCCCACATGCTCCTGCCCCTCCCCCGGGACCCTGCCGCTGCCCTCTCCTGCAGCCCCCACACCCCCCTGCCTCTGCTGCTGCTGCTGCTGCTGCTTCCTCTGCTGCAGGAACCAGGACCCGTAGGTGGGGTTCCACAGGGTGGTGCTCTTCCCGTTGGGGCCCTCCTTCTCCTGCGGCTGAACCTGGGTGAACGCCAGGTTGATGTGCCCCCCCTCAGGGCCGTGCTGGGGGGGGATGTGCGGGCCCTTGGCAGTGAGCGTAGAGGCGGCTGTGGAGGTGACCGTGTTGCTGGTTGTCATGGCGATCTGCGTGTGAGGCTGCTGGTGGAGGTAGGGGGGGGGCGACGTCTGTGCTTTAGCCTCCAATGCTGCGCTCGTCTCCGCGCTGTGCTCCCCCCCTCTCAGGGGGTCTCTTGTAGGATAGGAGGGGGGGGGGCTGCTGCTGGACCTCCCCATCATGTACCGGGGCGTTCACCAGCACCGTCGGAGCCGAGGGGTCCCGCTCCTCCTCTTCTGGGACAGGTCCATACTCTACAGGCAGCGGCATGGTCACCACGTCAGGGTCCTAAAGAGGGGGATATCAGAGGTTAAGGTGAGACACTATCAATAATAATAAAGAGTCAGTGGGCTGCTGGTGAACTATTGCTCTTCTTCTTCTGCCTGTGGCTGCTGTATTCACCCAGGTTCAAAGTCTCACATGAGAGAAAGTGAACCGCGTCTTTTTATTGTCCTAAAAAAGCAACATTTCAAGATGCATGACATCTTCTTCAGACAGGTCATTAACACCTAGCTAGCTAGTTAGCTCAGTAGTTCCAGTTAGCATGTGGACAGTGGACTGTTGAGCTGTAAAGCAGCATGTGGGGGCTCTTTAGTGTTCTCCCTCTGAAACAGGAGCTAGGGTCGATGCTAAGGCTAGCAACCTTATCATAAGGGATCCTGAGTCTCCACAGGTAGACTCCTGTACAGCTGATATTTGATATGTTCAATGTAATTGTGACTCCCAAAGTGGGGTAAGATTGATCAATAACACTAAATAGATTAACAAGTCATTTGAATTCAGAAACATGTTTTGATGAAGCTCCGTAAGCACCTATCTTGGGGTTATCCTTTACAGAAATCCGATACAGGCTTGGAGTAATACGTAAAGACAGAAAAACCCAATAGAAATCCCACAGTGCTCTGATTGGTTACCTGCAGGCAGTAGTCGATTCTCTCCAGGATGGTGGAGAAGTTGGGCCTGTCTTCAGGCTGATGCTGCCAGCTCTGAGTCATTATGCGGTATCTGAAGAAACACACAGGCAGAAGAACACATGCTGAAAATACTTAAATACAATCTTTGCAGATGCAGAGAAGAAGATAAACTAACCCTGAAACATACTAATCAGAGAAGTGAACAAATAACTAAGAAACATTTTCATGGAACTTAAAAGGCAGATTGCAACAGGATATAAGGAGAGATCTGGAAAGCTGCAGGTATGAAGGGAAAGCTGAGAAATCACAGAGAGGCTAAAGTGTGGCTCCAATATGTATATAATAGAGAGCCAGGAAATGTGTGTGCATCTGCCCGTATAGCTTTTATAATAGAGTTGGCAGCAGAGGCGGTGTCTGAAGTGAAAAATACAGTCTGATATCAAAATATTTTTAAAGCTCTCTATCAGCTACCCGGCACTTCTTCCAAAGTGGGAAGCAACATGAAAGAGAAGTGTTGATGTGGTTTCCATATTGAAAGTCATCTCATCTCATTTTCTCATGCCTCCTAGGTCCCGACTTGTTTACGTGTGAATATCAGCAAAACATCTGAGCCTTTCATGTCTTATACTGTGTAGGGTTAGGGATCAATACAGCATAGTGATATTTGCGTCACAACATTGTATTGATACACAGCTTCCACAATCAAAATCTTTTATTAAATAAATCATTACAATTTCAAATTCTAATTCAATTCCTTCCTGTCCACTAGATGGCGTTACATTTTTTCGGATGACGCCAACGGGATTGGCTGGAAGTGGGTCAACATTAAGATGGTGTTTTTGGAGAAAGAAATCAGATGTCAAACACATTCCGTAAATTAGATCTCATTAAATAAAAATAAAAAGTCAAATTGTACTGTTAGCATTTTAGTTTAGTTTTATCGCAATAGTCATGATATGCCACGTTGCTTTAAATGGCAAAAATATGGTATTTTGACTTAACCTGTTCCACTCTGAGCCTGTTTTTCAGGTCTCAGGCTCGAAAATGACATTCCCAGAACAAATGACCATATCTTCCCTTCTAAAAGGGTTAAATTAATAATCTTTTCTCAAAGTAATGATAAACCTGTGAGTTGGATGTAGAAGTGTCAGAATCAATATAAATGTTTTTTATTTTAAAGAAAATTCAGATTTTACATAGTAAAAAACTGTAAATTATAGTGTCCGTCCAAAAATTATTTTTTACAGATAGTGAAAACTACCCTTGGATGATGGGTTAGTAGACTAAAAGCTTTAGGAATCCAAAGTACAACATATAATAAGTACCCTGTATCAAGATTGATGCAAAACAAGTGAAATTTGACCTTTTTAGAGAGGTTTAGCCAAAAACTGGGCCATCTGGGGTCATTTGGGTGGATTTGACCTATCTCTGGCCCCCCTTGCTCGATCTGGTTGGTTGACATACCCTTGTGACCGTTAGAGCCAATAGAATCGAAGGAGGATACTTACATAGACACACATTGTAAAGAAAAAATGTTGCCGCTTCGCGTGTGGAAAGTGAAACTAAACTGGAGGAATGTCTCCTTCTGGAGTTTGGAAACTAAAACGCAGTTGTATTGCTTATGGGTTATCAGAAATAATTTCAAAGAAGGCACAGACACATAGGATGAACCTATGGATTAACTGCAGCATCGTTTTTTTATCGTTTTAATGCCATTGAAGACCACTTTTGACCAAGGTAAGATATATTTACGTGTTTAGCTTCTTAGCTCCACATGTGATGATGTACGCTTTCGTTGATAGCGTCGCGAATGTTTATCACTGAATGTTGAGGTGGGCACCGTTAGATTCAGTGTCTCCAGGACACCAAAAAATAGTGTTTGGTTGTGCATCTAGGATAAGTAATAAGGGAGTTCTGAGTGAGTTTATGTGTCTTTGTCGGTCCCGTTTTTTCGATCGAGGCTAATTCAGAGGCTGAGTGCTAGCATTGTGGGGTTTTTTTGAAAAAAAAAATTAAAAAGATCAGTTAGCTGAGTTTCTTCCCGTTACATGGATATAACACATTCATAGTTTTATTCAATATTAAGATTCCTTAGACGTTGTTTCCTGCAAATGACGCGTTTATCCGCCCGGTACCGGGGGGAAGGCGTGAAACAGGTATCGTGATAATTCCATATTATGATCCAAGCCTAACACTACGTATGCTTTATGTGCGACTGAGCTTCCTTCTAGCTTGTTTATGTTTTGGAGGACTTTAATTAGACCTCGTGGGATCACATTTCCCTGCAAGCATGTGAAGCACATGAATTCAGATCAGCTCTTACACAGGCCCAGGGCAGTTTTTGGGTGGGTCCATTCTTCCGCCATTGGTCACAAACTCCAACACTTCCTGGTTACTGCGACTTGGATACGGCATGTAGCCCAATGAGAAGATCTCCCACAGCAGAACCCCGAAGGACCTGCAGGTAAAAAGAGGACACATCAATCACAGGGAGGGGGAGAGAGAGAGGGGGGGGGAGAGAGAGAGAGGGGGGGGGGGGGGGGCTCTCAGGACAAGCAAGTCATAAATTAAAAGCATCTTCAGAGCTGTAAAGGATGAGCGCAGAGGACAAGACTGAGATAGAGACAAGATGGAGAATTTAAAACCCCAACATATGGCACAGGATCAGAGATGTTGAAGGACAGAGGAAGGTGAAACAGGAAGTATGTGAGATATAGGAGTGAGAGCTATGAGAGAGAAGTGTGAGGGACTCACCACGTGTCTGTTTTAGACGTGAAGATGCCCTCCATGAAGGCTTCAGGCGGCATCCACTTGACTGGCAGCATGGCCCGCCCCCCCTTCCTGTAATAGCTGGCCCTACACACACACACACACACACACACACACACACACACACACCACACACACACACACACACACACACACACACACACACACACACACACACACACACACACACACACACACACACACACACACACACACACACACGCTTCCATCACTTTAGAGAACATTACGCTGACTGACATTTATTTCCTGGAGACTTAAGACTCATTTTCACAAGCTCAGCGCCAGTCAACCTGAACTTTATTCGTTCCTGTGAGAACTCATACTTCCGTATATTCTTTTTCAGTCCTGAATTTGCCTCGAGTCAACATTGTGTTACTTTCGTGGCATAACTGTGCCACTGCAGTCCAAAGTGGATTCATCAAATTAGCAAACAGGCTATTTTATTCAATTTAGTTTCTCTAATTTGTTGAAAGGCAAATTGTGTATGGTAATTGTGTATTCAAAGTTAACTAGTTAGGCTCACACACTTGAAATGTTACTTTCTAAAAGAAATGTAGCAATGCGAGCTAACCCTAAATTCAAGTTAAATATAAATATTCACCCTAAAATGTCATTATTTATGTTGCGGTGGCTTACACGTCCCCAAAAGGGAAGCAGATTATGCCACAATATGCAAACAGATTGATGTGAGTACAACACACACACTTTGAATGGATACATAATGTATGACTAACCATGTGGCTAATAACAGTTATATTGTGTTTTGTTTGCCCACTAATAATTCAAAAGGGAACATTTATCAAATGAACACCAGCATCTGTCGTGTAGCATCGTCACCATGGCAACACCACTGCCCTCAAAAGCAGAGGGTAAAGAAAAACCAAAAAAAACATCTTGCAATTAATTCCCCGTTTGTCAGCGTCTGTATCGCCCTCTGATGCGATCGCGCTGCCAGCTTCCTCACATGTGGGTGAGAGACCCTCTAAGAACTCTTATCTCTCACAGAGTGGGGGGGGGGGGGTTTATTCGCCGGGCCGAGCCCCGTCTGAGTCTTTTTTAATGCTGTTTTGCAAGCAGGGTTGTCGGAGAAATGATCAGATGTGTGCTGTATCTGATTGTTGGTGCTGATGGAGGTCACTGCCCCCCCCCCCCCCCCCCCCCCCCCCCCCCCCCCCCCCCCCCCCCCCCCCTGCTCCAGGCCCACAGCATTCACTGCTCCCCATCCATCAGCAGGAGAAATGGACACACATCAAGATGCCAGTTAAGTGGAGTTTTTCTGGGCAAAGCATGGTTTGACATTGTTTGCTGTTGCAGAGGAGTAAATCTGTTTTGCCTGTGTGATGTCATTCAATAGGACTGTAATAGCCAAGGTTGTTTTTATGTGTGGGGGCTCTGTGCTGAGGGATGTCATTTACATCTTACAATATTACAATATACACACCTTTTCAAAAATCCATCGTTGTGCCATTTTCAATTTCCAAATTCTAACAATTTTGCTAAAGAAAAGTAAACATCATTTTAAACGATTATAACCAAAAAGATGTCGCCAGTTCACGTCCCGATCGGACCAACAAATACGGAGTGTGGACTGGAGAGGAGCCAGTTCTCCTCCTGGGCCACTGCCGAAGTGCCCTTGAGCAAGGCCCCGAACCCCCAACTGCTCACTGGCGCCGGCTAGACTGGCTGCCTCCGCTCTGACCTCTCAACTGCATGTGCATGTGTAACGGTGTGTGTACTTGTATATGTATGTATTGTAAAAAGTGTGTACTGTGTGTACCTGTATAAAACGTGTGTATGACAGAGTGGAAACTGATAAAGGTCCATCTTCTTCTTCTGATTAATATCAAGAACTACTATCAGCGCCCTGTACACCGGGATAGAACTCCGTAGCAGCCTTTAGATTATGACTCTTTATTCATTATGCTATCAAACTGTTCTTTTGATGGGTGATGCTCAGAGGTTTTACATCCGTCACTCTATATACATTTGTGTCTCTGATAGTGGAGGTTGAGTCCCATCCCTCTCCTTTACCTTTTGTAGCAAGTCATGTGTTTAGGGTACATGTTACAGCCCCTGCCTCGTCTCCTCCACTCTGCAGTATGAGCTCTTGTGTTTATTGGATGTGCTGTCTCCTAGGTGCAATTGGCTTCCCCCCTAAGGTGATGTGTCGCCCCGTTCTCTCTCGACTGGCGAGTCGGGGATCCTGATTGGTTTGGTTCCTGGCTCTGCCCTCCAATCACAGGGCAGACCTGGAGACAGACCCTTCAAATACTGAAACAGCTGGACATTACGGGCTCTGGCCCTTTACTTTAACATGATGGGTGATACATTTCGACTTATAAATCAGCAAAAAGTATTTATTATTACGTTTACTATACTGTCTTTTTTTATGTGTGTCAACAACGTAGACAATTACTTTGACATTTCGACACACTACACTACTTATACTGGACTTCACTACTTTTTACATGCTATTTTCGACACACTATAGTATGTCTTTTCTCAATACAATATTTACAAAATATACTTTTCCTCGTTTCAGAGACATTTTAACATTTAGACACTATACTACGATTTCCTTTTGATATTTTTAGACAAAACTTAACTATGACTTTTTACATTATATTTTTGAGATACTATACTTAAGACTTTATTCTTAATATGTCGTCATACTTTTAATTTTTTTAAACATACTGCACTAAGCAATTCTCATGTTGTTCTTTACATACCATATGTTTTTTTAATTGATTTCTTCTGCATACTTTACAATGACTTCTTTATGACATTTTGACATATTTTACTATTATTTATTTTTTTAATAACATACATTACTATCACTTCTTAGACTTAGTATACTCTTTTTTACAATATTTTCCCCACAATATATATTATTATAATTGAACCCCTGACAATAGTCTACAGTGAGGTTGATGTGTGGAAGGTTTCCAGTTCCAATCCCTAAAGGTAAAAGAGTGGCAGTAACAGTCTCTCTGAACCTTCAGGAAATAGACTGTAGAGGACCTGAAGCAGGACCTGAAGCAGGACCTGAAGCAGGACCTGAAGCAGGACCAGAAGCAGGACCAGAAGCAGGACCTGAAGCAGGACCTGAAGCAGGACCTGAAGCAGGACCTGAAGCAGGACCTGAAGCAGGACCTGAAGCAGGACCTGCTGGGGCAGCACATGGCTAACAGAAAACACTGTAATCGCAGCGTGTAGCTCCAAGGTGTGAATATGAGGCAGGATGAGAAAAGACGATTGTGTTCAGTTGGCATTCCCTTGACAAATAAAAGCTGGAGAAAAGAAAGAATGCAGGACATATCAAAAACAGGGTAACAAAACCAGCTTGGGTAAAATATAGGACAACAAAAAAAGCAAATGTGGTTTGGCAGCTGAAGCTCTTCAGATATGGCAGCCAAAGGATGCATGACCCATCACAATTATTCTTCGCAGTAGTTTAGGTGGATCTCAAACTGATTTCAAGCTGTTCTCTTGCTCCCCATGGGCAAAACATTTCTCAACTACTGTTAAAAACTAGGGCTATGCATGCTTCAAAAGTAATCCGTCAAATTGAATCCAAGAATAAGTAGCAACTCCCACCAGGAATCTCAAACAGATGTAGCTATGCCTCGTCTTCTTAAGGCCAGAGAATACAGGAAACTGGTCACATTTCAGAGATTGGTCTTTTTTGATTTGATAACATACTCCAAAATATACTTTGAAGTTTCCTATTTTATTAGTCTTTTTGTGTCTGTACAAAGTACTTTGCATTACAAAAGTAGTATGTAATGAACTGGGGAGGTTTTGCTGTGACATCTATTAGTTCAGTGTTTTGGTCCTATTAGGATTCACACTGGCTGTCTCTCTTCACTGCAACAGTGACTCAAGTCGTTATCGTTTAAAGACAAACAAAGCTTCATCTTGCTCAAACTATCTTTTTGCTGTGATATTTAAACCAGGTCTAAAGGTATTGAAACTGCAATGGTATGGACCCAGGGCAAATACCAGGAGCCAGCCCTGATCATTTGAGTTGAACTCGTAGCTCCATCTGCGTGTGGGGGGAGCAGTGAGTTGAGATGAATACAGATGATATGCTGTCAGAAAGTCAGGCTGAAAGGGACATTTTTATTTAGCAAACTATTGGCACAAGAAGTTAGCCTTGAAGAAAATTGCACTTAATCAATGAAGAAGGGAAAGCAATCACTAGTTGAGTTTGTTTGCTTGACAGATTAGCTAAGAACCACAGGGCAGTCCCACTTATCCCCGCAACATATGGCTGAGAATAACACGATCGATGCACTGAGGGGAAGCAGTTCCCTCCTGCATTTTTAGGCCTGCAATTACAGCATTGAATCCTAACAACATCTCCCTATGTGTGCCCTACTTACGCCTATTCCTCTCATTTCCCTGTCTATCCTTATCAAGAAATTAGTCAGAGAGGCGGTGTGTCCTCGGAAGATGTGATTGGATCAAACAGCTGTGGCAGTGATCCTGCTTGTGTTGTTATGAAAAGGCTTCACTGATAAAGACTCCAACAATCTCCAATCCTTTTTCTTTCAATATATATACAGCTGTGACCTCTGGAAGTAAAGCATATCTTCAAAAAGAAGATTTAAACACATGGAAATGTTGTACATTGCTATTCAGTACATTATCCTCCGCATTTGAACATGCTGGAATATTAAAAAAAGATTGAGGGATGGTACATGTACAGCATAAGACTGATAATCCCCCTATCAGTGAGATCAACCTTTTTCCTTAGCATGGAGTTTATGGACATATTTATTACTGCTGCTAACAGCACCAGCACAGACTGAACGCTGAGCCGCAGATTAAGGAAGGCTTCAACACAGTCCCAGGAAATCTATAGCACAAATGGAGGTGTTTTATATGTGTGTGATTTTGTGTGAAAGCAATTCAGTGTGCAGAGAGGAAGATAGGGGAGGACGACACAATGTGGGGCCTGATGCTTGTGTCTGTTCACGTGAATGTTCTGTGTGTGTGTCAGCCTAAAGTCATGCTACACACCATTGTTCCTATGAGAATATCGTCAGTTCAGAAAGAATGCCTTTGATTTCTGGAAGCACAGAGGATTTTCCTTCATGTTTACCTAAGGATGATTAGTGACTGGCAGCTTTTGTTTACCCAGCTTTTTGTTTACCAGAGCAACACCGGTGTGGAAGCCTGTGTGTGAGGGAATTTGTGTGTGGGAGAGTGGGTAGGGGGGATCCGTGGTATAGCATGGGCTCTACTCCCAGAATACACCCAGCTGACATTCAGCCTCGTCACGGTGCCTCACGGTGACTCACATGTCCCTCGTCACGTAGCAGGAGGGCCACATCATGAAACGGGAAGAATAACACACCAGCGGCACAACACAACTGTCCCTCCCTCTCAAAAATAATAACACTGATAATAAAACAAGTCCCGGCGCCACAGCTCCAGGCTGCAAGATAAAAAAGGAAATCACACGGAGGCACCTGAAAACCTGACATCAGCAATTAAATCAAGCAACCTAATGCGGCCCCTCCGGGAGGATTGTGCAGCTCTTCTGGAGAAGGACTTTGTTCTTGTGTGACTCCATGACTGGAAAGTGCTGTGTTGATGCAGCTTAGTGCCGTGGCATATTTCCCCTGCTCTAATTTCTTACCAGATGAAAGACTTGGGAGATTTCCCTGCTGGATTGTGCATTCATTTGAACGCTGTCACGTGAAATTGTAGAATTGGTTTGAGCTAAGAATGATGAGAAGCCACAGGGGCTCCAGATGCGCTGATGTAGATTCAAAGAAGGCATCAGTGTGATAGAGAAGCAAATGTTCCCAGTTGCATTTAAAAGTCTTCGTGATAAATGCCATGACCTTTACAATCATATACGAGGAGAAAACCTTTAAGTACAGAGCTGGTCATTTAAAGCAATATGAATGTGAAGTAAAAAATAACTTAAAAACTGAACACAGAGTTCTCAAGCTTATCGTGGTAGTCAGTTCCTTTATACCAACTGATACTAAAGGGAATAACGAGGGCCAATATCCAACAGTCAGTGATCCGGGTATTCAGTAGACATTCGGAATAAAAAGGATTTGATTCTTACACTTGATCTCTAAATACAAACGTCATCCTTTCGTCCAGCCTGGTGATTACTCCACGGAACTGGTAAAGATGAATGCTCACACATTAGTTTTTTTAAAAGTGTTTTTCTCTGTCTTATTTCTGTTTGATGTGAGTTTACTTAGTTTAAACCCCATTATGACTCATCTGAACCCGGTGCTGATTTGGAGAAAGCCGTGTAAGTCTCGCATGCTGTCTAATATCAGTTGGAATGAATTGTACCTGTAAATGTCTCGAGCCATCCCAAAATCTCCAATCTTGGCGACCCGGCCCGATCCTTTGCAGGTCAGTAGGCAATTACGAGCTGCAATGTCTCTGAAAAAGGAGAAAAACACATAAATGCGGTCATGTACTTACTGCTGGTTCAACAATATTGGTCATTTTCATAGATGCACAGGCACTTTAAGTCTGAATGACATTTTGTTAATATATTTAGAAGGCACTGTATACAAGAGTTAAACAAACTGAACATTCACACAGCTTTGCTCAGGCCTCCTCCCTTCACTAGTTTCATATGTGTTTGCATCTATAAGAGAGCTCCACGTATGAAACTCCTACAGACGCTCCCTGTGGGATCTCACATTCAGTGTAAGTACGAAGTTGCCCAGGGCAAGCGAGTAAAGTCAAGTGTATGGTTTCCTACTGTTCCTTTATAGCTCTGCCCACATGGTGCATCCACAGACAAGATTGAAATGTTCCGTTGCAGGGAGAGTGGGTTGGAAGAGAAAAAACTCATATTTGCACTCTACTAGTTTGAGGACATACAGTAGCTCATGTCTGGGGAAGACAACATTGAGCCCACACGCTGCGTTGGGCTCCCAAGGCGACACATCTTAAGAAGTCATGTTGTGAGCACACTGCTCCTCATCACAGTAAAGACAGTAGTGCACTCGGGACGATGCATACCCTGAATCTCACATCAACATAACATCATGTGACACTGCTCAATGTAGATCATGGGACAGGGCAGGAGCAAGACGTACAAAGAATAGCAGTGATAAAATCAGTTTGTGTGATTTGATGTTTATCCTCCAATCTCTGATGAAACTCCGATGTGAAATGAGGCTGAAGTAATAGTTCAGATTGATTTAAACCGAGGGCTTTTTAAGGCAGGGCACTACTCTATGCATGGCTGCCCCACTTCAATGCGCCAGAAGTGTCTGGAACAATTCAACTTATTATAATATAATACAACTTCAAGTATGAGAATAGATCATTTGGCATGAAACAAAAACAATGTCTAGGGCATCCAGTGGCTTCTCAGTTTTAGTGAAATGTGGACTCAAGCTGTTAAATGAATGTCTGAGAGATAAATGAGATATCAAACCAGCTGCAGATAATTTACTAAATTGCGGTATCGTGCCACAACATTCCCTATTCATAAAAAGGAGTGAATGAATCCATCCATTTAGAGGCGTCTCCAAAAACATAGCATCAGCTCACACACATGAACTCTTTATGTAGTTCATCTCCTCTCATGAGGTGCTGTGTATAAACCCAAGCAGTTCTTGTTTAATGGCCCTCGAGAATTCATGCAAATGAGTTTTGCTTGTAGGCAGGGACAGCCTTGAATGCAGCAGAAGCTGTCACAGTGTGTCGCTGAGGGCTTAGGGGAAGGACACAGAGCACATGCAGCACAGTGATGGGAGAGCAGGCTGTTATTAAAACAATGTTAACCGGCTTCAAACTGTAGACCTTATTTACATCACACTAACTGCAGCTTCAAGACCCCTTTCACTGCAGCACTTACCGTCTCTGTTATTAGTCTATTTTAAACAGCTGAAGTTGAACTACTTGACTCTCCTCGAGTCAGTGATTCTTTTCAGGCGACTACAGTTTCTAATGTCAGTACCTGTGTTATTGTAAAATAACGTTATAAAAATGTAACATTATTCGATCCACTAGCCAAAAAGAGCACAGATAAAAACGGATGTCAACATTAAAGGTTGCTGGTTTGCCGGGGGAAGGTAAAAGGTCATGTCTAGCTGGTGAAACTAATGGCGCGTTTCCACTACAGCCCGCAGCCCGGTTTAAGAGGGCTGTGACGTCAGCGGCCCGTCTTTGGTTGCGTTTCCACTTGGCCTAGTACCGGCCGGCGGGTCCTAATTCACAGTTTTTCTGGCCTCATAAAATCGTGGGTCTAGGGCCAGAGGCAACGAGGCTGAGTCGGGCTGAGTATGCTAAACTAGAGAGAGCGTCGCTGGCAAGGGGGCAACAACTACAACAAGATGGACATATTTGACCGTGATTTAATTGTAATACACGTTTCAAAATGATGCCGAAGTAACAACATACTGATACCGGTTAGTAAAAACCATGAATTAATGCTTTGACAAGTCTGCAGACAGACGGCAGGGGAAAAACCTTTTAAAATGCTTGTTTTCTAAATGGAGATTGGCTAAGCTAACGCAGTATATGCTCCAACCGTCCACACTCACAACAACGGCCTATACAGACATAAATAAAGCAGCGACTGTATTCACCATGACACAGGCAGTCTGTGGTTTGTACTTGTTTATCTTTTGTCTAGTTTCTGAACATATATGAGGAGCTGTGAGCTCTGAGTGCTAACAGCTAACGGCTGTGTTGTTTTTCTGGGGTCCTCTGAAGATCACGTCACGGCTCCGCCTACACTGCGTTACTATAGATACTGCCCCAGTTCCTAAACTGTAATGGAAATGCGCCATAAAGTGAGCCAGTCCTAACGAGGCCCAGCCATACCGAGCGGGGCCGAGCGAGGCCGTGTAGTGGAAACGCGGCATAAGAACACCCGAACCAGCTTCGGCAAAATGGCACATGCACAGTTCCTATGTGGCACTCAGGAACAAATATTGGCATGTAGGACAACGTTTAGAAGACCTAGCTAGCATTGCTGTTATCCTGGAACAGGAGTCTAGAGGATATGGGAAAATAATAAATAAATACATTTGTGTAGGGGCTCGTAGATTGGCCAATCCCACACTCATATGCTCTATATTCCATGTAGTACCCTGGAATACCAGCACCCAGAGTAAGTAGTTCTCAGACAGCATTAAAGCTGTGATTTGACCTGTTGCAGCTCATCATCCACACCCTTAAGAAAAGCTGCATTCTCCTCCACCCTACCGTATCCACCTGCCCTTTACTCAACCCCGAGTAAACACACACCCATAAAAATGAAATTAGTCTCAAGGACAGTATAAGGATGGATTTTAATACAAGTTTGAAGGCAGGAAAGAGGGATGGATTGATGGGCCTTACTGTGCCAAGTTGGGGCAGACAAGGTCTCGTATGTCATTGGCCAATCCCTGGGAAGCCGCACAGAAACATGAGCTTTAAGCGTCCAGATGTGATTGTGGGAGCCATTTTGACCACTGGCCTATTTGACATGTACTAGACTTTCCTCACAGACATCCACGGAGGAGAAGGATTCAAGAAATGCATTTAAAAGTGATTTAGTCACATCCTCCGGTTCACCAACCACTATGAATGTGGATATAGAATGAGACTTGTTCCTTTGATTCGGACCGTAAAAAGGCCAGCCGGCTACCCCATCTGGCTGCTCGGATGCTAAACCCATCACCTGTCCATTGTGCGATCATACGAGAGGCCAAGGCAGCAGGGTCCATATGTCACGCCTGGGCGGATGCAGACCACTCATAATCCTGAGCAAAGGCAGCGTGTGAATGTGGGCAAGTCTGTGCTATTTGAGTTTGAATATTTCTCTTTGCAAATTAGCATTCCATATGTATATGCATACCCATATGTGCTGTCTACTGTTTGTTTTTCTCTGTGCATAGCTACTCTGTTTAGGTGGGCAGCAGAATCCTTACATCATCTACTGTGTCTGTTTATATATTCATATGCAGAGTAGTTCTGTGTACCTGTGTATAAACTGGTTCTCCTCCAGATACTGGCAGCCCTTTGCGATGTCTCGGGCCACATTCAGAAGATCCACCATGGACAAGCTGGACGGATGCTCCTGATCAGACAGAGGAATACCCAGAATGCAATATTAGTCAATGTATCAGAGGCAGATTTGGGCCTCATTCAGCAAGCGATATACAAACAAAATTCTGTTATTTACTCTCATTTCTGTGATTAGACTTGATTTTTGTAGAAATACTATTGTTCAATGTATCCCAGTTAAGACTTTAAAACCCCTTGGAGGATAATAGTTTCTTTTCAGCTTCTGAATGGGTTACATACGGCTCTCAGATGCTTTATGATTTTCTTGAAACACCATTACTGATGCTAGGAGAAATCCCAGTTTAATTTGTTCATGTTTGTATAATGGTGTCTTTAAATCTCTACTGCTGAAATTCTTCTTACAGCCTTTTTTGGTGGCATCGCTTTAATTCTTGTGCCAGAGTTTTTGCACACGGCACAATGCCCACCCTTTCACAGTCTAAAGGGGTGTTACCTAATAATAAACAATGAGCTATACCCCTTATATTTATGATCAAAGGGGAGTCACCATACACCTGGGTGAGAGCAGATTTGGATGGATAAGAATGTTTGGAGTTGACTTCAACTATTTATCTCTCCTAACACTAAATTAAGAGAAAATATTAGAGAAATCTTAGAGAATGTTGCTGCATGAGGCCCAGAGATGTTGTTAATAAAACATCTAACAGAACATGGATCACATTTTGTCAAATTCTGGGGCTCAGTGACGAGAACATTTGTAGCTAAAGGTGGTTAAACCAATACAAGTATCCATTCAATACAGGTCTGTCTCACCAGCCGGGGTCTGGTCTCCCTCAGGAAGGACTTGAGGTCTCCCCCGGTCATCAGCTCCAGCAGGATGAACCTGGGCATGGTCTGCAGACTGACGCCCACACAGCGCACGATGTTCTGGTGGCTGAACTTACTGCAGGGCGGAAACACAGCAGGGGAAACAATGTGTATCAGAAATGTGCTGTGTCTGCACTGTTTGAGAAACAGAACTGTTTTCATTGTCTGGGTGCTTCACCTGATGATTAGAGCCTCCATGAGGAAGTCCAACTCATCCTGCTCAGAGCAAACCTCAGGCAGGGTCTGTTGGAAATACAAAAAACATCTCAGTGCAAAGAATGAAGAACAGAGGAGAGAAGTGGTGTAAATAAATGTCAAGGTTTTGAGAATAACTCCAACTATAAGCATTAAGTGGACATTTTGATTTGATTTTTTACATGGAAAAAATAAATAAAGACATCATCCTGTTGTTTTTTCTCTTCATGCCTGATCTTAACATTCTTTTGTGTCAGTTTGATAAAGAGCAGAATTGTGTTTGTAGAGCCTGATGCATTTCTTAATAAGGCAGTGAAACAGAAGTGGCAGTTTTCGTGCTGTAAAGCCTAAAACTGCAAAACAGCAATCCAATCCAATCCACTTTATTTCTATAGCACATTTAAAAACAACAGAGTTGAACAAAGTGCTGCACATCAACAACTGTATAAAAACATAGCATACATACATGAAAAACAGACAGGACATGAAACAAATGTAAAACACGAGACAATGAAACCAGACCAGAAGCCACAGACTGAGAAACTCTCCTACATCACGTAAAAACAATAGAAAACACTCGTAAGATAAAAACCCACATTTAAAAGCACAAGTGTCATACCTGGTCTGTAAATGCAAGGGAAAAGAAGTGGGTTTTGAAAGGAGATTTAAAAACAGGCAGAGTTGGAGCGAGTCTAACCTAGAGGGGCGATTCGTTCCATCATTTTGGAGCTGCAACAGCAAAGGCTCTGTCTCCTCGCTGCTTTAACTTTGATTTTGGGACTACCAGAAGGAGTCTGTCAGCAGACCTCAGTGACCGTGTGGGTGTGTACGGTTTTAAAAGATCTGCCAGGTACGGTGGGGCTAAACCGTTTAGGGCTTTGTATGCAAACAGTAACATTTTAAACTGTATTCTAAAATTGACTGGTAGCCAATGTAAAGAGGCGAGTACAGGAGCAAGACACAATACAACTCATAATCTCATATCCTGATAAAAAGCTATTCTTAGTTGCATGATGTCTGATGCATTGTAAAAGGCTGTAAACATCAACATCAAAGTCTGACCTTTGGAAGACAGAAACAAATCTTTAGAGTTCCTTAGACCGTAAACTCACCTTGACTGCCACTTGCAGAGGACTGGGTTCACCTGGGATCCCCACTGCCAGCCCTTCATACACTTCACCGAAGGCTCCGTGACCCAGACCCCTGGAGAGACACAAACACATTCATTATTTACAACTCCATTCATATTTTAGAAGTGAAGCTGAGACTTTAATACAAGTCTCCGATTGGAGACATTAGAAGCAACCAGCAGTAGGAAATGTCCTAAAGGGGCCCCCTTATGCTCATTCTCAGGTCCATATATGTATTTAGTACCTCTACTGTCACATGTCTCCATGCCTTCATTTTCAGAAAGCTCGTTACTTTTCTCATACTGCCTGTGCTGCAGCACCTCTTTTCACCCAGAGCCCAGTCTGCTCTGATTGGTTAGCTGGCTGGCTCTGTTGTGATTGGTCAACCGCTGAGAGATGTCTCGCCCCTTAGCCTATCATGTACAATGTGTTGGAGAGCTAACCAATAGAAGTAACTAAGTGTTATGTAGTGATGTCTCTGAAGGAACACAGGGATTTTAACCTTTGTAGAACCATGCAAAAAACCCAACACTACAGAAAAGGGAAAACCCAAAAGCATAATAACATGTCCAAACTATGATCACTGTAGCACTAGGACATGGAAAAAACTCTTGGCAGTTTTCTCAACTAGGTCACAAGCATTTCAGCCCCAAACTCTCCGTGACATCCTGCCGCAGATTCAGACTTTATGTCAAATAATCATTTCGATTTTGTATCTTTTGCAGCCATTTCATTTGACTTAAATAATGTCAATGCTGAAACAAAGAAGAAGAATGGGTCCCAAAGAAAAGGAATGAATCATAAGGATTAGGAACCAGCATGATAAACTGTTGAACGATAAGCACATGAAAGATTAAACATTTAAAAGAGCCATGCGAAAAATCTTTTCCCTAGACACTTGGATCCCTGCAGCAGACCCGTACACTAAGCTGCCACTTCTCACACCATGCTGTATTTACGAGTCCAGCCTATTTAAATAGTTTGTACAATGACAGTGAGCTGCACGTCTGTTCAGATACTGTTATGCTTCAGTCAGGTCCCACTTCCCCACAGAGGACAGGTGTATTCAGCTCATACAAGACAAGCAACAAGAAGGCGTGATTTTAATCTCTGCTCTCGTACCTGGTGAGGGAGATATTTCTCCGCGGCACTTCCTTCAGGTCGGTGACCGATGCCGTCTTTCCGGCGAAGCAGTAGTTGGGGTTGTAGTCGGTCATGATGGTGGAGGCCCGCAGCTTGCTGAGCTTACAGTCTGGACTCTGCAGCTCCAGCTGGATGGACTGCAGCTCCGTATGTTTACGCCTGTACACTGGTGAGAGGAAAATTCAATCGTTTCATCCCACTGTTGGGAAATCCTCAATTTATAAAAGCAAACAAAACCTTGAACACATCTTTTTTGTGGAAATGATTGCTGGCAGCTAAAGCAAACAAAGTGGAAAGCTTACCAGTTGTTATTTCTCTCAAGACCTTTTGTTTGTTCCACAGCAATTTTTATGAAAATAATTCCTTGGTGAGATATTGATTCCTCTCTATGTGATGCCAGATTCGTCTTTCATAATGTTTCAGATTCTAACCCTTAATGTTTAAACGTGTCTTGAGGATGTGTTCATATTACAACGTAAGCATAAAACCAAGTAGAGCTGCAAAGAGTAATCCATTAGTTGTCAACTGTTACATTAATTGCAGACTATTTCATAATATACTCATTAGTTGTAAAGTAAACATTATTATTTCCAGCTTCTAAATGTGAATACTTTGTGGTTTCTTTACTTCTCTCGGGAAAAAAATTGAATATTGTGAGTTTTGCAGCTCATAGAACATCCCACTGTGTGGAAACTCTTTTCTCCTTTACGCACGCACGCACGCACGCACGCACGCACGCACGCACGCACGCACGCACACACACGAGTTCTAGAAGCAGCCTCGACCTGAGCTGGGAACCCATTAGTCCCAGGGAGAATAGTTTATGTGTGTATGCTTATGTGTGTGTGGGGAGTTATTTATTTACCAAGTGCTTTCTAATGTACGAGTGCTGTCAGCCGCTGGCTAAGCAGCCATCCATCATTAGCACGTTCCATTCATCACAGAGGTAGACCCACTCCTCCACAGACCCCCGCTGCCTCTACTGACAGAGCAGGCGTGTAGGTGGGAGTCTGGCTGTGTGCAAGAGCAGGAGCGTGTGTGTGTGTGTGTGTGTGTGTGTGTGTGTGTGTGTGTGTGTGTGTGTGTGTGTGTGTGTGTGTGTGTGTGTGTGTGTGTGTGTGTGTGTGTGTGTGTGTGTGTGTGTGTGTGTGTGTGTGTGTGTGTGTGTGTGTGTGTGTGTGTGTGTGTGTGTGTGTGTGTGTGTGTGTGTGTGTGTGTGTGTGTGTGTGTGTGTGTGTGTGTGTGTGTGTGTGTGTGTGTGTGTGTGTGTGTGTGGAGGAGGAGATGATGGCTCAATGAGTGCACATGTCTGGCTGTAATAGCCTGAAAGCAGGTGAGCAGGAGGATGTCTGCGGCTGTCCGAGAGGTTCACTTCCCTGTTCTGACAACAAGCTGCTCGGGGCGATGAGAGGGACTGGAGTGTGTGTTTGTGAGACAGTTTTTTATATTCAATCAGAAGCAGAAAAAAGAAATACCAACGTAACGGAACCTCTTAAGCGTTACCCAGCACAGTGGGGCTCTTCAGAATCATTAAGGACTACTTTAACCCCCATGTTTACTTTGTTGGCTGTCATGAGAAAAACCTCATTTTGATAAAATGGCTTTAAGAATATGCAGAGTGAAACCCCATGCATTTTTTAAAACACACTACAGGAGATTAGGGTAAACATTTGAGGTAATGGATATCACCATTAAACATCCCCAGTTGATTCATTACATGAAATCATTTATATTTTTATATAACAATTTATTTTAAATGTAACGTTTAACTGTAAAATGAGAAATGATCGTATGCTAACTTTAGATGAAATAAGCAGAACTTTACTGATGAATGAATGAAAATAAACACTTAAATGTGTATTTTGAATGATTTTTTGAAAGAAGGCATGTTTTTGAAGCAACATATCACAAACTCTGCCGTCTCACCATGAATCATGGAATTTCAAATCCTCTGACATCGTATCCGCAGACTAACACCAGAATATTTCTTGACACTTAACAGTCTAAATGTGTTTCCCCTGTCCTCCCTCACTTACTGATCATGACCCCGGAGACGGCCAGCAGCAGGGCGGCGATGAGGGCCGAGGTGCCCACAGACAGCCCCAGCGCCAGGTGGGATAGAGACGGCTGGGGGGGGGGGCGGGTAACCTCTGTTAGACAAGGGGAGACAACAGCATTCCACACTTGTTATCGTCCCCAGAGGAGTATTAACATTCTCTCCGCCACTCTGATCCCACACTTAATCAATGATGTGAAAGCGATGACACAACAGAGCTTAGGAGCAGCGACGGCCGGCGCATGTCAATTCCCCTCCCATGGGCACGGGGGAGATCTCATTTCACTCGTCTGAACGAAGAACACATCTTCACGCCCACAGACGCCATATTGAGATAGCGACCTTTTATGACCTAGCATCATAAGAGTTATCTACTGCTTGTCATTTTGGAGAACAGATTTGCAAACCATGGGGCAAGGAAACACTCTAGGTCATTAAGATACCATTACAAATTATAAAGTGACATTCTGCCATATTAATTTATTTCAGATATACATTCATATGCTCATGATTCAAGAGATTACAAAGAATAATTGGAGAGGGGTTTCTATGTCCAGAGGGGTTTGCCTGCATTGCTTTGTTGCAGTTTAACAAAAGACACGGCACAAGGTTGAGATGGGGAAAATATGCAGTCGCATGAATTTAGGGTCAGTATTATCTATACAAATGTTGCATAATCCGTTATTCAATCACGTTTCATTGAATAATGTACGTACAAAACATGAATATCCACATCCTGAGTATTTCAGCCTAATTCCCTCAACATTAAAAAGCTTTAATCTGAATGTATCGCAGAGATCTATCACAGAGCAAGACTAAAGCAGCTAATACTTCTAAAGGTATATCATCTCCATTAGGGTTAGCTTATCCTACAGATTGATCATTATTATGAATGATTAAGGCATTCATACAAAACCTTTCCTTAGATAAAGATTCAATTAAGTACAGAGCCTCCCAGGCCTAATTACTCCTGCAGATTAACTCATGTATCCACCGAGTCACAGTCTATTACAGGTACAATTACATCAGTCCTTTCTGCATTCGGATTCATTTCACATGCTGAGGAGGAGAGGGAGAGATGAGCAGCAGTCTGACCTGTAGCGTTGATGCAGGAGACCCCGTCCCGGGCCAGGATCAGACCCTCGTCGCAGTAGCACACGATGCTGCCGTAGGTGTCGTGGCATTCGTCGCTTTCACAGTGGCTGCAGTTCTGCACGGGACTGATGATCACCTCCCCATCCCCCTCCATAGCTTCACACACACAGGGTGAAAAGCAGATGTTTCCACATGAACAGGGTTTGATAAGACATCTCTAGGATAGAAGAGAAAATATTCAATAATACTGCCATGGTATTTCAAGGTTCTTTATTTTGTCATACGAACATAGCTACAGAGTAGTTATGTTGATGAAAATCTTAGGTCACAGGCTTCTCCAACAGTGCAACACAATAACACAGATAAACAGAAACATATAGTGCAAGTAAATATTATTATTTTTTTATTAGAGAACATATGAGGAGGGCTTTTTCTAAGTTTTATTTTCACCACCATCATCTCCCAGCTAACCAGTAGCCAGTTGAATAACAGATAGAGTAGATACAAGTATCAATAATGGCACTTGAAGAGCGCTGACCTCCACCTAGGCTTTACGGTGCGTTTACATGCTACTCGGAAGGTCCCTTATTCCGGGGTGGGAAGTTGTTATTTATGTTGAAACCAAATAGACGCTATAAAGAAGATGTATATATTTTATAGCTGAGACTCTAAGCTATACAATATATACATATTTTAAGCCTTAGGGCATTTCCACCAAACATTTCTAACCAAGCTGCAACCTGAGGCCTGTACTACGAAGCCGGATTTTCGCTTAGCGGGCTAACTTCAGGGAAAACTCGGGCTTTCCGGTCCTACGACGCTGGTTCTCTTTTTAGCGGGCTAGATCTCCATGGTAACTTATGCTGAGCGGCTAACCTGCTCGGGAGGAGGTTAGGTTGCAGGCTAAGAGATCAAATCAGTGAAAGCACCACCTGCTGACCAATCAGAGCTCAGTGTGCGGAGTTTAAAGCTATCAAGTCATATTACAGGATAGAGGAAATACAGAAAAACTGCCGTTGCAGGAAAGACGGCCGGCAAAAATCAACTGACTGTGTGAACGTGAACATTAATAGAATATCCCCTCCCATCTTCAGAGCAATCTGACTATTATAACATTAGCGTTAAGAAAGCTTACTTAAATATCTGCCACAACACAAGTAACCGGATCAGAGTAACATTAAGTACAGTCCGCGGCACTGTGAGTGCAGACGTCGATGTGTCCCATTATCATTCATATCATATCACATCATAATGTATCATATATGTCCTTATCTGAGTCAGCTTCTTGAGCCGTATCTGGCCGTGCAACACTCACAGTGTCACATACTGTATGCAGAAGTATTATTTTAAGCAACACATTAAGTTGACGAAACACTCGAGTCAAATGTAATTAAAGTCAGATCCACTCGTGTCTTAGACGGGGCAGTGATATCATAAACCTGTTAATGTACGCATTCAAACGCTTTTTCTTTTACCAGCTGTATTCACCTTGCAGGTGCAGCTATGTGGCTTTTATCCTGGATAAAGTGTTTAAGTCATGGATGTTTAAAGTTTAACTTCTTCATATTTGACTAATATTAAAGTTCACTTTTCATTCAGGAAGTATGACGCTGTGCTGTCAGTACGCTTGTCCATGTTTGAGATTGGTCGAATGCTCCAAATACCACCCCTTTCATGTGAACGCGCACCTAACAAGGACACGGCTGGCTTAAGCGATCCACTTGATAACCAGCGTCGTAGTACAGCTTAGCGAGAGCGCGTATGTTTTGGATTGGGCCAACCGGCTAACTCCAACATATCCAGGTTAGGTTGAACCAGCTTCGTAGTACAGGCCTCTGGTCTGAAGAGTGAGGCCACAATGCCAAACTCACATTCTCTCTAACAGTCAGCAGGGGGCCACTCAAGTGGTTGCAAAAAGAAGTGAGATTCTATGGAAGGCTATGAAAACATTTCTGACTTTATTTAATACCTTAAGTAACATTTCCTAATAATTGAATGGTCTCGATTACTAGTTTCAAGTATCTTTGTATGAAAAGCAGGCCAGCAGATAACACCAAGCCGAAAACATGAGATCCTTCACTGAGGTAATACAAATTGAAAAGAATCTAAATAGAGGTGTTGTTGGCAAGTGAATGGTAATAATGGATAATGATTTAGCTCATTAAACAGTGTTGTGTTACTGCTGTGGCCTGGTGGAGTATTTTGACCAAAGCCTACCACCTGTAAACTAAAACAGGGTTAAAAGTGAGATTACATAAGGCATCAGCTTTCCTATTCAGCTTCACTGTGCTTTCATCCCCAGTGTGATTTCATTTGGTGAATAGCGCTACTGATCCAGTCCAAGCTATCAGAGCTGAATGGAGCCAGGGTGCCTCCGTGCTGTGTGGAGGATTGAGAGCGCGCACATTTCCATTCCACTCTTTTCTTACCGTAAACTAAATGAATTGACTGATTGTAACTGAAGTTGTGTTAATCTGTGAAACGATCTGCGGCTGTGGGTTCTGAGGCTGGAACCAAACCTGCAGACTCTCCGCCCTCCACTGCACAACGCTTTTAAAGCTATAAGGAGTTTTAGGAACCTGTTTACAGCCATTACTGCATCAAAAGAACCAATTCTCTTCATTTTAGACAACATAGCAAGCTTGGACATATCATCTAACATAAAGTGGTTTCTGGTCTGTGGAAGCTGGTACGGCTTAGTAAGGCAAATGCACTCATCTGCAGAAATCTCTTTTCTCTCATTCCGTTGTCAGCTTTATAAGTACAAATACATAAATCTGACATATAAACCGTTGAAGGGTTTCGATGGAGGAATGCAGATTGTGTTTCTCTCTAGATCTTTAATATACTCCCTAAGTGTAAGATGACGATCATTTCTCGACTTCATTTTTCACGTTTCTTAATGATATCATTGTAACAGTGAAACAGTTTCTCTTCTATCAAAGCAAGACAGTTATACCTGTACAGATACATAATTGTTCTTCCCTTAAACGCAGTCTCTCAATCAACTAAAGAAGGACTTGCGTCAATGCACTCTTCTGTGTTAGGAGTCATGCAATCCGGTTGCCTCTGTCAACATTAACGCTGTGATCTTTTATCCTCTTTGAAGTTCTTTCAGTGCACACAGCAGGGTTGTCCGGCAGCACCTACTGTTTTTATTTGAGCTTAAGAACCTGCCTGTGCACTTCAAGCTGAGGAGAAAATGGCTGCCGTCACCAGGAAGTGTCCAGGGTGTGAAGCAAAAATAATTGCAGACTCTTCACACCCTGGACACTTCCTGTTAGCTCTTCTGCCCTCCGGTAGACGCTACAGGTCAATTAAATCAAGGACAAACCGACTGAAAAACAGTTTCTACCCCAGAGCCATACGAGAACTGAACACCGTCAAACGCTGCACTAGCACACACACAGTAATCATTTGCAACTGCACTACTTTTTAATAGTTTTATTAATTTATTTAATTTAATAGAATTCTATTCTATTTGTGATCACATCTTCAAACCACGGATGCCCTTAAACATGACCTTTACACAGAGGATATTCTTTTACGTGATACAATTACAGATAATACCTGACATCTCTCCCTGTGTGTTACAATAATGACTTTAGCCTTCTGGTAATTCACTGGTTATAAATCATGTCTTTTTCTGCGCACACTCACATTTCTATAACAGGAAGTGGACGTTTTCCTTTTGCAGGAATATAAAAACTTTAACCATTACAAATATAAACAGAAGTATAGACTATAGGAGAGTTTACAAATGTTATGAAGAAAGATCTACAACTGATATCAGAGTGGGTCATAAATAATAAGTTAGTACTTAAAGGTGGGGTATGTCATTTTGGAGAAACCAGCTCAAGTGCGCTAGAATTTGAAAATACACAACCGGAAAAAATCTGCCTCTTCCTTCAGACTTCCTTACAGAGCCCCTCCTCCAACACACACGAACGCGCACATGACCAATGAGGGCACGAGATAACTTTGTGCCTCGATGGAAGGCTGACAGGCAGGTAGGCCATCCAGTTATTTTAGCCGGGCCGGCTAAAATGATTGGTCGTGCTTTTTACAGCGCCACGGCTTCCACAGATTTATGTATTTATTGTCAAAGCATTTAATATATTCATTGCTATCGGGATGTTAAGAGCATTCCATGGAATATAACAAAAAGTGTTTCTGAAATAAATGACATACCCCACCTTTAATGCTGGAAAAACTAAATCTTTATTAAATCATCAGTTCAAAGGTGAACCAAAATTGCAACTACATTTAAACCATATTCAAATTGAACAGGTCAAGGAGACACAATTGCTAGGTATAACCCTGGATCATAAATGATCTTGGTCTAAACAAATTGATAATGTTGTATGTAAAATGGGAAGGGGTGTGTCACTTGTAAAAATAATTGTAAAATATTTGCCAATAGATGTCAGTAGACAAGTTCTGGATGCTTTGGTTCTGTCGCAGCTTGATTATTGTTTGGTTATATGGTCTAGTGCTGCAGAAAAAGATTTCAACAAACTACAAGTAGCACAAAATAAGGCAGCACGATGTGCACTGCAGTGCTCCTACAGAACCAGAGTCACTGAAATGGTTAAGTGTCAGACAGAGGTCTTTTGTTAAATGTTGTCAGAAATATTACAGTGACTCACTCACCACATATATTATCACAAAGGTTTATAGCGCAGTATGCTCAACATAACTATCAAACACGACATACAATAGAAGGAAGGTTTGTATTACCCAAATCTAAATCAAATATGGGACAGAAAACAGTCACACTGTACAGAGTCAGCTGGAACTCTTTACCGGTCCATATCATTCAGGAACATTCTCAAGTACATTTCAAAAGGTTGCTAAAAAATTATTGAAGTATTATAAAGTGAATTTGAACTGTGCCTGTGGCTATGTATGCATATATTATTATGTACACTTATTTGTATTTACTTTTGTTCGGCCTTAGGGTGGCGATAATTGGATGACCATTTCAGTTTTCACTTCAGACAGCACTGTAAATGACATGAAATGATGAGCTGTTTTGTTTTGTTTTAATTTGGTTGTATATATGTTTATGTATGTTTTGTGTGTGTGAGGACCCCAGGAAGAATAGCCAATGCTCATGCTAGTGCTAATGGGGATCCTAATAAAGACATACAAAAAGACATAAATAGATTCTGGCTATATTCCCAATGTTAATCTTTATTATCTGTCATAAAAGTTGTTCTTTTCTTGTCATGAGTCTACCAAATGGGGACATTAAAGGTATCCAGGAGGTGTTGCTGGAAGAAAAACACAGATTGAACTACAGTTGTATCTTAAAGGGGGTGTATTATGATCATTTAGTGATGGTACGTTTTCTTGGTCAGAAAACCTGTGATCAACAACCAACAATGTAACCTTGTTACATCACAAGCTGGCTCATTAGAACATACCGCCCCACATATGAGTCTCTTTAACAGGGCTGAACACAGCTGTATTCAGCAGGTATGAGAACGATGATGCATCTTTAACATAAAACACCAACATAATATGGAATACTATGTCCCCTTTAGTTTAAGATTAGATCTTCTTATTCATTTTTTAGGTTAAATAGCTAAAACAGGAAATAGATTTTCTTTCTTTAAATGACACCAGAAACAAGAGAAACTAGAACATGTCAGCATGTTAACGGGCCAAATGCTGTGAAGTTTAAAAGCCAGTATGCCACTTCTACAGAGCTGGTATTCACTCCTAAGTCTTGTTCCACCGGAGGAAATAAAGTGAGTGTAATGACCAAATGAGGATTATGGCAGTTGAGAGGTGCACTGCCTCACCAGACAGCATCAGCCTATTCAAGCTCAATGGGAGAGATATGAGTGCGTACTTCGCTACAGCCCTAATGGAAGACAATTTAAAAAAAGGCACTTCAGTTTTCCATTTCTCTTTTTTTCCTATTTTCTTACATAGCTGAGGCAAAAGGTTATTTCAAAATGATGTATGAAGGGTCATCATTTGTGCTGATATTTTCTGTCAAACTGTGTTTCTAGTGCTGTATCCTGGGGGAAACAGTCATTTGAGGCTGTGACCAGTAACATGGGTTTAATATGGGTGTAATAATGGAGTAATGGGGGCATATTAATGTTGTTATATGAGTTTGATACAGTTTAACCCTTAGATGCACGAGTGACTGGACCCTACACTCTTCCATAAGTGGGTCAAAAAGGACCCGTATTAGAATAATATGTGCTTTTATGCCATTTTTGTCATTTTGGAAAGGAAAAATCACTTGTATAATATTTAGTATTATATTTTGGTTCACATTAGAAATATTTTATATTACATTTTTCACTATTTAGAATTTTAGAATTTTTTTTTTACATTTTGAAAAAAAAAAAGAATTCCATAGAAGATGCATGCGGGTCATTTTTGACCCACTTATGGAAGCTTGGGGTAGTACTACAAAAACTACAATTTCTTAAAATGTATACAATTTAAATTTAAAATTTGAATGGCATGATATCCAAAACATGTTTTTTGAGGAATAGCTGGAATATGAAATGATAAAAAAATGTAATTACAAAGATACTCTAAGAAAACCACCTCACCGGGTCAAAAAACACCCACTTATGCATCTAAGGGTTAATTTAGGTGTAATGTAGAAAGTAGAAATCTATTTATTTTCCAAATATATATACATATATATAAATGTGATTGGTCATTTAAGAGTTAATATGTCAACAGCAAAGACAGCTTTTCTCAAAGTACAAACACATAGACCCTCAAACCTCAAAAAGCACAACGTTATCAAATACTGAATATAAATGACTAGTGTGTCACATTACCTTTCAGCGGGTAGAGGAAGGGCTCTCCTTCTGGGCCGAGGAAGGAGGTGCCATCGTCACCATCGTGTTTGGGGTTGTTATCCAGCGAGGTGTTACCACCTAGAATCATGGAGAGCACAGTGACACAACTTCAGTGCCATTTCATAAATAACATGCTTTTTTATATTCTGTGCTTTTGCAATCTGAAAATATGTCAGTTTTCCCATTATGTAGATTTTCTCTATTGTCTCTATCCATTATTGCTTGGTAGGGATTTTTATCATGGACATCAACAACATTTTGACCGTATCTATTCCCGTTTTTTTACATTTTGTTGTCTCAAATAAAAAAATACATACAAATTACAAGGTGGCTGATACAGAAATAAAATCATAGTTTGTTTATCCGAATTGTGTGCACACTTTTCCAGAACATTAATATTTGGTGGCATTTACTAAATATATGTGAGTGTTCTGCAGCTAGTACGCCACATTCTCATGGTAGATTATGTTTAGATATTAACCTAGTGTGTGATAAACCCCAGTGTAATCTAACGTTTACAGGTATTTGCATTTTGCTTATTATTTGCATTACTTCTGTGTTAAGTTTTTGTTTTTGTATATTTTCATGCCTTGTGCTGTGTAATTCCCAGCACTGGACATTATAGAAAAACCTTGCAGATCTCTTGCACTAACCTCTGTATCCTCCGGCAGCGCCCCCGGACATACACCCCCCGCCGCCGCCCCCGAAGCCACCGCGAGTCTGCCAGAACTTTTGACAGGCCTGCCCTCCCTGGCCCCCCAGCACCAGAGGTCTGCCCCCCTGACTGACAGGAGCAGTGTCGTTCCAGCCTCCGCCTCCACCTGTCACCAAACACAACAACCCTGTCACATGATGTGGAGTAACACGCTGTGGAGCAAGGACTCCACTCAGATATGCACAGCAACTCTGCAATGATCTGCACACTGGAGCGCTGTGTGAGGACGCAAATGTCAGGATCATCAGAGGGAGAGTGGGGCGGGTCATGCCTTCGCCCTCATTCTGAATAGTAATAAGCCATGCACTTTTTTTGCATCGCAAGTAGAGTGTTTTTTTTGTTGGAACAATGGGCCTTCAGCGAAATGGGCGTTTGTGATTTTGTTAACGGACTGTCTGACAAATGGGCTTTCGGTTCAGTCTGTAATTTATTTTGTATTCTCTGGGTTACAGGAACAATGGCATGGCATCAGCCAGATTGTGGGCGAGTTTCTATTCCAGCTGGTGGGAAACCGGAAGAAAACAAAAACCTGAGGGGGAAGAACAAAACATTTCAAATTGGAGAGATGACAAGTTTAAAAGAGCCGTATTATGGTTAATTTGAGGTTTTATATTTGGATTTTGTGCATCTTTTGTGACATGTCTAAATGCTTTAATGTTCAAAAAGCTCTTTATTTTTCTCATACTGCCTGTGCTGCAGCACCTCTTTTCACCCTCTGTCTGAAACCAGAGCCCAGTCTGCTCTGATTGGTTAGCTGGCCGGCTCTGTTGTATAGGGTCAGATCAGTCTCAAAATGAATAAATGCACACAGAAGGATTCACAAATGTAATTTGGGATTTATATATAAATGTCTGCATCCACACAAATATTTTTCAATACACACACTAAAACGTATCACGTAAACATTTATTTATTTTGAGACTGACCTGAACCCTCTGCACTGTTGTGATTGGTCAACCACTAAGAGATCACGTACAATGTGTTAGCCAATGTGCTAGTCAATAGAAGCATTAGTAGTCATTATGTTACAAAAGTAAGCAAAGGAGTCCAATGGAGGCGTTTCAGGCAGGGGGGGGGGGGGGGGGGGGGGCGGGGAGTTAGGGGGAGAGAAACTCCCTCTGGAGGGAACTTTGGGATTTTAGCCTTTGCAGACCATTTACATGCACACAAACCTATTTAACACACTACATGAAGCATGATAGGGCCCCTTTAGGGGATCTTGGTCTGTAAATGTTGACGTCAAAAATGTCATCAGACAAAATCAAAGAGTGGCAAGAGACTGGCTGTATGACCAAATTACAAGCAGAGCAGCAGAGTAAGTGAGAGCACTTTTGACCAGGACTATCTGGACAATGTGTGGAACTGATTCTTTGTCCAGAGTTCACACAAGACTAATTGAAAAATTCTTTTCGAAAAGGAAGAAAGAGAGAAAGACACAGAAAGAGCTCTTCAATGGGAAAATGTTCTGGAAAGATGATGCACGCACACACCAAGTATCAGGTATGTTTACACACACCCACACACACACTCTGCAATAACTTATTAAACACTGGTTAGAGCAGAGACCACAGAAACATAAATCCCTTTGAAGAAACCTGGTAACAGGAGATTAAAGTTAGAGCTAATCAAGTTAAAAGTAAATGTTCCCCTTTCATTTTCCTCCCTCTCTGAAGTCTGAGAGATAGTAACAAATGAAACAAAAACAAATATCTCACCACATTAGCAACAAACCACACGGAAATGCTGAATATTTGACTTTTCATTCACCAGTTCCTTAAAAAGTAAACCATGGGCTTTGAGAAAATGTTTTCTGGGCCATTCTAAAGTCAGACCACATGAATAATGCAGCCGGCATGGATGTAGCATCACACTGTAGTTCTGACCGGTAATGACGGGATACACAGGGATCCATATGAATAATTATGAGCAGGCCCTAGCTTTGTTTAGTTTTAGCCAAAACACAAACACTGGCACAGCGAGTGGGAACGCATATGAAACGTATGAATGAAGGCAGAGGTAAATGCCTTCTGGGATAAATGGTTGTGTTTACAGGTAGACACACAAATAAACACTTCCACTTCGGGCTATCTGTAAACTGGGCTTATTAGTTTGTGGCCATGCAGAGCCGAATACAATACAAAGCGCCTTTCTCATCATAAATGGGGGAAGATAAGCCGTACACAACAGTTCTGTAATGGCGTATTAGTTATCTGTTCATCTCATACACACACCTGGACCAAGCTCTCTCACTAAAACACACACAACTGTAGACACAAACTACGCACTAACAGTTGAATTGTGCATCATTTGCATCCTCTATCTGCCCCATCTGATTCACAAAGGATATTGTGTTAATGGTATTACAGTGCTCATAAAGTGCTCATAAAGTGCTCATAAAGTGCTCATAAAGTGCAATTTGACTTTTTTTTTGCATCCGATTGCCATTATCCATGTGGCAGAGTATGACTGATTTGTTGTGAGGGGTCAGCCTGAGCTACCGGGGTCTGATCGGGGGGGCCTGAGGGTGCATCCAAAGGCAATTGTAGAGAGGAAAAGGAAATGTCTAGAATAGAGAAAGGAGGGATAGAGGAGAACTTGTTTGTATTAGTTTATATAATAATCTTGTTTTTTTTTCTCATACATTTTCAAAAAAGGGCATGTAAAGGAGTCCCGTTAGTTACCAGGAACCCTGCATGGATACTCATCATTTCACTATAACTGTAGAAGTGATTTAGACTATTCATGCAAAGAGGCTCTCTGCATAGAAAGGGCCACTATTGAGACAATTGTGTGCAGTTAACTCCTGCTGAGTGCTTTGGGAATTGTTATATGCATAGGTTTGTAATGGTTGTGCAATTGTTTTGTGAATTTGTGAATTTGCCCCTCCGCACGCACGCACGCACACACGCGCACACGCACACACGCACACACACACACACACACACACACACACACACACACACACACACACACACACACACACACACACACACACACACATCAAAGCTGTGTGTAGCGAACCTGCAGCACTTGACTTCCCGTTGCGTCCCGGTTGGCTGGGGTCATAGTCCATCTGCTCCAGCTGCATCTCTGATAGGCTGCTGTAGCCCCGGCCCCCTCCCCCAGCAGCGATGATGAGGGGGATGAACACGTCTTTTACCACCTGGGTATTTATATACATTTATATATTAATACAGTTAAATGTAGTGTGTGCACATCAAAGGAATAGGAAAGGAAACCTTCTTGAAAATACGTTTTAAATTATTTTCCATTACCATGGTGTAAGAAAGCAAATTCAGGTATTTTAAAAAGTGGAACTTCCTTTAGAACAAATGTATTGGGATGTTGGCCAGCTTCTCTGTTTGATGATGAGATTAAAACCACCAAATAACTCCAGTGAGTCATGTTCATTGATAAAGTAGTGACAATAAGACAATAACTGCTATCTCAGAGATATGAATTGCTTGAATGGTTGAGAGCACGGTCAATATCCCCACTGCCTGCATTTGAATATGTAATGCATGTACTATGAGACAAACGACATCTCCACAAATGATGCACAGTTCTCAAAATATAAAGTCTAAAAGTATCTGCCTGCCCATCATCACCTACTTACCTTGAACACATATGTGGCCCCGCCCCCTCCTCCTCCACCCCCTTTCACTTGGGTTTTGTTGGACATGGGGGCGCTCTGTTCCTGGCAGATCTTATTCAGCATGGGGTTGATCTGTAGGCAAGGAGAGAGAGCGAGAGAGCGAGAGAGCGAGAGAGCGAGAGAGAGAGAGAGAGAGAGAGATGTCAGCTCACATAAGAATTGCTTTCATGCTCTCTCCATGCACGTCAGTTGTGTGTGTGAGAAACTTGAGCAGTTGCCAAGCCACAGCTGCTGCTTAGTCAAAGGCTTTATCATTATAATGGTGAACAAACACCAAGCAGAAGTATCCAGATGCACACAGGAACTGAGAGGCAAGGACCAATGCTGCCTCTATATGACAATTCAGTCTGCTGTTTACTGATTTCCTGTCTATTGTAAAACCACGTATTACTGACTGAATAAGACAACTCCGGAAAATATTTCTCAGTGAAAGATTTGACAAAAATGCATTCAACATATATACTGAATAGTTTGTTATTTTGCAGATGTGTAAATAGAGCCATCAAGTATTTTCTCAGAGTTAAAGGATTGTTAAAAATATAGAATTAATGAAAAGTCCCATGAATCCAAAATCACTAAAAACCCTTTAAATAGCTTTATGAAAAAAGGGTTAGGGTTAGGGTTTATAAACGTTAATTGCAAGACTTTTGTTGTGGTTTGCTCCACCTTCTAGAGTCAATTTTGGTTATAAATAAACAAAATGGCCATGGCAAAAAACTTAAATTGTGCTTTTTGGGGTTTTCCCTTTCCTGTAGTGTGTTATATAGATCTTTGTGCATGTACATGGTCTGCAAGGTTAACATTTTAAAGTTCCCTCTTCCACACTTCCACACCATTGGACCATTGTGTAATTCTGTAACAAAATGACATCACTATGTAACACTTGCACTTCTATTGGCTAGCGGGCCCTGTCAAAAATAAAGCACTTTATGAACACTAAATTAAGTAAATATGTCACATTAGAAGCAAAAAATACAAACATGAACCTGAAAATGAGCAGAATGTCCTTTTTAAACTCAAAGGCTCCAAAGGACAACATCAACAAATGCATGGTTTGAAACAATCCACAATGATTATACCGTCAGTGTATTTTAAATTGATTAATCATGTTAACTAATAAAGCCGGATATTTAGTTTGATGTCTTCCAAGAAATCAAGTCCCTTTATAAAAATGGAACATGATGTTGTTTTGGCAAGTGATGCAGGGACTTTGCATTGCTGAGGTTTTGTGAATTGAGTGTCTGCCTTGTGTGTGCAATTATGCTGAGCTGCCTGGAGCCAGTCCTATGAGAGTGAGGGGACATGAGTTTCCTCTCCCCTCATCTGTCTGAACCAAAACTCTGAGAGGATGGGAGGGAGGTGGGGGGGACTTTAGTGACTTTGATTGACAGTGGAGGAGGTAAAGAGTGCATTGAGACGTTCTGAGGGGAGCCTTTTTCCCCCTCTCACCCTGCTCTGTCATTGCAGCTTCTAACTCTAAGGTTGTGTCTGAGAGGAAAAAACGACACAAGGATGTGTGAACGGAAGAAGGAGAAAGACACGCACAGAGAGGACATAGGGGTATCATTTCCCTCACCCGAGGAAAGGTGTGAGAAACTCTGTACTACAGCACAAATCACTTTCGGAGCGACCCTTTGGAGAGAGCTGCTGAAGAAGAGGGGCAAATAAGAAAAGGAACATTAAACGACTTCAGGCTCACTCTGGAACAGGCCAGTCTCTCTCTGCTGTCTGCACTGAGCACTTCAAGGCACCCTGGTTAAAAACTAATAACTTGGTGATAGTGGTGAGGACCCCTCCCTGCAGGTACTGTTTACACATTCTGCCTGCTGAAAGTAAAGGTAGGAAAGACATTGGGCACTTCAGCTGACTTATGTGGTGGGCGGTGGAGTGTCCAGGCACAGGAAGTATGTGGGGGCCTTATTTACCTAAAATGTACGTTTTTATTGCTTATTTTAACAATGATTCCTTCTGATATTATTTCAGATGCCCTGTAAGCTAGCTAGCTAGCTAACATAGCTAACCTTGTCATTTCAAATATATTGACAAAATCCTTATTCTTAACAGACGTGTTTGCACCTGTTGGCCACCGTACAAAAAGTTACCTTTGCACCCTGCTTTCTATACAACAAACAATGTCAAACAATGTATGTTTCCTTCTCTTAAAAGCAGCAATAATAAATGCTACACTTTGTCAACTAACCTCCCTTTCTCTTTATTTTCAGTGGCGGTACAGGGTTTCGTTTTCAAACGTTTAAATAGCAGATGATGGATGGTTTCGTTGGCGACTAGAGGGATTGTGAGGGTTTTATTCTCAGTGTGTGGAACTGGGAGGGGAAGCATGCTGCGCTGCTGCCAGGGAAGCATCTCCAGAGCATAATGGATGACAGCCACCCCTGGCAAGTCAACACAAGGAAGCTTAAGAGAGACAGTGGGGAGATCCGTGCAGACTTCCATCGCAGGTTTAAACTGTGGTTGGTGGCAAAAATGTTTACGATTCAGAGCACGGGTGGCCAGGGTGAGGTCGGGGAACATGAGGAGATTACTTGATGCTGCCTTGAATTTCAGAATGTCAAAGTTTTATTAATTTCCAACATATTTTTTGGTCTACTGCAGCTTGTGTCTGCTATGTCAATCACTTCATGTTTTCTCCTAAAATAAATCAGAAACCAAAAGGAGGAATCTTCATTTTTTGTTTTTATGATGCGTCATCTAGTTTAGCATTCATTTGACGGAGTACTGATTGGTATTCGTCTCGTAGATGGAGAACTTATTTCAACACAGCCAATCAAGGTCGGCGTTCTATCACACGCAGATCAGAGGGACAAAAAGATTCTACCACCAGCCTAATACACAACACCAGAGCTACGTACTCTGCACAACAACCACATTAGCTTTTCTGCTAAAACCTCATTCTTATGTAACTTACAACCCTCACAACCTGTACGTTTCCTGCACATTAGCTTGTCTAGATTTTACTTTCCAAAAACACAAAGGGATGATTATATGTAATTATAGATGGTCCGAAAGTTAAACAATGTCAAAGAATGTCTCTAAGTGGCGATGCCTAAAAAGGGAAGCTGATGCAAAGTGCTTTAAATCTTTATTTTTTTCTAAATGGCAAGCAGGGCACACCAACAGGTTGCAACAAGATATGAAAAAGATACTACGTCACACTTAATTCAGGCTATTACTTCTTTAAAACGTGTACTAATGAGTTTTTGGTCTTAATCAATAGTCTGAAGTCATCTTAAAATCAGCCTGATGTTCATTAAATTCAAGTAAATGATGTTCCTAATGAGAGTAAAACAGACAAGTAAGTAGGGAATGCTTCAGGGCTGCCTTATGTTTCCTGCATTTTAATGCTTTTACAATGTTTTCAGTTTGTGAACGTTTAATGTAACAATGCCTAAAAATGTACGGTTTACTGTTCAGTTGTTCTTCTTTGTCCTCTCATTCAACTTATTTTTCCCAAAAGAAAGGACAGCGCGAAGGCTGTAACTCGAGGCTTCAAGACTGTAATCCACATTTTATAGCCGTTATCACAGCGGCTATGTCCACTGCTGTATGCTTCCACTGCTATCAAGTCATACAGTGTGGACGCAGTGATATCATTCAGTTTGAACAACTTGAATCCTTCTAAATGTCCTGGAAAAAGATAATGATAATAGGCATCTATCGGTGTATAAAAGAGAAATAGTTTGCCTCCTAATTTACGATTTATAATCAGTGTATCGCTTATAGCCATTTAAAATTACCCCCATATATTGAATCTGTATTTTAATTCCCCCATAATGTTTATCTTGCTTTCATGACATACTCTAAATTGCAGCTCTCATTTGCTACCATAGATCATATTTACTGCGTGATGGTAGACTCACATTGGGGCATGCGTCCTCTCCTTTCTGTCCCACCAGGATGTGAAGCAGCTCGCCCCTCCGCAGCAGGAAGTCTCCTGTGATGTAGACACCATGTGACCTGCTCATGGCCAACACGCTGCGACCGCCAGCAGCACCGTAGGCTGTAATCCTGTGTTGGAAACAGAAGACACACAGAGCCACAAACACACACATAACACTGGTCATTAGCATGATCCTGATCATGATGATACAGTGAATAAAAGGATGGTTGATTACTTTCATTTTAGTTTTGTATATTTGTTTGGATTCATAGGATTTGAAGATGAAGTATTTATTGTATTTTCCAAGCTGGGCACTAGCTGTTTATCAGAAATAACCGGAGGCTGGAAAACAGTTCTTATGTATTCCACCTGCGAGTGTATTAAATAACAACCAAAATTCATTTGGAAACCCTAAAAAATACTTTTACCTGGGGTGTTTTTGACCTCGCTTGGGCAACAAATACAAAAGAAAGCACAGACTACAGATTGCATGGGCACACAAACACACATACAAGCACACAGGCAGCAGAAGACACTCATTTCAAATTCTCCAGTTTTCTTGCCAGGGAGAAAAAAACACAACTTGATTGGTGTTTGGTAGCGATTGGACATTTCTCTTCCCAATGGTGGTGCTTGTTGGGGGGAGAGAACGCTGCCCGGTGCTCAGTCGCTACCTCAGCTGTTTGCCTAATGACTTTCGGGAGATGCAGAGCGCATATTCATCTCTGTGACCGCCTGTCGGCTCCATTTACGGGCCGCATCAAGAACACAGTTCTGGAGTTTGTGCGGAGACAGAAGGTGTTTTTCTAAAACTCTGGGACATGTGTTAAGACAGAGCTGTCCACGCTGCTGTTAGTTGGGTATTTTAAGGCTTTTGGCAGAGCTTAGCGGTGTGTGGTTGTGCTGCCTGTTGATGTGGGAGGCTAGAAGTTTTGATGCGCTTTCTTTGTGTTTGAGGCATCCAAGTCAAATCCAAGTTAAACGCCCATGAATGCCCACAGGACACATATTGATCCCTGCACAAGGTAGTGGATACCGCAGCATTAATCCTAGAGCAGTAGAATGCATGAGGTCAAGGTGCTAACTGATTGTTGTAGTATTCCAAAGCCTCAAACACCATAACCATAGAATTGGAGGTGGGTGGTTTTGGGGGATTTTTTGGGAGTCAGATGTGGAGTGAATCATATTATTTAGCTCCCATTACTCCAGCCTCTGCTCCCTCCTGCAAGAATCTGATAGTGAGATTTCTCTGTATGCCTGTGGAAGATTGATGTGCCGCTGATGCACAGAGGAGAGGAGGTGGGCGTGAGGAAGAGTCTGTATTGTGGAGAAAAATGGAGTTGGAATGCGCAGTGCTGATGATAAAAAAAGAGAGGTTAAGTGTGTATTTTATAGGGTTTGTATGTTGAGTGCTCATGAAGCCGAGTGTACGTACGTAAAGATTGACTGGCAATGCATTGAGAACCAAAAAAGGGTAGTTAGCTTGATTTAAAGTGGTTTTGTATGAGTTACTCTTCCATAGTCAGTGTTTTACCTACAGTAGATGGCACATTGTATGTGATAAGGTGGGGGACATCTCTAAGCGGTTGACCAATCAAAAAAGAGCCGGCCAGCTAACCAATCAGAGCAGACTAGGCTCTGGTTTCAGACAGAGGGTGAAAAGAGGTGCTGCAGCACAGGCAGAATGAGAAAATGTGCTTAACAGGGCCACCATAAATCCAACAGCCTCATTCATTAAGACAGTCTACTGCATCACTCAGTTTGTTTGGTTTGTTAGGATTTAGAAAAGTCACAAAATAACACAAGAAAAATAACCGCCAACAATCTACTGTGGGAATACACTGACTAGGATAAGTACATCATACAAAGCCACTTCAAAACAGTACACAGTAGTACATGAACATTTGTTATACAGACTTTGGTAAGCTTTATACTCAGGCAGCAGCCCTACCTGTAGGTGCCAGATTCCTGAACAAGCCACATTTGGATGCCTTTGAAGGGCCCACGGGTGCCGACTGTCACGTTGACGTTGCTGTACTTATAGGAGTTGAGGCACTGAGAGGGAGTTGGGCCTTCAGGGCCCACACCGCCACAGGTATGAAAAATCCATTTCTTGTCTGGATCTGAAAAGAAACAGGAAAGAAAAAAGTATTCAGTCACACATGAACTTAAGCAGACTTAAAGAGGACAGAGGCTGAAGGTCAGTGCACATCAAAGGCTCATGACAGTTCTATTTGTACCATTTCAAAATGCCTTCTTCCACATCAATAATGATCAAATACACATATGGAGAAAATGATTATATATTGGGAAGGCAAGCTCCGTGGTGAAAGCTACTCATTTGAGCTTATCATATTCACAACGCAGGGTTCTTACACAAAGTCAAATTCAAGCACTTTTCAAGCATTTTCAAGGTGCATTTTCAAGCTTTTCAAGCATCTTACAGCTGTTGTAAATTACATATTTATATACACATACTTATACTCAAATGATTATTTCCCTACCTCACATTAAATCAGATGTTCTTTATGCTATAAACAACCAAATGTGTGTTTCATAATAGCATTCTACATGAGGATGAAAAATTTAAAATTTTAGAAAAGAAAACTAAGTTTAATATTTCAAAATGAGTGACCCATCTGTACGTAGACTGGGCATCCCATATAACCTGGCTGAGCCAATATAAAACAATCAGCCAAATAACTTTTCAATATATTATTGATTACTATTTTTGAGGTACTTTTAGGTTGGCAGTAAACATAAGTCAGAGGTAAATGGTGTACTTTTACTCCACTACATGTATTTAATACCTTTACTTTACAGATGTGGATGAATGATGTGAAATATAATCAAGTGTTAAATCAGACTTTAGTTCCACCTGGAGTAAATTCACAAGCTACCCTGCAGTATACAAAGTCATTCAAACTAGCTGCACCTTTACCAGCTTTGAGAACACTTTCATGATCAATCATTATAAAACATATCATATACAATTATTAGGGATGCTCCGATCGCCAATTTTGGGGCCGATCGCCGGAATCAGTATCGACCGATACCAATCGCCGATCCGATCGAGTGGGCGGGGCCTATGGGGATCTTCCATTTAAAGTGATGTTTAAAACTCAGTTAATGGGGCTCATTCACTGGCGCTTCCACAAACCAACCAACCAACATAATTATTACATTCAAATGAAGTACATTATTCAAGTTTATATTAACTTGGGATAATAACACGGGACAAATTAGCGGAAGCGCTCTCTTTTCCTCTCTCCCCCTCTCCTGACAGCCAGTCAGTATCTCCTGCAGCTCACTGATCCAGTAATGAGTGACCCGACAGTGAAGAATAAATATATTTATAACTAGTTTAGCTTGTTCCAGAGGTAGATAAAATAGCTAAGTGTGTTAGACCTAACTCTTAATGTGTGTTCTGCTCCGCTCACCGGTCCGTCACAGCGGGTGGAGCTGCAGGATTTCTGCTTCACACACACGTTGCATACCGCTATTTTATTGTCATTTTCGGACACTTAAAATACTGCCAGACTAGTGAAGCCATTTTGGCGAGCTTGTTTTGCCGCGCACAGAGAAAAGTGTCATGTATTTTACATGCAACGATAGCCTAATCTAAAATGCTCTACGGCGTACCTTTCGTGTGGTGTGTGGCGTCAGCGCAGACTCTCGCATCGTTATTGTTGCACACTTTGCAGGAGGCTACTCGTCTTAGCCATGGCTTGTAAATGTCTTCTGCTAGCCAACGCTCGTTGAAACTGCAACCTCCTGGCATACTGTCATCTATCACTCTCATCAGAATGCCCAGGTCACACGTAACAAAAACACTTGCCGGTCACGCGCATTGCGTGGGAAGGCCGGAGCGGAGCTGTTTTATGTAAAAGCGAAGCAATTAAGCGCGCTCCGACTTCTTTATTTTCTTTTAATCTAAAAAGCGAAGTAAAGCATTTACAATTTCAAGCACTTTATCCCAAATTCAAGCACCATTCGCAAAATTCAAGCACTTTTCAAACCTTGAAAACACCTCGTACAATTTCAAGCATTTTCAAGGATTTCCAGCACCCGTACGCACCCTGACAACGACAGCGGGGGACGTAGTGACAGGATCACAGGTAACAGACATTTCTCCTAATTTCCCGGGTAATCCCATGTGTCGCAGCTAATTAGAGTTCTTTTCACCGTAATTAGCACGAGATTAGTCTTGTCAGATGGACGTGGAAGGACTCGCCGCTGCAGCACCTGATTTAAGGCTTGTGAACACAGCAGCGGGGAAGACATATGGCAGAAAAGCACCTCTCTTTCTTTCTCTCCCTCCCTCTCCTTCTCCATCTGCCTGAGACTATTTATTAATTTAAGAGCAGGGCTGCAAATCTGACACCAGCGCGAAGTCAAAGTGAATCCTGCAACAGAACAGCTCCCATTATGGATTTGATAGCCCTTAAATTGATGCCCAATGTGAAGTAACACCATTTGTTATAAAGGTACTTACAGGTTTTTTTTTATTAATATTTGTATTGATCTTTCAATGACAACAGCAACAATACAATACATATAATGAACACTTGAATTGACTTTCCCTCCACCCACACACATCCCTAATAGGCCAATGCCTTGACCTCTGGCTCCTAAAACATAACAAAGGAGAACATGTTATGTTATTAAACATGGATGTAAAGAAATATAGAGAAAGTAAAAAGTAATTGTGGGGGTTGTGCTGTTTCCAGTTTCGAAGAATCAGATGCTTAAGTGTAGTTTTAAAAAGGATATGCACATTCAAACAGAGGAAACGGTGATGCACTTTTTCATTCTGCTTCAACAAATGTAAGGTCAGGGTTATCAGTAAAATCTCCTTTTTGTGGTAGTAAACTGATGAAATGGTGTCAATATGCACAGGAAGTAGACATGATGGCATGAGACCATTCTCAGGAGTGCTACTTCAACGTATGATGCTCTCACAACAACACCTTCTGCTGTTCCTGTCGCCTCAGAGATCAGATATCAAGCCCACTTGCTCTGACTGAGAAACAATTACAGCAGGAAGCTGGCATTTTTGCCATGAGTGTGGGGATGTGTGTGCAACTCCATTCTCCCATAAATTGTATACAGACGATGGTTTTTGGTCTGGAATCATTTTAAAGCATTCATCCCAAGTGCATGTTTCTATGGCTGCCAGTCCGAATGAGGTTGCTGAAACGCTGGATGGAATGCATGTCAAGCATACTTATTTTTCAGTCTGATCTCAACGATTGGTTGGTTCCAGGGGCATCTGGTAAATGATTCGACATCAGAGCTCCATCCTTAGCCCCACAAACATCTCTTTTGAGTTTGATGAAGTGTTGCCAGCAGAGACGATTTCAATCAGGCTTCTCGGAAACGCTTGAAAACATGATTCGATGTGGAGTTCAGCCTGGTCTTAGCGAAGGCACTCACTGTAGAAAAACAGAAAACTTTTGGGATAGGTAACTTGAGTTCTGTCTGGCTCCCTTCCAGCAGGAGTAAATTGATGCCTCAAGTCAGTATTTCTTTACCACTCAACAAGGTAAAAAGAGTTTAGACTGCTGGAAATAAATCCCTCACTGGAGCAGAAAAGCATCCGAAGCCAAATGGTGCTTTAGACCTAAATCTCACTGTTCCTTATAGGTTGCACTGAGATTCAACTCACTACATACAGGACATGCCTAGACAAAAGATTGAAGGTTACATGTGAATGATGCATCTGCTTTTTGTTTTTTTATTTGGAGACATATTGGCTACCTGACATAAACAAGATTATTGTTATTTAAAGTGATCTTGACGTTTTGACAGTAGCACCGCCGCTGTCGAAGTTAGCCGTGTCCTCCGTTTCGATTTCTCCCCCCCGTCTCCCCAGGGTGCGGTTGGTTTCGCACCTCAACTCAGCTGATCGATCTTGTTGGTCCATCAATATGAGTGAGTTCTAATGCGCACACACACACACACACACACACACACACACACACACACACACACACACACACACACACACACACACACACACACACACACACACACACACACACACACAAGTGGTTTAATGAGCCATTCTCTGATAGGTACTTGGCAGAACAAACAAAAACAAGATGTGCTCTCACAGATGATAGCCTTCTCTAATAAGTGGTGGGCACATTCATCCGCCCCTCTGACTGAACACACACACACATACACACATGCACTTATATGCACAAACTTCCCCAGGGATGCTCCGTCTCTGCCTGACTATTATATGAATCACCTTTACTGTGAACTTTGCAACTGGTGGTGTGCCATCATCATAACAAACACTAGCCTCATCAAATAATGGGGCGAAGCTGCACACTGTCATCAGTGAGCAATTGAGAGAGAACGAAAGAGATGCAGCGTAAATAACAATGATTTGATTACAATACTGACAGCAATGTTCAAGCAATGCCTGTCCTTATCTCTGCCAAACATTATGAATACAAGACAAAAGCAAAAAGTCATTTTTTAGTAATGACAAGGCAGTCCTTGTGCCAATCAGTAACAAATAAACAAGCATTTCATCAGACGTATGGCCTCTGAATGGGTTTTAAATTGGCACAATGAAGCAATGATAGTTGGTTGCTTCTGTGAAAAGTGATCATTTCTTGGTACAAGAAGGCCTGTTGTGTCAACCTGATATTTGAGCAACCATTTCAATTGTAATCAGGCCATTCAATGGCTGTCACACTGCATCCACCAGTAAGCCAGAGGGTGTCAAATCAACGTGTAAAATCCTGACCCTGGCTATTACAAACTGCTGCACAGTGTTCATTTGACCTCAGGGATCTGATACTCAAAGGAGATTTCCTGGATGGTATTTCATTTTTCACCTAGAGCAACATACCCGCTCCAATGTAGCCCTGTGTGCAGGGAGCTGTTTATGATCTGAACGCCTGCTGAGAATCATCTTCCTACAGGTATGCTAGAGAAGGACCTTTGTGCTTGACAGTGAATATGCATAATGTACAATTGCTTTAATCAAAAGAAAACATGTCAGGGCAAAATGATCCTGCTACAGGAAACAAAAAGGATATGTAATCGAATCTCAAACCAACACTCTGACTAAAAATATTGTGCTTGTTGTTTTTGATTCTACTGTCTTTTTCTCAAAGTAAAGCACTTCAAAATAGTGCAATTAAAGCGCTTCATAATTCACTATGAACCCCCCAACACACAGAACTGCAGCTCAGTGTGGGCTGCTTCCTCTCGTAGCGTGTATCCTCCTTATCCACTGACAGTTGTCCTCCTTGGGCCGGCCATTAGAGAGATGGATCAAGGCCGGCACGCCATGAATGGATCTGAATGCTAAGCACAAAGCTTACGAGGCACCCGAGTGCCATTAATTACAAAAGCCTGTTTTGCGTGGCACTGCTCGTTATCAGTCTCATATCTGTCTGAGTGAGTAATGCTCCCCCTCTAAAACCCAAAGTAACAACAACTAGCTCACTGATTGCCACGGGCCTGTGTTTATGAACGAGTAAAGAATGAAGCAGACTCTCCACTCTGCAGCTAATTAGCGAGCATGTGACGGCCAAAACGCATTTACGTTTTTTCACACTGCGATCAAGGAGCAAAATCAGCTGTCAGTTACTTTCAAGAGCCAATCAGATTGTTTCGATTTCTATCGATTTTCATCTCCCCTCAGAACTGTTTTTTGTTGTTGTTTTCTTTTGTTGTGTTGTGGAAGTGGAACACATTGATATAAAAATCGGATGTCTGTTCAAAGCAGCTAATACTTGTACAGCTTGCTATTATTTTGCACATAAGGTGTAAATATGACAATGCTTTGTTGCATCATGGAAGCATTTTTTGTTAAGTACTATTGTCTTAAAATAACATGAACACACTTATCTTTGTCAATCGCACACCCACTCTCAAACGGTGAATGGCCAGAGAAATGTACTCCCGGAGCTCATTTTGAGGTTAGCCAAGCGGTCTTTTCCCATCAGGCGAGGTAATCACAAAGAAAAGGGAAGACAGCTCATCTAGGTTGAGTTTTTCACCCCCCCCCCCCCCCCCTCTCTTCCAAAAGCAAATGATGAGTCAGCAGTGAGAGGCGGGTGCCACACACTAGGGCCGTGGTGAGAAATGAAAGCTGCCAGAATAGCAGTGAATCAATGAGAGGGAAAGGAAATAAAGAGGAGAATGAAGGGGAAGTCAGGAAAAAGGAGGAATGAGGAAGAAGTGGGACAACAGACTGAGAGCAAGAAGTCTTGGTGGCGGTAGTCAACTAGCAGGCAGTATTCAGCAGCTTATCAATGGTGGAAATGGGGAACAAATGAATGAAGAAAAAGTGCGAGGCCCAAATGTGGTGGCTGAGAGAAAGGAAAGATGGAGGGGGGAGTCAGAGGAGAGTTATGGTGGGGTTAATCATCGAGCGTTTCAGGGGGAAAAGTGATTCTTGTTGGAGTGACAGGTCTGTTGAGCCAAACCCTCATCAGGCTTGCGTCAAAGCTTCAGGGAGGGGGACGTGAAACGCCGGGCGAATGTAAACCGCCCACGGCTGTCTTTGAAAGGGCCAATGTATAACTGCCAGTTCAACTTCTTTCTGGCCCCGGAGTTAATATGTATGATAATCACAAGGGCGAGAGCGCTGTGATCGCACAGTCCCATCTCTCCCCAAGGCCGCACGCTTTTATTGTACCCATACAGAGTATTACCTGTGTAAGCACATTGAAATAGCCTCTTTGTTGCTGCTGCTGCTAGATCCTGCTGGCAAACTCCACAAGAATGAAACACCTTTTATATAATATTGTACTGCGTATGAAATGTTTCCCCCTTCCTGCTCCACATAAAAGAACATCCTTGATAGACGGAGGAGCCTGAAGGAGTCACGTCGGTGGCTCCAGTTCAATGTATAATCCTGCAGCATTATCAAATCATGTCAGCTGGCTAAACATTCATGTCCGATCATTCACTGTCCTCGTTTGTCCCTCGAGACAAACAGGCGGCTCTGTGTTCCAGACTAAAGAGTGGCCCACTTCACAGACATTCAAACCGACAAGTCGCTGCACAAACATATTAGGACCCTAACGCAGTGAGTCGACTATTGGTGGCTGACCATCACCCCCTCTCTGAGTCAGACACTGTGTGCTCGGGGTGTTTATCAGTGCTTGTTCAGCAGAAGGAATGCTAAATCTGTGGTGCAGTCAGTTATGGGGCTGTCTGGGTGCTCCTCAACCCATTTGAGTTAGTCTTTAATCAATCAATCAGATATTTCTCCTTTTGCTCTATTTAGCCATAAGGGAAATACCACAGGCTTACTATACAGTCTAGCAGCAGCGCCAATCAAAGTAAAATCCAAAATATGCTATAGCTTCATGTTATTTGGATAACTAAAAAATACATTAAAATGTGTATGCACGGTTTTGGTGTGTCCCCTCTCCTGTAGTGTGCTATATAGGTTGTTGTGCGTGTGAATGGTCTGCAAAGGCTACAATCCAAAAGTTTCCTCCAGACGGAGTTTCTCTCCCACACACTCCACCCCCCGCCTGAAACACCTCCATTGGACTCCTTTGTTTACTTCCAGTGACATCACTACATAACATTAAAAAGCAGTTTTTGTAAAGCATGTAAACATGTCACGGTAAAGGCACAACATACTTTATGAAACCTAACAAATGAGCATAATAGGGCCTGTTTACCAACCACTTCACCTTGATTGAGACTTAAGAGGTATATTGGCTGTGTATTCAAGGGCAACTTAACAAAGATGTGAACACAGTGTGAGAGTGTGATGACTCTAACCATTTTCAAATAGCAAACAGCCTGTGCACCTTACAAACATTGATTTGCTGGGCTCTAACAGCATATGAATGTCATAACACCTATTATGCCTCCTGGGAGAGAAAAGAAGATATACTGTCGATGAATGCAATTACACTCCTGGAGTGTGGGAGCACTGTCCAGACCGATCATCTATTTAGACTGGAAAGCATGTCCTTGAAGTCATTGAAACTGAGTTAAAGTTTATATTTATTCAACGAGTGCATAACTGCTGTGAATGACTGTCACATAATGCTTAGAGGAAAAGGATGGCAAACATATTTACAGTGACTAAAGTGGTAGTGGCTGATATCTGAAAGTCCAGTCCTAAAGTCTGGGGAACCTCTTGCACTTCAAAGCTACAACCGAAGAAAAACGTCTTAGAGCAAGTTTGATTTGAAAGTATCTCCAACTCATGACTGAAAATATAGAAATGGAATCTGTGCTTGTGTCTACCCTTTTGAAGCAGGGAAGTGGGAGTGTGCAAGGTGGGAAATGTCAAGTCTGTGTAAGTGGCTCCATTGACATTCTCAGGAGACAAATTGGAGGATTTTAGACTTCAAAACTGCCCGTCCTGCTCCATGTAATGCCAAGGAGATCTCTGCAGCTGTCATTCAGATATGGTGCAGACCAGTAGGGGGCACACTTACTTTGCAGCCTGTGTGTGGGGTGCCATGATCGTCACATGTCGAGTAATTATGAATCATTAATGCAAGCAAGCATACGTGTGTGATTGAAAGAGAATGTAGAAAAGACAAAAGGAGAAAAATATGCATGTGGAGAATATTCTCCATAAATCCATCCGAGCATCACTCACTCACTCACTCAGTTGAACCGTGGTCACACTTACAATCTGTGGTGGGGAAGCTCAAAGGGCTTCGAATGGATGGGGGGGTAGTCTTGTTGGTCCGTATGAAAGGCAGCATGGTGGAGCTGGTTGGTGGGAACTCACCGTTGGCTGGAAGAGAAATACAATGAATTTATTGATTGGTTGTGCTTTATTCCCTTCATGTGCAGCAAACACTACAGGACACAGTATAAGCACAGTGGCTGCAGACCTCTCAGTGGCACAGAACATGTGGAACAACCAGCAGGGGTCACACTTTCATTTGCACCACCGATGGCTATACAGAGGGAGTGGAATACATAACATGCAACTCCATCTCTACCTGTCTCCATCCCATCATAGGGTAGATGGTTCAGGCAGGGTGTTTTACAGAGAATCTTTAAGCCTCCAACCTCACAGCCTTCCCAGGACACAATGTATAAGCTTTCTGGTAGCTCCCCTCCTCAAACTATTCTAAAAGAGTTGTCTGCCAGGCAAACCAGCTTTTTTTTTGAAGTAGGGGAGAATCACTTAGCTACTATAATGACTGTTGTGGGGTGGGGAAAAAGACATATCCTCCTTTGAAGGTGGAGAAGCAGGAGTTCCCATGGTTGCCCGGGAAAATTGCTGAACAGATGCATTATTTGTCTTTGATTGGGTCCATGCACTGCAATCAGTGGTTTAAAAGATTGCACTGAATGCTGTTCAAAAATCTACTGCCACATCTGATCAGGGACTGTAGAGCTACAGGGACAATCAATGCAACCCTGTCAGCTGAACATAACAAAATACTTTTTCCAGTACTTGAGAAAGGACTAAAATGACAAAATCAATGTCCAACAAGAGTATTACAACCACCGACAAGATATAATACAGAACCTTCAATCCAAATAGTTATTGGCTAACAAAGATACGACAGTGCATACTGTACCCTTTTAACTTGTGTGCATACAATGTGACAACCTGGTCTACTATTACAAAGGCCCTATTATGCTTTTTAAAGGTTTTCCCTTTCCTGTAGTGTGCTATATAGGTTTCTGTGCATGTCAATGGTCTGCAAGGGCTACAATCCCAAATCCTCCCACACCCTGAAACGCCTCCATTGTTTACTTATGTAACATAGTGACATCACTATACAAAACACTAGGGCTAGCTCTCCATCACATTGTACGTGATAGACTAAGGGGCGAAACATCTCTAAGCGGTTGACCAATCACAACAGAGCCTGCCAGCTAACCAATCAGAGCAGACTGGGCTCTGGTTTCAGACAGAGGGTGAAAAGAGGTGCTGCAGCACAGGCAGTATGAGAACAATAAAGAGCTTTCTGAACATTAAAGCATGTAAAACAGTAGAGACACAACATACGGTAAATCATGTGACTTAATTTACATAGGTAGCTTAAGTGATGTAACAAATACTTATTAAATGTAAAACATCATCCATTTGTGTTTTAACTATCACTTTAATCTGAGAGAATACATTTCCCTTAAACGCGATTGAGAATTCTAATTTGTTGCATAGGAAAATCATTTTTATAAGACTGCTTGAATGCGAAATGTATTTGTTTCCCTCCATGGTAAAGGTTTCACCTTGTTATTTTAGGAAGCCAGATATGTTCAGTTCAGCTGCTATAAATGTGCCTGAGACTTCACACGACCTTTCTTTGTTTCCAAAGCGAGCCAATGTTCTTTGAATAGTTTTGTCCAGCATGTTATTTCTTTGATGTTATATTCTGCCGCGAAAGCCCTCTGTGGCTCCGTTGCTACATGACCCTTGTTGGTTGCTATGAAAGCAGAAGATGTGAGATTATTCTGAAAGTCAGATAAGGTTCAGTTTGGTATATGGATCTGATAAGGCTGCCAGCTCGCAATGCTCTGACATCAGGAAAGGGCAGTGGTTCAGAACTTGACCAACTGCTATTCTGCTAGTCCTGCCTTATGATTTATAACTTTAAGAACAAAGCTGAATATAGTGTACACCACCCAAAGAGGCTTTGCAGCATAGTCAACTATAAAACAATAGGAATCACTGCTGTTTCAGCCCTACCGCCACAATGCTGTTGTGACTACAGCATTGTGGCGGTAAGAAAGGCCGTCATTAGTGTTGATAGACTACAGTGTAGTCTATCAACACTAATGACGGCCTTTCTTATAGTCATTTCATTGAACACTTTCAGAGTGCTCAGTGTAGATACTTTAGGCAGGCAATGCATTGAGAGTACTTGTATGACCCACATATTTAGCTTTGTTTCTGTTATTCATTTATAATAGAATGTTCAGAGGCAGATTACATTTTAAACGGCATGGGGAAAGAAAAGTGTTCTAGTTGTACACAAGCTTGTCCTATAGAGCAGCAGGAAAGCATAGAGTTTGTTTACACTGTAGCAGCGTGATATTCTCCATAGGCCTGTCCTGGAAGGCAACAGCCGCAAAGGATAATTGAAGGTTTTATAATTTATTTTGCTCTACTAAGCCACACAAAGTCCTCTAATAAAAAGCTGCAGCTCCAGATAACACCAACAAACCCATTGATGAACAGGTGGTGTTTCCAAACCTTGGAAAAGACTATGAAGCAAAAATCCAACTTGTCCTAATTGGGACGAGACAATGAGTTGTCCACATAGCGCGTTCACACCAAGTACTTTTCCCACAATAGTGTCATGTGCCTCCTTGGTGAAAACAAATGATGCCTCCTATCCCCGCCGTCATTCTGGTTTGTCAGGGGACGGACGCAACACTTTTCATCTTTATCTCTGTAATCATTTCACCACAAAAACACTCCCTCCTCTCCTCCCCTGCTCCTTTAGGCTGAAGGCTGAGCATTTATGACAATATGGCTGGGGGCTCCCTCAACAGCTGAAAGGTTTGGAAAGCAACTGTGTGGCGGTACCACTTGGTCCGACAAAACCGGCTTTGAATTAGAGCAAACAACTTAACACACATTTTTGTTTTTGTATGTGCTTGTTTTAAAGTAAAGGTTAGCAGTTTTTACTAAACTTCTTCAGCTGTTGGTTTCTCTCATAGACTATATAGGAAGTAGTCACCATCAAATCAACCATTTGTTTTTGACAATGGTATAATAGTCTTAAGTTTGGCTGTTGCAGAGTGACACAAGAGGGTGGAGCAATGCAAGAACAAGCAATTATAAAACTGAACATGACATTCTAAGTGACTAACTTGTAACAAGTGGCTTCTATGAACTGAAAACACACTTTGAGGGTTTGAGTGTGGTTGCAACCTGTCACAAGATTACCCTATCCTAAAACAAATGCTGCTTTACTGTTTATTTTACTCTAAATGGGACCATCATGCCAAAAACAACACCTTGTTGTATTGAAAAGGACTCAAAACCAGTAATTGAGATCATACACTTATTTTGAAAATGATTACTAAGGGTAATATATCAAAAGAGATATTTGGTAGTTTTCTCATAGACTTCTATGCAATTGGACATCTTTTTGCAACCAGAGGAGACCCCACCCCAAAGAAAAAATCCTGGCCATGAGAAAGAATGCAAGTTTCAGGCACTTCCGCATTAGCATTTTTCAGAACTAGAGATTGTTGCCTGGTCTCTATTGTGGCTTGCTCTGAGTAGAGAAATCTTGTAATTTTGTACTCGAGGCTTAAAAAAAACTCAACACTGCTTACCAAAAATCTGCCAGCTAGAAAATCAATAGCTCATTCCTTAGCCCTGTAATCCTCAGATAAATAGGATCGTCTTAGTCTCCACTGCTTGGTGGCTTTGATACAGATAGAGTTTACGTGCAGATGTGATGGATCTCATTCAGCACACGAATGACCGCAATGTGTTTGATTGCTTTCTACACAACACTGTCGCTCTGCAAGTAAGACCCTTAGATGTGTTGTGTTTACACAACAAGTTAAGCAACTTTTTATATCTTCAGCAAAGTTGCTGATAAGGCTGCATTGTTATTCAGAGCATGGGGAAACGCGCTATGGCAGGGCTTTGGAACAGACAGAGCAGGAAAACACAGCATTGGTATGCTGCTGCAGGAGGACTCAGCAGGTCCACCACAGAGCAGCGTGAACCAGAGGGCAGGGCAGCAGCCGGCGTGGCTGTCACTGTTCATTAGCAGGGCGCCGTAAGCTGCCTGAAGCCCACCAGAGGCCAGCAACAGGAGGGGGGGACCTCATTTCCACCCAGCCACAATCCGAAAATATCATGAGATTGCAAAAGCTCTGAGAGAAAAATATCCACACTTCAGACGTATCACCGTCACAGTCAGTATTATTCCCTACGGGATACTGCTGCTTTATATCATAGAAAATGTACTGTTTGTGGAATGTTTTCTCACATGCAAGAAAATATCAACAACACTTTGCATAATGCATTATAAACCTACCTATGATACAAAAGTATCTGTTAATAAAAGTACATTATATACCTTATTATAATAATAATAATACTAAAACATTATAATGCATTTTATAATGACTGATAAGGTCAAGTGTCATTATACTTCATAATTGCTGGTCACTCAATTCCATTTTAGATGAAATTAGAAAAAAAGAAAATTCACTTTATATTAAGTGGACACGTACATTTTGGGATCAAGTGCCAATCAACCAATCATTGTGAAATAAGGCAACCTATTCAGTTTTTTGTGGTCAGTCTCTGTCAAAAAAACAAGGGTCGACAAGCCCTTCAGATTTAGCTACCCTTCCTATGTCTCATTTCGATATAGAATATAATTTACTATCCGTCATATCCCTTTTCAAGGATGCACTACTTTTTGCTAATCAAGGAAGATTGTCTCGGACAGGACCTTAAACGAAGCGGTTCAGACAGAGGGTTAATACAGGTAAGTATCAACGTGCGATATGTCCCCTTTAAAATAATCATAGCTCCTTAAAGTGACTTATAGTGATATATCAATCACTTATATGGATAATAATGTATAACTACTGTTATAATTATAATACACTTTTGAACACAAATATCTCAGTAAGAGACCAGGAATTATTAGTACATAGGTATTACAGTATGATACCTTACCTTATATGTCATTATAAAACACTTTAAATATGTAATGATTATTATAATAAAGCATTATGAATACTTAGTGATTATACTTAAGCAATAGCTCACGACAGGCCGTGGTATATGCTCAT